ATCACACTCTCCACACGACACAGTGGCCGATGTCAAACTTAAATGTTCACACCCCTTTTTGTACCCCTTTATTTCTTTTTCAGTGACATCAACTACAAGATCACCATGCAGTATAGGCCTATTACAACAACAACAACAAGTGTAACAACTGCGAAAGCTAAAGTACTAGTAAGTAGTATTTCCATTAACCTATTACACTCGGAGCAAGTGTAAGTTGTCACAGTTTTTCGTGACTGAAATTCCCTACAAAATTTCCCTGGTCATCACCCTGATTTCCTGATTTTGAGAGAATACATGTATGTTTGAGAAACGATAAAAGGTCACTGAGTCAAATAAGAAGACGGTGTCAAATTACTACACTTGATTTTGAACTGTGATATGCAGACATGACTTCAAAATCACCAAAAAGTCAAATGACATTCCTGGGTGACATTCTAAATGTACATTTCCTTGACTTATGGTACACGTGGACAATAACATTTTTGAAAAATTGCTATCCTGCACATGTTATTTTCTGGTACAGAATAAAGTATGAAAAGGGCACGATCCACGAGTGGATTAAAATCAGATCACAAGTAAATCATAGGATGTTCTTTTTATGTTCAAATATGGGAATAGGCCACTGGACACCATTACTGTAATGAGCTTAACAATTGCCCCACTGATTAAAAACATGACTATTTTCGAACGAAATGATAAGTGTACAAATAAATGCAGGAAATGTATTGACAAAGGTCCTAAATATGCCTTTCCATCCTTTACATTTCCAGGGCAAACAAGGTAATCACAAAGGTTAACAAGTCCAAATGACATCCAGTACCTGATGATCAATCCAGAATTTCCAAAGACAACTACTAAGGGCAACATTGAGGAAAACCCAGTGTCGAGAAGTCATCTACCAGGGTTTAAATTGGACTTTCTGAAATTTGTTGTATATTTTTGGGCTCTATGATACCACAATATATGTGCTAAAGTTAGAAGAATTTTTTATGTCACCATGTAGAGATGGTGACATATTGATGAAGTTTGTAAAGTTATTGTCCTATTCCTGTATTCATGTAAGTTAACAAGTCAAAGTAAAATTCTTAATTAACAAAATTACAGTAATCCATAAACAGTAAAGTTAAAGTCTACAAGTTATTTCTGATGTCATTGTTACAACAATGGATTTTAGGAAAAGTAAACCTTTCAATCACCCCAGGTAAGTTCTGCATTAGAATACACTACTTATACGGATAGGGATTTTGTCAAAGTTTTACATCTGATTTAAAACTCATAAGGCCTAGTTCAAAATGTAACATAATGTAAAGGAGCATGCATTCCCGTCCAGAAAGTATACAAGTATAAATGGGACTCCTGTGGCATGTAACCATTTACTTTGATTCCACTTCCAATTCCCTTCTATCTTCGGGTCTTTGTATTTTTTCAGTGATTTTTCATTATATCCTTGAGGACTCCTTTTTTAACAGCTCATTTCAATAATATTCAGAGTATATTTTTGCTCCTGGTTCAACAAAAACAGGGTCGGTCATTTTTTGGAAACACTGAATGACACCACTACCTTTTCAGAAAAATGTCAGCTCGATTTGAGTAGCCTTTTATCGCAAATGTCACTCTTCTTGCTTACTGACATATAGTCTATCCTGTTGATTACATGTATAATACTTTGGAGCATTTAGAACAGTTGGTCTATGAAGATCCCTAGCCTATCAGGGATGTAGACAAACTGAAAGAACGAATAATTAGGAGTTGAATGGTACTTCTGCAGAGATCCATTAATTATGCCAATGGCTTTTGCATCTTAAGCGAATAAGCCAATCAGAAGGTGGGCCTGTTAAGCCATATAATGGACAGGTTGATGAAGAAATGAATTTGTTTTATAAGCATACACATGTATTTTAAGCATGTACCGTTCAAAAAATGAATGAAAACAATGTATAATATCCAGTTAGGAAAGTCTCGTGACAATGTTGCAAGTTTTAACTGAGTGGTAAAATTTGGTAGAAAAAGGCTAAATGTTTACAAAATTGATTAAAATTGAGAAGGTGTTTTTTGACCCCCATGTCACATAAATGGTTATATCTCAAGCCAGGGTTGTTGGAAATTGTTCTATTATATATCATTTTGTTGCAAATTAAATTATCTTTAAAATGATATATCATTATTGGTGTGTCTGTTAAAAAATAAAAATTTATCAGGAATATTGGAAAGAGGGTGGTTTTTTGCCCCACCCTGTAATTATTCACCTGGAGGGATTTGAAATGGGGAATATAAAAATTAAATGATGATATGATATCAATATCTTCTGAGAGCTATTCTACTTATTATCCTGACAGTTGAACAACCATTGTCAATAGAAATGTCGTCCTCAAAAATCCTCTGTTGGATGAGAAAACAATAAACGATTCTTGGAAATACAGAAATATGAACTTTACATGTTCTGGAAATCATATTTACTACTGTTAAAACAACTAGGATTATTGTTAAATCAGTGAGAGCGTTTGATATTGCTCTGATCATGGGATAATGTCTAACATTAGTTTGCCTTTCATTATTTTCAGATCAGTTTTTGAACTTGATACATAATGGCTGCATGAAAGGTGTTTATTATAGTATATTAAATAAATATTGTCTTGTTTATATTTCCTCCTCAAATGAGGAAGCTAGAAATAGTCCATGATTTCAGCACATTTTTGTTTTGGGATTTGCTACTCTGTGGAGTTGTACTTTTTGGGAATGACACACACAGTTTTTCAATCATTCAGAACATTATGACTAGCTGATTAAGACACCTTCTTGATGAATCATTTGGATTCACTATTCATTACTGAATAATACTCAAATTCACTTCATGAAATGTCATGTTGCCCTTGTTTCTTGTACTCTCTTAAAGTGTGGGAAGGGGGGGGGGGGGAGAGCACGAGGCCTATAATATGAAAGGGCAAAAAACAAAGAGGTACATGTGTACGGTTTACAAAACCAGTTCCCTGATATAATCTTCGGTCTGTTGAGGTACAGTGTAAAACCTCTCTTTAAAAACTTGAAGGTACAAAATGTTATAAATCAATTGTGGTACTCATTATCAACCCCCCCCCTCTCTTGCACAATGACATATTGATATGTTTCCTCCTTATTTACCATTTATACTTAAATCAATATTCTTTTATGAGAATGTCAAAACAATTATTTCATTTATTTCTCAAAAGAAAATTAAGGGATTTTATCCAGCTTGATGCCCAGCCTAATAAGACTATCATTCATCATGTGACATCACGAAAATCAGATTAAACATGAAAAACAACAGTGTCTGACCAGTTTAATTAATACAAGGATAACAAGGGCTTAAATTGCCTTTTCTACCACAAGTGTTGTATCAATAAGATGCACATTGAAAATGACCACACTTGAAAATCAAAATGACCACCTTGTAAATTAGCCAGTGAGTGAATGAACAATTCTCTTGCTATTTTGATGACAATATTTCTTGTGCTGCCTACGTATATATCAGCAAGACAACAACAAAATAACAAGGCATTAACATGCAAAATGTCACCAACTGCCATTTGTTACAGACACTGAATGCCAAACACCAACCATCAAACGCAATCGGGAAAAAACTTGGAGACTATAACAATATGTCACCACTTGTGGTAGTGACATAATAAACAGTAGTCACAATCTCTACATCTTGTACAATATCGAGATGCTAATAATGTCACGTCTTAGTACAGAAAGTGCAATCAACATACTTGGTAAACAGGCCAATAAATTATCACAGCATCAATTTAACATTGTTTTTGATACAATTATTTCTATTTTTGCAGATAGCTAGTAATTCGTAGATATCTTATAATCCTCTAGACACAATTGTAGGTAGAGTATCTATTAAGGCTATTTATTTTCTATTTGATGATCTCAGACCAAAGGGAATAGCACTGCACTCTCATTTCCAATCTACCTACAAAGAGCTCATGTTCTAAATGATGGGACAACTCCACAGAATTGCAAAAATAATCTGAAATATGTCACAATGTAAAATATACACTTTTTCACATGAAAAGGCATACACCAGTGAAATCTCAAAATTTCAACAAGCTTTGAGTAGCCGTTTTGAATTTTCCAGGCCACAAATCAGAAAAAATACAATATTTATGTTTTACTTTAAACTACTTTTGATTTCAGTACTTTAAAGAGATATAATTATTGTGAATCCTCGCATACGGCAGCAATTTTGTATTTTCAAAAACATGAATTAGAAAACTATACCTCTATCGAATTTTGTTTGTTAGGATAATTAACTTGGACTCTTGGAGGTCATTTCCAGATGCTTTGATGAACATAGAAATTCCGAAGTCTATTGTTAGGCTATGACGTCATGGTTACGACAATTGATTGAGAAAATGTAAATTAATCGAAAGCTTCTGATAATGACAGCCTGTGTGTAAGACAATATGTATATGCTTATTATCACTGTGAAATGAATTATTTAAATTCCATCTGATAAACACCACGATGAAGTCAGTAAACCCTCAACATGTGTTTATTGTCAAATTTTCATTGGATTTAAATTAAAAGTCATGTCCTAATACAGAGTTATGGATAAACATGGTTATTATTTTGAGGAAGAGAAAATAATTTTTTCAAAAAGAAACTGTCAAGAAGCTATATCAACTGAAAAATAAAATTGTAAGTGATAAGAAGTAAGTTGGAGGTAATAGTAAAATAAATTAAACTGACTAGATTTCAATGGGCCCTTATTATTGATATGACATATCACAGAGTTCATACATCATTAACTTAATTTGTTAATCATTATTAATTAATGATTTTGAATACCCTATAGACATTAACTTATCATTGCTTAAGCAATGTAGGTTTGCTAACTTTCTCTAATTTTAATTTCGCAAATTATTTACCTAAAGCTGCCATCTATAAAACAGAGTAAACCATAATTACCATTCTAAGAAATAATATTCAATTGATGAACTTATAGTTCTTACCTTTACAAGAAAAGATAGATGGAAGATGTTTTCCACAGTCAGACCAAATGAATGGGGGTTCACAACAAACTCAAAGAAACAAACAGGCTCATCTGAAACAAAACAAGTTATGGTTTATCTGGACAGGGCAAACAACTTCATCTGAAACAAAACAAGTTATGGTTTATCTGGACTGGGCAAACAGCAATGCAGTTTAACAGTAGTCAAAAGAGGCCTTCAACCTTAGATCAAGTAATGTTGGTGAAGGATTTAAACACAAGAACCTATCCATGAGATTATTAAGCATCAAGGTATATTACATGCATAGTAAAACAGGAGCCCATATCACAAAAATGTCATCACCAGGGAAGTTATTGCAAATGCCTACAAAAGTGTAACAATTTGTTACATATGCAGCACTTTTGTAACTGCAGGTGTAACAGATGGTGACATTTTTTCATGTTAATGCCTTGTTATTTTATCCAGGTGTCAGTATTGACTACCTAGACGGCCTATGGCGATTGGTAGTAGATATTTTGTGTATTTTTGATTATGAAGGAAATAAATAATATGTTAAAAAAAAGTATTGAGGCCAGAATTTAGCCCTTGTAAATTGTTTCCATCTTAAACTACTCATATTAATCTCTAGGTTTCCTCTTGTTTGAAGAGTTAACTGCATACCTAATTAATCAGTATCACGAAAATATCTGAATATTTCCAAATAAGGAAAGCGGAAAGTAGCAAATACTATCTGGCCTGAGGTCAAACACAATTTCCGACTTAACTATGATAATGAATCCCTTTGCAAATTGGTCTGTGTTATTACGGCTAACTAGGTGTGAAACATGGCTCTTAAAATGGTTCAGAAGAGTACTAAGCGATCCTTTCCAGCAATAAATTGCCTCAGAAATGTAAATTTCTAGTTCAATTTTCAAATATTCCGGCCGAGAGTTTTGTAAAGAGTTCTACGGTTTGAATTCATCACTCATACTATATATCCATACGCCACATTAACCGTATGAACGAAAACTACAGGGGGATTTTACTATCAGAGTTTTATTGATATGTATTGAGCCTTTTTCATTGACTAGCTAGATTTCTCAATGACCAATAGATTTTAGAGTGGTGCCAGTCATAATGACCGTCAAATTTTATCACTGACCACCTGAAATTTAAAACCTGACAATGAAAATTTGGCTTAGGGCATGCCCTGGATTTGCATGCCTAGCTATGTGTGAATAACTAATAAAAATGATAATTCATGTACATGTACATGTACATGTACATGTAGTATACATAACTTACTGTCTCCTTCAGCATATTCTTTTTTTAAGCACCGGTTTATGTATTCCACATGGGCAGATGTTTGATCCTCTGATGTGATTTCCTTTCCAGCATCTTTTACCTGAAGAAAGCAATTAATACTGAGGTCATGAAAGCACATGAAATACTGTCACCGAAAGCAAAGCACATGAAGTACTATCAAGGTGATAGGAAAGCTCATGAAACACTGTCAAGGTGACATAAAAGCACATGAAATACTGTCACTGAAAGCAAAGCACATGAAATACTGTCAATGTGATAGGAAATCACATGAAATACTGTCACTGATAGCAAAGCACATGAAATACTGTCAATGTGATAGGAAATCACATGAAATGCTGCCAATGTGATAGGAAAGCACATGAAATACTGTCAATGTGATAGGAAACCACATGAAATACTGTCACTGATAGCAAAGCACATGAAATGCTGTCAATGTGATAGGAAATCACATGAAATACTGTCAATGTGATAGGAAAGCATATGAAATACTGTCAATGTGATAGGAAATTACATGAAATACTGTCAATGTGATAGGAAAGCACATGAAATACTGTCAATGTGATAGGAAATCACATGAAATACTGTCACTGATAGCAAAGCACGTGAAATACTGTCAATGTGATAGGAAATCACATGAAATACTGTCAATGTGATAGGAAATCACATGAAATACTGACAATGTGATAGGAAAGCACATGGAATACTGTCAATGTGATAGGAAAGCACATGAAATACTGTCAAGGTGATAGGAAAGCACATGAATTAATAAAATTCCATAAAATACCATAAAAGTACATAAATTTGGCAAGGCGAAAGTAAAGCACATGAAACACTATCAAGATGACATGATAGCACACATAACACAGGTGACTTGAAAGCAAATACATGGGGAAAGAATCAGACCAGTTCATAAATGACAAAGAACAGGTTTTCTTTACAATATAATTAAGAAGTTTAAAACTAAACAACAGCAACGCCAAAGCGTAGCAAATCCCATCGAACAGCCATGGCTGGCATTTTTACAAACAAAGTATATAGCAAAAATGGCGTCCATTTTTCTAAATGGCAACCTTCTACCAAAAGTGTCATTAGACAGTGTGCCATGCTTATAGTATTCACATATCAAATATGAACAAAATCTCTCCACTACCTTTTGAGTTACAGCAAAAATCGTAAAATAGTGAGTAAAGGCAGCCTTTTTTCAAGATGGCTGCCATGTGCTTCTTAAATATCTACATTTCTAGCTTTAGTAATGTCCTATATATTTTTTTACATATAAAACATATTGCTATTACAGTTTTACATATTGTACCTAAATTACTATGAAATTGGGCCAACAGTATTTGAGTTATTGCCCCGACAGACGGACGGACGTACATACGGACTGAGGTGTTCCCTATATCCCTCCAAACTTCATTCAATGGGATAAAAAAGGATAGAAATATGGTATTTATATTATTTGTTAAAATTCAATTTGGCAGAAGTGTTGCTGCTAGACAAGTTTGGCTTTTAGAGTGTTCTCTTGATAATTTTTCTCAACTTGTCTTTAAACTTTCATTGTTCCTATTTTGATCTTAAATGTTGAAAATTAATCAAAATATGCAAAATTAATTTTTAATCAACTGGTAACTGAGTATATACAGTACAAATAGTGTCATTTTGCCAGGCTACTTCAATGTTGAGGATAAAAATATGTTATGACTTATTTAACAAAATTGATTAAGCTTGAAGTCTTTACAAGGTTCTTCTAATTAAAAAATGTCACTTACTGCTGTTGGTTTTACTGCAGCTTTATTTCTGTCTGTGTCTTTAACTTTTGGTACTTTGGGAGGGGGACGTTCTGGGGGGTCATTTTTAAAGGTACCCAACCTATCAAAAGTAAATATTGTCATAATAACTTCATAGCGCATTTTTAATATTTGTAAATTGCTTTAATAATACTTTGTATTATTCTTTCTGTTAAATGTTTCTGCACAATGTACACAAGTAAAAGTTACATTGAACTTACATGCAGCTAAATGCAGGAGACTTTCGGTAAAGTTGATGTGTATTCTCCCCGAAGTTTTGCCACATCTCAGGAGTTACTTCTGTATCTTCCCTTTGCCCGTTTGTTATTTTAGTCAGCTGGAACCAAACCTCACATTTCAACAGTTTTTATCATTCAAAAATATCAACATTTTGTCTGAAAATCAGTTAATGAAATCGAGAAATAATTAGAAAATGAGAACATAAATTAGAACAAGGCATTAACAAGCAATATATAATCTAATGTCACCCCCTGAAATTTGTTACAGACACCGATCTCCAAAAGCAAAACACAAAAATTTGGAAACAATAACAATGTCACCACTTTTGGTAATTACATGTAAGTGTCACTATCTGATAATTTATAACTTGGTTACATAAATGACAAAATGAAGTAATGCTGACTGCTGGTCAGAAAAAACAGTGGAACACTCAAAAATATTAGTAATCTGATTTTTGAAGCTAAAGCTCACAAATATGAAGCTGAGAGACTTTTGACAACTTAGCCTCAAAAATGGCAATAACCACTTGAAAAGTGCTCGGAATGGTGAAAAACTGCATGGTTTTGAAAGAATTTTTAGCAAGAGGGATTCCCCCCAATATCCCCTTACCACGGGCCTGCAATGTATTATTTAAGGAATAAATAATGATAGGCCATTCAATATGGTGAAATTCAGCACGAGTTGGACAGAATGTTGTTCAAAGCACGAACCGAAGGTGAGTGCATTTGTACTAACATTCTGTCCAACGAGTGCTGAATTTCACCATATTGAATGGCCTATCATTATTTATTCCAATTCAAACATAAAAATTAGTAAAAGCTGTGTCTGTGGAACGGGCATGAAGGAAGAATACACATGCTGTCAAGATTCTGAAGTCGGCCGGAAAAATTTTAGAATTTGTTTGGGCTGTTCTATTTTACTCCCCGTTTTAGATTTTATACGGTGTATGTAAACATGGGGTGTTGATAAAATAGTTACAGTAGTTACGGAGGGAGTAAAAAGAACAGCTATCCCCGGACAGAGCCCCAGATGTGCAGCTGAGATGTGACGTCACTCAAAACAATGCAAATTGCAGATTGAATAGAGCATGGTCGTGCATCTATGGAGAATTAGAGAACGTTCTATATTGGCTATGCTGCATTCTGATTGGTTGAGAAATTCGAATAGAGCACGGTCATGTTTGAATAGTTTATAAATGTATGTGCATTTCAGTTGTTTGGATAGTGGAATGAGCAACTACACATGAAACAAATTAATCTTGAAATCAATCTTGCACAAGATTTCAAAACTCACCAATTTTTCCATGAATTCAACACAGCTAAATTTGACAAAGTCTGTTGAGAGATTCTGAGCTCTTTGCTTGGCAAGCTTTGTGAGCAACACTACTGTTTCTCCATCCATAGCAGCCTCCCGTGTGTGGTTTACTAGAAGAAAAAAAACACATTCCAAAGTCAATATTAAACATGACTGCAACAGGCCCGCGAGCAGGATTTGCCGAGGGGTTCAATTTTCAAAAATTTCCAAGGGGGGTTCAAATTTGACAATTTTGGCCCAAATATGGCTAAAATCACTTGAGAAGTGCTCAAAATGGTGAAAAACTGCACGATGTTGAAAGAATTTTTGGCCGGGGGGGGGGGGTGGGTGCGCCCGAACCCTGCGAACCCCCCTTGGCTTCGGGCATAAGCAACTTAACTGTATATTTGGGATTCTTGAATCCCATTGCATTTTTCATTTTTTCATGTTCAGATCTTATACCCTTTCCAATGGTCTGAATTTGCTGATATGTGTAGTACTGTACTAGGCTCTACAGGGTGTATAGAAGAATGGAAAAAATCAGTAGTGAAATAGCAATAAGGATGCATTTCATGGTTTTCCTATGTAGTCTGTGAGATGTTTTTTTCACATGTCTTCTATTTTCACATTTTTAAATTGCCAAAAACATTGAGAAATGTCAGATGATATGAAGAAATGTGGTTTAGTAATATATTGCCCAAACCCAACCCAATATGATGAAACTGTACTATTTTTACAAATCATTAAGTTAACAAGAAAGAATTTGGGAAATATTCATTCATATGCAAAATGCCACAACCTGCCATTTGTTACAGATGCCGACCACCAAACACTGTCCACAAAATAGTTAGAGACTTTAACAACATGTCACTACTTCTGGTGGTGACATAATGAATGTTAGCTATTGTAGATCTTGGAACTCTTATTTTTACCTTTCTTGAAGTTAGCTTCTACTTTATCAAGAGTCTTCTCAAGCTTCTTGTTTCCTGGTTGTACCATGTCATCCTGGAATTCTGAAATAGTACGACACAGTAATCATTTGAACTTTTTTTTAATCTGTATACAAATAATTGAAGACTTTGATAAGATCAGATGTAGGCCTACTTACCATTCATATTGTTCTGTAAGGTACGATATTCATTTCGAATGTCTCTTCTTTTGGAGGGATCATTAGGGTCACCATCCCCTCCTCCACCAGGACTTGAAGGTTCATCACTACTTGAATGATCATCTTCGGAATCCTGTTCATTCATTTCTGGTTTGTCAAACTTTACAGTTTTACTTGGACGCTTTGGCATTCCTTTGCCCTTGTTATTGGTATCTGATGTTGAAGCTGCTACGTTAGAGTCTTTGTTTGAGGTCTGATTTCCTTTTAGCAGCACCATGGTTTGAACAAGTGGTCAAGACGAACTGAGCTAGAAATAAAAGTAGGCAATTATTAGACTGGAAGAAGATAGACACTTGCTATTTAACCTTACTTCACCAATAAATTACTCCCAAATCTTAAAAATAGGATCCACGGTCCTGTGCTCACACAGTTTGGAACCTTCAGAGGAATGTACATCCTGACTTTCAAACAAGAATATTGATTTGGATTTGTAGTCTCAAACTTTGAGAAACTTAGATAGCACAGTTGTGTGACCTAGTTTGATGACCTTTGACGTTGTAAATTTTACTTATTCAGAGCTCAATAAGGTCTTTTGTGATTAAGGGTGACCAAAATTTACATCCAAAAATCAATTTGAAAAATCAACTTTTTTGACCTTTCGAAGGTCACTGAAGGTCAAGTAAAGGTCAAATCCTAAAACTAATGTCAGATTTGAACTCCTGGCAACTTGTAGATTAGTTTTCAAAGAAAATTGGTCAAATTGAAGCCAGTTGAAAAATAACTTATTTTTACTGTTTTTTGACGTCAAATATCTCAAAAACTGTAAAAACTTGATGCTGACATATATTGAGCAATATGTAGGGAATGCTTACATCTAGTAATGATGTAATTCATTGCAAGAAATGAGCAAGTATAAGGCAAACTTTGAGAAACTTGTCAATCACAAAACCTGCCATTGACTTTATACATGAGAAAGTTTCCTGAAAATGACCAAGTCCTACTTTTTGTCAAATTTTATAGAGTAAACACCAAAAACTGTAATTCCAAGAGCTTTGAAATCTTCAGAGGACATAGGTTGCATATACAGCAACTACTACAAGTTATTTGAAAGTTCTACTTCAACAAAGTGTCTAGTAGTTACAGAAAATTTGACGTTAAAATCAGCAATTTCTCGGAAACCGGGCGAACTTGAGAAATGGCGATGATAGGTAAAATAGGCATTATGGATATGCATAAAATGAAAGTGCATGTGACTCAATCCGAATAGCAGTTTTAATTTGTGCGGCCAATGTTGACGGACGGACGGACCAACAGACGGACGGACCAACGGACGGACGGACCAACGGATGGATGGCAGACCAATGGACGGACGGACGCCTGGTCGATCCCATAGGCTCACTGTGTGAGCCAAAAATAGCATGATTCACCACCACCACCACCACCACGATCTAATTTAAAATTTTCCAAAACTTTGAGAAATCTGTATAATGTTTGCACAAATTCTCACTTTACTACGTGTACGTAATGAACCTATTATATAAGTATTTGATTTGTGCTGTAGAAGAAATTACGATTGGAAATAAAATAAATTTTGATAAAAAATTATTCGGCGAGGTCACATGACATGATGAAGATTCTTTGCAGAACTTGATTTATCACTTTGTTGCAATTAGGCTTTGATTAAAGTTAGAAGCTGACTTTTCATTGGGACTGTGGAATCCCTTGGAGGGGAAAAAGCCCTAAAAACCATAGAATAGACTGTAAATAGCTCCCTGTGTTTCTGGGTGTGTTCACAGACTGTATACGAGATCTTAAATTCACTGTTGTTGTTCAGTTGATCAATATGCAGAAACGCAATGCCTTTCAGCAGATCTGTATGACCCAGGTAAAGTCTGTAGTTATTTTCTCTTAGCTACTTAATCTGGAAAATTCTTGCACCACTGGATAGTTATGTTGTTTTTCTTCAAAATGATACTAGATTTGTCAAGTAAAATCATGCTAAAGAAAAACATAGAAATCTTGGAATTGAGGGCAATGAAGTAGCTGATAAGATAGCCAAATAAGCTGCAAAAACAGCCAAAACCCTTCCACCCCCAAAAATAACAAAAACAATAGCTTACAAATCAATCAAAAATAAGTCTATTGATAAATGGCAAACTAGGTATAACCACTCTGATAAAGTTAACTTTATTCAAAACCTTATTCCACAAGTAAAAGAACAATCACAATCATTAAAGTTGGGTAAAAGATACAGTCAGACAAAAGTCTATCAAATTATATCTGGGCACATCTGTCTCAATGGCCACTACTACAAAATCAACCCTGATCTTCCCTCTCCTAACTGCGAACACTGTAATTCACCAGAATCTTTGCATCATTTGTTTCAGTGCAGCAAATACAGTGCACAGAGGGAGGCAATGCTAGCGGCTATAGACACTGTACTACTTGTAGCTAACCACAACAAACCCAGCCATAGACTTACAAACCATCACCGGTCTTAACACGAACTTAGACCAGTAAATGATAGAACGACTACAACAGTTCATACTATCTACTAATAGAATTTAATTAATCAAACTACACAGAGATAGTGACTCTTAAACAAAAGTCTCCATCATAATTGAGATATTGACTCTTTCAGTTGAAGATAACAAATGTCTTATATTAGTAAAACGTACAAGTGATAATATAGTACAGAGTGAAACCAATGTATCTAGTGACCAAAGGCAGCATTAAAGTGCCATTGTGTTTAGTTCACAAACACGTAAATTGGATAAAGAAGAACCACATGGTGTGAGCGCAGGTTTTGTGTGTCTGATGTGTGAGCCGCACAACTCATCACCCTCTTTGGAAAATCCACAGATCCAGAGCCAGATCCAGCACCTATTGGTAGTAGGCTCAAAGGATTAATGGGAAGATGAGACTCGAGCCAAAAATGCTACATCAAAAAAATGACTACCCAAAAATATGACCCTTGTACTGACCTTTATTTTTTCCATCTGTCAGACATTGATTGATCAATATTTACCCTGTAATCTCTTCTTTATGTATTAGTTTGAATGGTTGCATGATATCCATTATTGACGCTGTAATTTTCCCGGGATATTTATTTCAAATTTTCCAAGCGTAAAGATAATGGAGCACTTCGTAATTTCCGGCAGTGTCCGATGTTGTTCGTCTCTCAAATTACGTCACATCGCAACAAACAGCCAATGAAATTAAAGAATCGAGTAGCCTAACAAACCGTTGTCATTATTTCTATGGGAGTTTAAGAAACGTCATTGGACTTCTCGGTAATCTCGATCCGGAGTGGCTTCACATTCTCAGAAAAGGCATTTGACTTCGGGAATAATCATTTGAACAACGGAGATAGCCGAAGCGATCCATTAAATATACGCTCGCATATTTTACACTTTTATCAACAGACGCTCTCTTGGATGTGTGGCTTTAGTTATTGGAGTTGAAGCTGATATTACAGTACGCTTATCCCGTTCCCGGACTATGGTCCTGTGAACATCTCAATCTTTTGCCTGTGCGATTACAACATGGGAGAATTTTTTACTGATCTTACACTTCAGATACCTACTTCAATAGATTCCTTGGTAATTTAGCATTCTTTTCGTGTAGTTGAATCCACAATTGTCTGGGTTTATCGGCAGAACGAAGACATTTTCGTTTTTGATCGCAATATTTGCGTGTAACATTAACTTATTTCAACCGTCAAATTCCTCCATATTGGTACTTCCGGGCTACATCCGGGACAGCCAAACGGGGGATTCCCCTTTTAAATCCAACCGCCATTTTGAAAAGTGATGGAATCTCTCTCGATGAAAAAGAGAAAATGTTCCCGTTCTGCCGATATACCAAGACAATCGGCGGTTCCAATATATTAGAAGTTACATCTTGAGTTCTATAATGCATTGAGGTAGGTATCTTAAGTGTAAGGGGCGTAGATAATTCTCCCAAGTTGTAATCGTACAGGCAAATGAATGCGATCAGTGCAGGACTATAGTCCGGGAACGGGATAACAGTACGCATCGTTTGACTTATGACATGTGATATTTATTGAAAAACTGACTCCAAAATTGAGGAAAAATAAATTTTCCGAAGATCGCATGTCTTGTCCTTGAGTATATTTATTGAGCCTAGACACAGAGGAGGTAATCTGGCAGAGGTCCGTGGGAATTCGGACAGGACAATGTTTTATAGATCTCTGTTCTATACCCCCATAAATGTGGGGTTATTTTGAGGTTTTTTGATAGTTTGGACATTTGTTTCTCAAAATAACAAATGTCCTAAATATCAAAAATCCTCAAAATAACCCCACATTTATGGGGGCACTTAACCAAACCCGTCTGGCCCAGTAATCTACTACCGATTCTGAATTGTCGTAGATCTAGGGCCAGACAAGGTCCAATGCAAAAAAGGGGGTATTTACTCCGGAAAAAACACACTGCTGAATCATCACTTATTATTCATTCCCTATTAGCCATCCAACCAAAACATCGGGTACCATGTAAACCCAAGTATTTATTTGAAATAAAGAGAACATAACTTACGCGTAAATGTGGTGTTTTGTTTGTTATATTGATGTTGAAATGGGCACAACATTTCGTCAATATTACGTCAGTTCTCCGCACCGAATAAAGTCACGTGATGTGACGTAACACGAGTGTGACGCAATAATTTTTAAACTTTCATGGAACGAAAATACATTTCCCGGGAATCAATACATTCCAAATATTACGATTTGTTCAGCAGATTTGTTATCAAAACGTAGATTACTTTATAAAACAGACGTGTCTGTGTTGTATTTAAACTGGAAAGAAATATGGTGGACATTAAATACGATTTTTCAATTTGTTGAACTGACGGAATGTAGTACTGAACGAAATAAGCAGCCGAGACTTCTTGATATTCTACGAGATCACGAACAGATTGCAGAAGAATTTTTCTTTTTGCTGCGTTTAGACGTTTCGTTCTTATTTATTAGCCGTCATCCAGCGATGGAAACCTAATATAAATACAAAGTTTGATACAAGGAACAAACACGTAAGTGATTTTTATGATGTTTATTCATTTATCAGCACGTATTATACATTGAAAAACCAGTGTGTTTTTTCCGGAGTAAATACCCCATTTTTTGCATTGGATCGAGTCTGGCCCAGATCTACGACGTCAGGAGTAGATAACTGGGCCAGACGGGTTTGGTTAGGGGGCACTGTTCTCTGGCCACTGTAAATCTACTCACTCAACTGTCGGGAACTCCTCACCTACGTAACTATGCTTCCAAGGTAGAACTTCTAGAGGCTAGACATATACAGTACAAAAATAATGGTTTGACTGACAGGTTTTGATGATGCTAAATCACTTCAAAAAAAGAAAAGAACTAAAAATTGCTGAGCTGACAAGCCCAGAGTTTATTTCGCGCCATACTTTTAATTCTACGCATGCGTGGAAACAGTTTAGTAGCTGAATTCTGATTAGTCAATATTGCGTTCTCAAAATATCTTTCAAAATCAGATCAAATTCAAAATTTCTTTGAATAAATTACTTGCAGGAACTTTTGAATGCAACAGTATGTAAATCATCATTTGTTCTTTCCTATAAATTGTTTGAAATAGGTATAATTACATCGGATATCGAAAATATTGTGTATAACACAAATCATATTTTATGTAAATTACAAGTCCCTTATCCAATGAAAACTAAGATAACATTTCAATGTTTATTTCAACTTCCGGTTTATGAAGCGGTCAGTTCGTGCTATTTTCTCCTTATTTGATGTACCTGTTTTCATAATGATTGACTTCAGCTATCCATGTTTCGGAGTTTTATCAGTATTAGTGATATAAAGTCACAAAGTCTTGTAATTTGGCAGATATACCCACTTTTTTCAACCACCTGTTCATTTCCGCATTTAACATTCGCGCATGCGCAGTACTGCACTTAAAAAACGGTCATGGAAAATTTTGAATTTGAAAATATCGGTTCAAAACCAACCTTGCTGCATCCCTTAGGCTCAAAAACAAGCCAGTACGCGTCTGAGGTAAAGGTAAGCCATTGAAATTCCTCATTAATATATTTGCTGTCAAATCTATTGGATTTTTCCCTTCATAAATGACACGTAGATAAGAAATTTGCTTTTGAATCGAAGTCCAAAAATCCCTTCATTTTTGATTTTGACCCCTGACCTTGATTTGTTGACATTACATCTTGTTGGTTTATTTTACTGTAATATTTGGAATGGTAAAATAGTAATTGGTCTAATTTATTCCATATTACATGAAATTTATTGAATTCAGCAGCTGGACAAACATCGCCAATTACCGGGGCCAATTCTCTTTAGATCTAGATGCAGCATCAATTCTTTATCATACTTCGAAAGAGTGCTTCGCTGTATGCATAGTATAACCATGACGCCATTTCGTTTCAATATGGGGTAACTTCAATTTATGTAACATCGACACCTTGTTGTGTATTTGCTCTAGAGTCCATTTCACTGCTTCAGTTCGTCAGTAGAACGGCAAAAATAAGAAATTGGGAGACTATTGTGCAATAATATATGGAAAAGTATATTCATAATGTACATGAATGACATTTGTATATTTCAGATTTTTTAGTTTTTTGTGCAATAAGCCTGTGCCGTCTTGTAATTTGAAGAATTTCAGCCATGTTAATCTTATTGGAAATAACATGGCAGAGAAACATCCAAATATATGAGGCCACACACTTTATAGGGGAAGTCGTCCTATCATCGCACGGGTACTCAGGGAAACTACTGACGATTTCAAATATGATAACTTCAACTTACTTTGACAATATGAGACGAAAGATCAACCTTTCCTCTAAAATCTAAGTAGTGTTTGACATTTCTCAATCTCCGAACGCTAACACTTTAAGACCCCTTAGACTCGCATGTGCGATGGTCCTAATTATCGCACAGTCGTCCTAATTATCGCACAGTTATGTTTCAGATGTCATTTCACGATACTGTATACATTTCTCCGTTTATAACAGATACATACATATGCTGTAATCATTTTTCTATCAGTTTTAGTGTAAAATATCAACAAAATATACATTATACACTTACTTTTCTGTCTTTATTTGGAGGGGGTCAAAATTTGTCAGACGAATTTCACTTCTTGCGCAAAAGCATTTATGACAATGGCGGAAGTTAACAATTCTTAAAAAATGAAGAGATATTTCTAAATATATGAATAAATCATGAAGATTGGGAGTAATGGTGTTGAACTGTTTTTCGTAACACTGGTTTAAAAGATGGTGGGTGCATATTTTAGCTATTTAGGACAATCGTGCGATAATTAGGACCCTGCGATAATTAGGACCACTTCCCCTAAGCCAAACTAGAAGCAATCCAAGATATACAAATGTCATTCATGTACATTATGAATATACTTTTCCATATATAATTGCACAATGGTCTCCCAATTTTTTATTTTTGCCGTTCTACTGACGAACTGAAGCAGTGAAATGGACTCTAATTTTAGATCTAGGAAGCCATGTTTTTCTTCTCACGTGTAGTGGTGGGACTCGCCACCAAAATCTCTACTCGAGAATGATAAATTTGACAATTGAGTAGATGATTTTGGCGATTATTTTTTTTAAAAATTGAGAAAATTAGAACCTGGAAAATCAAGGCATTTGACACTACTTACATCGACTTTTGGTTTAATGAGTTCCATTTTGGATGTTTTAGACTCACATTTACCGTATATTAGCAATGATATAAGTATTTTATGGATTTTTTTCGACTTTGAAATTCCCACTTCCGTCAAAATACATATGCGCATGCGATAAACCGGATATAAAGCAAACATAAAAAGCAATGATACGATTCTCATACTTCTCATCAATTGACCATTAAATCAACAAAACAATCTGCAGAATCTAGTCAGAAGTATGTAATTTATTAGAAAAAACGTAAAGGCAGCAACAATCCTTGCTTAAATCTTGAGTTTGGAGGGTAAATCAAGATTTTTCTCAGAAGTTTTCAGGATCACATTTTTCAAATTTTCAATCGATTGATCAATTTACTAGGCTCATTCGAGTTCTAGTCGATTACTCGAGTCACTGGTTACACCACTACTCACGTGGATGGAGATCTCAGACAGATTTTTGTCCAACAAGTATGTGTCAAAGTTACCCCATTCCTTGAGTAGACATTATTCAACTACGCATGTGTCTGGATTGGTGTACCAATACACCAGATGCGAGTAGAAATAATCTTGATTGATTTCATTAAAATTCAAAATTCAGCCAACTGATGTCATATTTGGAATCTACATGTAAAATTACATCTAGAAATGTGGTTTTGAAGAGTTTTCAATTTTCAAATTCAATTTTCTTTAAAAATGTGACTTCTAGGTCGGGGAGATTCCCCATAGACCCAGTGTTGTAAAATCACAAAAAGTTAAATATCTGTTCTTGTGTTGAGCAGGTAATATGTTCTTTTACTGGATATATTTTAATTTGTATAACTATCAGATACATAAGGGTAATATGAAAAGTGAACCACTAAAACTGATGATTATTCAAGTTTATGGGAATTTTGTAATACCCTGCCATGTTATTTCCCCCGAATCAGCCACCTGGTAGCAAAAGTGGAAACTACCTACTCGCATCTGAGTAATTGCTCTAGGGCTTTGTGGACTGTATGTTTTACAAATCCAGGGGTGTTTTATCTTGTGCCAATCCCTCATGTACATTCTTGTCTTTGGAGGGTATAATGGCTAAATGAGCTGCGGCTAATTATATTTCAAAAGTGGAAAATTTCCAGTTTAATTATATTATGAAACCTAAGCCCTGTATACTATTTACTTTATTGCAGTTTCAACCATTTCAATCAGTTCAATCATTTCAATGCTTGCAGCATTTATTCCTGTTTCAGTACTTGCATCTTTTGAGCATTTCAACAGTTTCAATTGATATGCCTTTGAAGAGAAATTAAAGTATCGCTGCTTGCGCTTGTCTCACGATTTCTAGCATTTTCAATCACGTGACCAATTTAGGAAGCAACAAATTTAAAGAAAAACAAATATGAATGTTTCCCCTTACCAAAACTAAGCCCTCTATTTATCCAACTAGATGTACATGTATAAGCAAGCCAGTGGTAGTTCACTGCTCATAGCTATTCTGAAATTTTGATTCAAACATGACCGTGCTCTATTCGAATTTCTCAACCAATCAGAATGCAGCATAGCCAATATAGAACGTTCTCTAATTCTCCATAGATGCACGACCATGCTCTATTCAATCTGCAATTTGCATTGTTTTGAGTGACGTCACATCTCTGCAGCTGCACATCTGGGGCTCTGTCCGGGGATAGTTGTTCTTTTTTACTCCCTACTTTATTTTATCAACACCCCATGTTTGCATACACCGTATAAAATCTAAAACGGGGAGTAAAATAGAACAGCCCAAACAAATTCTAAAAATTTTCCGGCCGACTTCAGAATCTTGACAGCATGCGTATTCTTCCTTCATGCCCGTTCCACAGACACGGCTTTTACTAATTTTTATGTTTGAATCGGAATAAATAATGACAGGCCATTCAATATGGTGAAATTCAGCACTCGTTGGACAGAATGTTAGTACAAATGCACTCACCTTCGGCTCGTGCTTTGTACAACATTCTGTCCAACTCGTGCTGAATTTCACCATATTGAATGGCCTATCATTATTTATTCCTTAAATTATACTAAAATATAAAGAGAAGTATTGTATACATGATCTTCTTTATTTCCAGAATGAATCTTGACAATCTCACCTCGTTTTCTGATGAAAATTCTGTACCTAATTTCAAAGTGCCGAAACTTGCGAAATCTCCCATATTAGGCGAGCGATCTATTCTCAAACCATTGAATAAAGAGAACATTAATGACAGTCTGATTCTGTTTACGCCAGAACCAACTAAATCCAAGCATAAATCAAAGGTAAGCAGTTCTTGTACATTTCCATGGCATTTTATTTTATTTTGAGATATTATGACTAGATGGATGTTTTGAAATGATTTATTGTTTAAAGATGGCACTGTAGTGATAACTGTAAAAATACTACCTGCTGTGGCACATTACTCCTGCATACAAGCCAAAAAATAATTTAACAATTCGTTTAATTTGTAACAGAGCTGCCTTATAGATAAACTGACATCTGACTCCCAATCACTTATAACCTGCACTAACCTTTATAGGGGAGAATGTCTCAAGAGTAATGAAGCACATTTTGAGTTCTGAAAAAGATGATAAATGGAGAAAACATCCATCAAGTTATTTTTGTTAATTTGATGAAAATCATTGATTCACTGTCTTCGGGAGGAGAGAGTGGGTCAATCTGAAATGAAATTATTAATAAAAGCTAAGCTACTACTACCCCCATACCAAAATAAGCAATTGAACTTTTAATTCATAGAAACAATTTTGGTTTTGCTGATTTTACTCATATATTCTGGAGAAGTATTGCTTTTGTTATGACATAAAGAGGATTTTGTAATTTTATAGTGAGATAAGGTATGATTAGAGCACATAACATGCAGGTAACATCATCTCCCATTTATCTCCATAGGTGATTTATCAAAAGTTTCAACATAAAATCAACCTGTTTAGGTTGCAGTAGCTTTAACTCAAAACACATACAAGGAATCTTCTCAATTAGGCTGAGGAATGTCTGATATGTTAAACTATTTTATAGTATTTATCTTATTAAAATTTATATACAATCCTCAAGAAATAAAATAAATAGTGATAAATAGCACAAGTGCATGCATCTGCATCAATTATAGCATCAGGATAACTATAAGGATGCTGGTGTATCCCAGATCAAGGGCTGTCTTATAGGCATTAACGGCAGATAAGATCATCCCATCATGGTACTAAACCCAAAGTTATTTGCAAAATTTTTGACTTGTATCATGATCTACTAGTGGTTTAGTGTGTTCTAATTTTTTAGTGCGCAATAACTTGCAAAACATGCACCATGATGTGCTAACTGGAATACCACAGTACCAATGTCATATGCCTCTAGTTAGTTAGTTACATCAAAAAACTCAAGTGGAATGTTGAAAAGTAACTTATGAAGTGATGGACTATAATATTGAGAAAACTTAAACATGAATCACTAAGCAACTTGGAGTGTTTAAATTTGAATTCAGTTGTTCATTATTAATTGCAACATTTATGAACACTGAAATAGAAATGGGAGCTGAGGAAAGTAAACAAACTCCTCAAGGAACCAAGCCTGAAGATAACAAGCGAGGGCATCTTGAAACTCTACCTGGTGGCACAAATCCTAAACAAACAAATAAGGAACACCATGGTTACTCAGAATCAAGTGCTTCATCCTTACTGCAGGATGGGATTCTAGCAGATGTCAAAATGCCTACAGAGTTGATGGTCCAGATTCCAGAAAATAACCCCCAGAATGATGGTGGTGTTATTGAAAAAGAAACTGCTACTGTTATTGAAGAAAGAATACAAGAAATGGAGACAGGACAAATTGTATTAGATGACATAAACACTGAGACAAAAGATTCTGAAGCCACTGAGAATATTGCAGCCATTGAGTCACGGGAAATTGTAGCTTCTGAGTCAAAGGATATTAGAGTGACTGAGTCCCGGGAAATTGTAGCTACTGAGTCAAAGGATAGTGTAGCTACTGAATCTCAGGAAACTGTAGCCACTGATTTAAAAGGCACTGAAGCTACAGAGACTGAGAATATTGTAGCCACTGAGTCCCAGGAAACTGTTGCCATCGAGTCCCAGGAAACTATAGCAGCTGAGTCAAAGGATAGTGTAGCCACTGAGTTTAAGGAAACTGTAGCCATTAAGTCAAAGGATATTGAAGTGATTGAGTCCCAGGAGAATGAAACCACTGAGTGCCAGGAACCTGTAGCCACCGAGTCAAATGATATTGAAGTGACCAAGTCCAAGGAAATTGTGGCTACTGACTCCAAGGAAACTTTAGCCACTGAATCCCAGGAAACTGTAGCAACCGAGTCCCAGGAAACTGTAGCCATTGGGTCAAAGGATATTGAAGTAACTGAGTCCCAGAAAACTGGGTTTCAGGAAACTGTAGTCACTGAGTCAAAAGATGCTGAAGCCACGGAGACAGAGAAAATTACGGCCACTGAGTCGAAGGAAACTGTAGCCATTAAGTCAAAGGATATTGAAGTGATTGAGTCCCAGGAGAATGAAGCCACTGAGTGCCAGGAACCTGTAGCCACTGAGTCAAATGATATTGAAGTGACTATGTCGCAGGAAATTGTAGCTACTGAGTCAAAGGAAACTGTTGCCACTGAGTCCCATGAAACTGTAGCAACCGAGTCCCAGGAAACTGTAGCCATTGGGTCAAAGGATGTTCAAGTAACTGAGTCCCATAAAACTGAAGCCGCTGGGTCCCAGGAAGCTGTAGCCACTGAGTCAACGGATAGTGTAGCCACTGAGTCTCAGGAAACTGTAGCCATTGAGTCAAAAGATATTGAAGTGACTGAGTCCCAGGAAATTGAAGCCACTGAGTCCCAGGAAAATGAAGCCACAGGGTCCCAGGAAACAGTAGCCACTGATTCAAAGGATAGTATAGCCACCGAGTCTCAGGAAACTGTAGCCATTTTGTCAAAGGATATTGAAGTGACTGACTCCCGGGAAATTGTAGCCACTGAGTCCAAGGAAAATGAAGCCACCGAGTCAAAGGATGTTGGAGTAACTGAGTTCCAGGAAACTCTAGCCACAAAGTTCCAGGAAAGTGAAGCCACCAAGTCCCAGGAAACTTTTGCTACTGAGTCCCAGGAAACAGTAGCAATTGATTTAGATGATGCTCAGACCACAGAGACAGAGAAACTTGTGGCCTCTGAGTCGAAGGAAACTGTATCCACTGAGTCAAATGATATTGAAGTGATTAAGTCCCAGGAAACTGTTACCACTGAGTCCAAGAAAACTGTTGCCACTGAGTCCCAGGAAACTGTAGCAACCGAGTCCCAGGAAACTGTAGCCATTGGGTCAGAGGATGTTCAAGTAACTGAGTCCCAGGAAACTGAAGCCACTGGGTCCCAGGAAGCTGTAGCCACTGAGTCAACGGATAGTGTAGCCACTGAGTCTCAGGAAACTGTAGCCATTGAGTCAAAGGATATTAAAGTGACTGAGTTCCAGGAAATTGAAGCCACTGAGTCCCAGGAAAATGAAGCCACCGGGTCCAAGGAAACAGTAGCCACTGAATCCCAGGAAACTGTAGCCACTGATTCAAAGGATAGTATAGCCACCGAGTCTCAGGAAACTGTAGCCATTGTGTCAAAGGATATTGAAGTGACTGAGCCCCGGGAAATTGTAGCCACTGAGTCCAAGGAAAATGAAGCCACCGAGTCAAAGGATATTGGAGTAACTGAGTTCCAGGAAACTCTAGCCACAAAGTCCCAGGAAAGTGAAGCCACCAAGTCCCAGGAAACTTTTGCTACCGAGTCCCAGGAAACTGTAGCAATTGATTTAAAAGATGCTCAGACCACTGAGACAAAGAAAATTGCTGCCACTGAGTCAAAGGAAACTGTACCCACTAAATCAAAAGATATTGCAGTGTCTCGGGAAATTGACTCCACTGAGTCAAAAGATCTTGAAGTAACTGAGTCCCAGGAAACTGTAGCAGCTGAGTCGAAAGAAACTTTAGCCATTGAGACAAAAGATGCTGAAGCCACTGAGATAAAGAATATTGCAGCCACCGAATCCCAGGAAACTGTAGCTACTGATTCCCATGAAACTGTAGTCACGGAGTCAAATGATATTGGAGTAACTAAGTCCCAGGAAAATGAAGCCACTGAGTCCCAGGAAAGTGAAGCCACCAAGTTCCAGCAAACTGTAGCTACTGAGTCCCAGGAAACGGTAGCCACCGAGTCAACGGATATTGAAGTAACTGAGTCCCATGAAACTGTAGCCACTGAGTCCCAAGAAATGGTAGCCACTGAGTCAAAGGATAGTGTAGCCACTGAGTCTTTGGAAAATGAAGCCGCTGAGTCTCAGGAAACTGTAGCCACTGATTCAAAGGATAGTGTAGCCACTGAGTCCAAGGAAAATGAAGCCACTGAGTCTCAGGAAACTGTAGCCACTGATTCAAAGGATAGTGTAGCCACTGAGTCTCAGGAAGCTGTAGCAATTGAGTCAAAGGATATTGAAGTTACTGAGTCCCATGAAACTGTAGCCACTGAGTCCAAGGAAAATGAAGCAACTGAGTCAGAGGATATTGAAGTAACTGAGTCCCATGATACTGTAGCCACTGAGTCCCAAGAAAGTATAGCCACTGCGTCAAAAGATGCTCAGACCACTGAGACAGAGAATATTGCAGCCATTGAGTCTCATAAAAACGAATCCCCTGAGTCAAAGGATCTTGTAGTAACTGAGTCCAATGAATCTGTGGTAACTGAGTCCCAGGAAACTGTGGCCACTGAGTCCCAGGAAACTGTAGCCACTGAATCAAAAGATGATGAAGCCACTGAGACAGAAAACTGGGAAAATGAATCAAATGAGTCAAAGGATGTTGAAGTAACTAAGTCCCATGAAACTGTAGCCACTGAGTACCAGGAAATTGTAGCCAATGAGTCAGAAGAGGCTGACACAGAGAAAATTGCAGCTACTGAGTCCCAGGAAACTGTAACTACTGAGTCAATGGGTAGTGGTCTCAAAGAGTCTCAGGACACTATAGCCACTGAATCAAAAGAGACAGAGAATATTATAACCAGTGAGTCCCAGGAAAATGAAACAAATGAGTCAAGTGATATTATAGCCACTGAGTCCCAGGATTCAGTAGCCATTGGGTCCCATGCTGCTGCAGCCAGTGAATCAAAGGATACTATAACCACTGAATCCATGGGTACTGAAGTCATTGAGTCCTTGGATGATTTAGCCACTCAGTCAGAGGATATTGATGTGACTGAATCCCAGAAAAGTGTAGCTCCTGAGTTCCAGGATACTGTAGTCATAGAGTCTCAGGATGCTTTAGTCACTGAGTCAAATGATATTGTGGCCACTGAATTCCAGGATACTGCTGCCATCAAGTTCCAAGATACTGAATCCCTTGATACTGTAGTCACTGAGTCCCATGATACTATTGCCACTGAGATCCAAGATAGTGTAGCCACTGAGTCAATGGACACTGCATCCACTGAAACCTCGGATAATGTAGTCACTGAATCAAAGGATAGTAAAGCCATTGAGTCTCAGGATGCTATAGCCACTGAGTCAAATGATATTGTAGCTACAGTGTCAAAGGATGGTGGAGCCACTGGACCCCAGGACACTGCAGCCACTGAGTCCCTGGATACTGAAGCCACTGAAACGAAGAATTATATAGCCACTGAACCTCAGGATACTAAAGCCACTGAGTCTCAGGATATTATATCTACTGAATCAGAGGATGCTATGGAAACTGAGTCAAATGACTCCCTGGAAGTTTTAGTCATAGATTCAAATGATGCTGTAGCCATTGAGCCTGATCATATTGTCATTGAACCACAGAGTATTTCAGCAACTGATGCAACGCTTTCAGATTCGAATGAAAATATTACTGAGCCACATAACAAAACTGCTTCAGAGGAGCAAAATGATGTAAGTTGATAAATGTGTTAGATGTATGACTAGAGCAGTAAGGATGAAGTCATAAATGTAATACAATATGAACTGTTCATATACATCTACATGTAAGCCCTACATGATGTCAATTTCCTCATTATAAGATTTTCATTTTTATGCTTTCAGGTCACCTTCCAGACACCAAGTAGTCAGAGACCAAAACCAATTAAACCAACTCCAGAATCCCTCCCACCTCAAATACCGCATCAACCAGTGCAGATACCCCATCAACCACCTCAAGTTCCACATCAACAAAGTCCCTATGACCACATCAAAGAGCTTGATGAAGAAGAAAATTGGATAGAGAGGACATCTGTACTAACCAAAGAAGACCATACTGATTATCTACAAATTGCTGGTGATATCCTGTCTGATCTCATTAGCCAAATTCCTATAAGGTAACATTTTTAGTGCATTTTGTGACTGAACTAGTGTACAAACATGTACTTTTATATATGGTTTGTTTGAAACTGATACAAAGTTATCTGAATAATGAGTTTACATAAGCATCGTGATATTTAACTCATGTTGGGAATCATGACTTTTGTTCCTTCTTTGGGTAATGGTTGCTAAATTTGTTTCATCAGAATATAATAGGATTAGTGGAAAAGGTAATGAGCAGAATCAACAGGTTTCCATGGTAACCATTTCTCACTGATGGTATATTTAATTACTAGTTGGCAAGTTATATTAAGGTAGAGTCAGAATTAGCACCCTCCATGTACTAAGAAAACAAACAGGAATTGCCAAATGAACAACTGCTTTCAGTTTGGATCTTGGACTCAGCCCAGAAATTCTAATTATAAACCTTTATTATTATAAGATTATGATCTGCTTTGTTTTTGGTTGCGTAATTTATTTGATATAATGCCGTTCTTTTACTTAAAACAGTTCCACATTTTTAAAAATTAATCAAATAAATAATTTGGGGAAAAGTAATTTCAAAGTTTAATCGAAATATCTTGGTTTTGAACAATATAATCTCTCATTTTAATGTAAAAATATCTGCATAAGAATGTGAAAAATATGACATTTTTTGTATTTCATCAATAATTTGTTAATTTTTATCAGGAAATTACATAAAAATTATCATAATACATGACTGTACAGAACTACCTTAAACATTGGAAATGATATGATGGTTCAAGACTGGCTATTCACCCTATGCTTAGTGAGCGGAGCTAATTTCAAGGGTGATGGTAAAGACGAGGCAGGGCGCCCAAAAACCAAAAAATATTAGTACCATAATCTTTTAAGTCGTATTATTGCAGCATAGGGTGATGATATTGTGATATTTTATGCTGTTTTAGAAGAGAAAGATGTTAAACTATGCATACAGTTTGTTTTACATCCAATAAAACGAATAGTTAAGATGAAACAGTCGTTTAAAGATACAATTTGAATTTACCGCAAGAAATCACAACCTAATATTGTCAATATGTCAATAATTCCTGATCGATGTCACATATAAAGATATATGTACTTAGATATGTTTTATTTTTTCATATATGCGAAATAAGGCGGTCTCTGGTTATGTACATCCAATGCAAAATGAATGTTTACTAGAGTGTCTATTCGGCGATCAGAATTTCGATGACGAGCAATGGCGATGTAATTTGCGAAGAAAGCATCAGTGCACCTAGTTACAGGCCAGGTTTGGGCGCCATGCCTTGTCTTTACCATCACCCTTGAAATTAGGTCCGCTCACTAAGCATAGGGTGCTATTTGAGAGACATCTTTAAGAGATGTTGCGATTGAAATTCATGTCTTACTTGGCTTTTTTTTCTAATTGCAAATAGAGAACATTTGTGGAATGATTTACATGATACTGACCTCCCTAGCCTTAAAAAGGGGACACTACCCATTGTTGAGATTTTGAAAATATCTTTGTACCTGTATGAATAGCAATTTGCAGCCACATGGAAATGAGAAAAATCATGAAAAATTTGCATGTTAAAGAATGAGAATCTGAAAGAGGAAAAACGTTGACTTTGTCATAAGGATCAAGAGAATAATGGGGAAGGCAGATTTTCATCACATATATTTCCAATCCATCTTTGTGACTCAAGTATTTAAATAACTTTACTACCCCAAGTGTTTAATGGCACAGTTATTTAGACTTTTATTTGACTACAATGAATCTCTGAATAGTTTTACTGTTGAGGAATGAGGTTCTCTTAGGTTCAATACTAACTGGCTTGAACTATTCAGCAAACAGCTGTTATAGGTTATTTCAATCTGTTTACCAAGGGAAGTCATGTGCTATCAATCATACCTTCACCAGGTGTTTGGCAGTTAACGAGGTACAGAAAAAACTTGTATGTATTGATTGAAAGTTTATACCTGAACTTTTTTCTTTACATTTAGTGTATATTAACAAGCCAGGATTGCTGGATAATTGCACATAATATAGCTATCAATAAAGAGATATTTGACAGAAAATTCAGATGAGATATTACACAGTGCAATTGGATTATCAACGATTCATCTGGTATTATTAACACTGAACAGTGAAGCATTGGAAGATCCAGTGACTAAAATATGGAACTGAATTAATAACACAGTGAAATAAAATGGATTGAAATATGCACACGTGGAACGCCCAATCTGTATTTTATAAATTTTTTGATTGAGTCGTGTTGGATATGGTAGATAGTTGAAATATAGTGAGTGAGAGATCAGTGCAATGATCTTCACATATAGCTCTAATATACTTTTAAGTATAGGAAACTGGCCAGTTACTGTTTGCCACGTTAAGCTCATCATAAATCGTACCTGAGGTGAAATCACTTACTGGAAGAATTTATTCTTGAAATATCCATGGAATTGTATTCTGGACAAATTACTAGCTGCGCACATGGTCAAGAATTTGATAGCAGAGTCATTATAGTAGAGTGGAGATATCAGGTCTGGAGTAGATAAATTCATATTAATTCAGAGAACTGCACTATTACCATAGATATCTGAACAGTTTTATGAGTATAACTATAGGACTGGATTTTGTCATATTTTAGAACACAAACATGGAGTGAGTATATTTGGTATCCTTATCGTTGTTTTATCTAAATCACAGTCACAGCCTTAAATGTATTTAGTCTGTATAATATTTATAGTGTATTTGAATTACTTTTTGATCAGCTGAAATAGTGTGTTTATTCATCACTTATGTTTATCATATCACCTTACTTGCTGCTTTTTAAAAATGTCACCTTGGCTCAGTTTACTGTGTAAAATACTTATGATGAGCAGGGTTTGTTTGTTTGAACTTCCTAAAACAAGTTGAACGCAAACAAAGTCACAGTCTGAATGATTCACACTTCCTAGCTACCTTCCAGTGCTCTGTACAAAGTGACATGTTAAATACATGTACACCCACTTTCGTGGAGAAAAGAAAAAGTATTCAATTTAGGTAAAATTTAGAAATAAACACAAGGATATTTTGTTCACAGTTAGGAAATCAAGATTTTCAAGGTATAGGCAACGTGTTTTATTTATGTTTTATTTGTATGTTATACTTCAGTGGTTCATTTAATAGAGTAGACAAAAATAGTAAGCAAAGTCGCAACCTTCAGAGATTGAGCTAAAGTACTGTTTAAGTTTTGTTCAAGAGGTTTATCTTAAAAGACTATTGATCATATAATATAAATCACTACGAGTATGTACTAGAATTTAGATGTTCTACTTATTTGTTTGATTCAAAAGGGTATTTCGTTTACACATGTGGTCAAACTATAATCATTATGTTGTCCTTAAAGTACAGTTCCAATGTGTTCAGTGTATACTAAATGTGTACTTATTCCAACCATTTTATAATGGCAAATTTCTGATGTTGATGTTTTTTTGTATTTACAGAGAGGAGTCAGAAGAAGACGAGTGTTTTGGTACTCCACCTGAGAGCAACATCACCATCCCTACGGAGTTCACTACACCCCCTGAGAAGAAACCAATCCATACAGCTGACACTAAGGAGCCTACCCCTCCTGAACTACAGATTCTTCAAGAGCCTATTCTTGATTCCCAACCTCCCAAAGAATCTTCTCTTGATACTGAAGAACCTCAAGAACCAATCCTTGTATCTGAAGAACCCAAAGAATCTACTGTAAATCTTGAAGGATTCCAAGAGCTTTCCAAAAAGGACAAACCTACTGAACTTCAGCCAAGTGAGCTTGGGTCTAAATCTCCTAGCCAGGAACCAGTATTACCCATTCCAGCTGTTGAAGACACTGTCCAGGAACCAATACTCAAAGACACCCCTATTGAAGACCCACAGCTTGAGGTCCCTGACGCACCCAAAGAGCAGCATACAGAAAAGGAACAAGACCTTCAGTTTGCGCTTACTGATATAGACTCTGTTGAATCTGAAGCTATTCCTGATCTTAATAACACAGCTAGTGATGCAGAGGTAGTGAGTGCACCAATGCCGATCCCAGATAATAACAAGATGGCTGAGGAAAATGATGATGATATGCTCCCAACACCTCCAAGAGGGGCATACAACTTCAACTTTGATGACTTTGATGAAAATAGTGACCCATTCGGATCTAAGATCAAAATGTCAAACTCGCCTCCACTTAAGTCGAAGGCTATTCCTCAAAACATTGATGACATTAACCCGTTTCAATCTAAGAAATCTTTAGCTAATTCCCCACCCTCTGCCGATCCCTTCAAATCATCAAAGGCTTTAGCCAATTCCCCACCAACATCTGCTCCTATAAAGACCCCGAGTAAAGACACTGATGCAAATGACAATTTCGATGATATTGACCCATTTCAGTCGAAGAAGTCTTTGGCTAATTCTCCACCCTCTGCCGATCCATTTAAATCCTCTAAAGCTTTAGCCAATTCTCCACCAACATCTACACATATGGATGCTAATGATAATTTCAATGACATTGACCCATTTAAAGTGAAGAATTCCCTTGCTAATTCACCTCCATCTGGGTCTCCCATAATGAGCCTTAACAAGGACATTGACTCCAATGATAATACACTGCTCAACACTGGGGACAGCAATGTTGACACAACTTTGGCTTGGGATGATAAAAAGGAGGAAGCACTAAAACAAGAGGAGAAAAAGGCTCCTGTGAAGAAAACTCCAAAGTAAGTACTCCTCTTTCATATCTCTTTCAACTTTTTATCATTTAAGTTTTGTCATTTTAAATAATAGAATATATGTTCAGAGTTGGTTATGGTTGTACTGGTTAGTGATAGATGGTGTTCAAATGCCAAAAGGTTTAGTCTGCAAAAAATCTAGAAATGATCTGAAATCATTCCAATAGATGGAAGCATATGTTAGTGTATTACTAAATTTACTAAAATAATGTATGGACCTCAGTAATTTCCTTCCTTCCTCTTTTACTGTTAGTCACATCAATGTGAAATTGATAAATTCACTATAATGTGTGTGAGGCAATGGTAATTTGAATCTATCAAATCCAAATATAAGCTGTCTAAGAGCCAATGTGCGTATAATCATATGGCCTCTAATCTTTTAATTTAGAGAGTTTTAAGATAGTTTCTTCAAAAAGCAGCAAAATATAAGAGGCCAAAAATAAGCTGTCTAAGAACCAATGTGCGTATAATCATATGGCCTCTAATCTTTTAATTTAGAGAGTTTTAAGATAGTTTCTTCAAAAAGCAGCAAAATATAAGAGGCCGCACATTTTGTTAAAGTCAAACCACAAGCAATAGAAAGTATATGCAAACAAACATTTTGCATCTAAAAAATATAAACGTGTTTTCCATATGAATATATCTGCATTGTGGTTTGATTGCTTGTTTTTAAATAAATTGATAGACTTACATTTTCATTGCATACAAATGTAACCTTATTCATTCATAATGGAAATGTTCTTTTTCAACATAAGGAATTTGTTTGAAAACAGAAACTTAGATGTTGATTGAACCCATCAAATATTTTAAATGCAATTGGACTTTTTCTTATGTTTAACCAGGGGTAAATCTTTTCAAAGAAGATTTTCAAATTTGAAAAATAAAATGTCCTATAAATCTTCTTATCTTTTTAGAAATCTCACTAGTTGGCCTTTACAACATATTTAAAATGAAATGTACATAAAAATCAACATGTTAAGTGCTTTATTTGCTTTTCTTTAATCAAGGTCTAATCAAAGTGATTCAAAGGGCATGATCTCAACTTCTCAAAACAAAAACTGATTTCGTATAAACATGTACTATGATGGATTATTACAGGATTTTATTGAATTCATATTTTGCTAGTAGCTTTTAAGAAATCCTAGTTTACAAAGGATTATGATTATTTGTTGAAACAAGGATAAAAATTCTGATAGGATTTTGACTTTAGTTTGACATCAATTCACCCATATAGTGCTGCTGTGAATATTTTAGTTCATGTAATTGAAATGCACGAAACAGTATGTAGTACTACTAAACAACACTAAATATCACATGTGTATAACAGTTGATATACAGATGAACTGTGATCACTGTTATTAAAACACTAAATACACAGATGAACTCTATCTGTATCACAATTAGAGGAGAGTTTGGTGGGAACTAATGCAAAAAAGTAGAGAAAACTCACTATTGAGCCAAGTTAAATTTTTTGTGGATATCATGAGGACATAGTTCATTGAATAATCAGCCAACCAACAATTCATAAGTAAACTGGAAGATACCATGGGAGGTTGTCTAATAAACAGTGTATGAATGGATATACATGTATTTGTAAAATGATCTCAATTTGATAAATACTGTGGTTAACATTTAGTTAGTGAATTCAAGCTGATTTCAAGTGGATTAACATACTTTTTACGAGGATCATTATATTTTAATTCTGGTTCATACACCATGGGTAATGAACAAGGAAAAGCTAGCTCCTCTGATAAAAATGGAGCTGAAGAGAAAAAGGAACGAAAAGGCTCAATGAGATTCAAGAAGCTTTCTAGGAAAGATTCTACCAAGAAAGCAAAGTCAGACATTGGGCAGGATTCATCAGCAAAATCAGATAATAATTCAAATGTTAAGCTAAAGTCAAAAGAGTCTTCTCCTGTAAATGAATTCAAGAGGAAAAACTCAAATCAAGCAAAACCTGTCAAGGAAGTTAAAGTACCTCCAGCAAAAGAAAATGCAAAAGCAAGTTTAGCAAAGCCAGATGATAAACCACCTGTGGCAAAGGTTGACAGTAAACCAAAACCAGAAAATAAAGTTACAGCTCAAGTTGAAGTAGAAGAGAAGCCAACACCATCTAAAGTAGCCACAAATTCTCCTGCAGCTAAAGTAGAACCTAAATCAGTTGAAGTAAGTGAAAGCATAGCTGCTGATGCAAAACCATCTCCTGTAAAGAAGGAAGAAAATCATACAGCACAAGAAGAAAAATGTGCAGTTAAAGAAGCAAGCCAATCTGAAGTAAATATGCATATAAAACCATCTTCAGTATTAGATGAAGCAAAACAAGTTCCAGCAAAGTTAGAAACTAAGCAACCTAAAATAGAGAACAAGTTGAAATATGATAAAGATACTGTGCTTGAACAAAAAACTATAAAAGATACATTTTCCTCAAAATTAGATTCACAAGTAAGCCAAACAAAGGATTCTGATGAAAGAACTGTCAGGGCTACTTTCGAGAATCCTGCTGAGTAAGTGTGTGTTAAATAACAAAATCATATATCAGTTAAGTCTTGCATTTGATGTTTTAGTTTCATTTTGTATAGGATTTACCATAGTATGAGTACAGGAAAGGGGGATAGCATAGACACTTGTCAGTTATTCGAAATAAATGAAGTAGTAACTTTATATTGTGTTAGTGTACATGGTAATAATTAGACAGTACAGGGCATCTATTGTTTTATAATTATCATTCACAACAGCCGAACATAGTGCTATAAACGCCACATGTGTTTGATTAATCACTTAGTTATTGTGTATGAGGTGCATGTAGAAGTATCGTCTAATGAGCGTTTAATGGATTCTAGCCTTGTCTTTCATCTTGACATGTAATTAGTTCAATACCTGTAAGATAGATGGCACCTTTATGGCAGTTTCGATTTTGTGAAGTGTTTTATCTTTTGTTATGTCTGTGAGGTCACATATCCCTTCAATAAATGAATTTTTGATCATGACTAGTGAACAATTTAGTTGATTAGTGGGTCATATTACATTAACAAACAGAATATGTTTAAAAATGTATTATACTTGAGATGTCGTATTGCCAGTAAAATAAACATTTTTAGTCAATGTTTAGTTCTGTATCAAGCTGACTTACCTAATAATATACAAATCTTAGTTCTGAAGATAAAAACTAAAATTCAAAACCCTCAACCCAATAGAAAACTAAATATAAGATCGCAGTTAAAAGAATTAAACTACAGAGGGGTTGAGTTAATTTGAGATATCAGAAAATCCCTTGTTGATGACTTCCAGTATTGAATGTTGCTTTCAGATAGAAGCTTATGTTACGTCACATCTGTTATCATGCCACATATTTAGGGTATCTATCATCTCACAAGAAACCTGTGCTGTCTTGTTTCCTCCAGAGTAACTATTGCTACAGTAACAGTATTATACCATACAAAATCATAGTGCTTGAAAAAAAGAAATTACAAGGAATCCTAGGGAGCTACATCTTGTTTTGAATTTCCACTGAGGAAAGATTGCAAGAAAATCAGATACTTTTGAGTATTTCATTGATTTATTGATCAGTTCAGAATAAAAGAGCATCCCAAATCTAATTGAACATATTTGGATGGGTGCATAGTGAGAGGCTTGTAATTTTGTAAGACGTAGGCCTCCAGTGCCTTAAAATATTTCTAGCATCATTAGTTGGGATTTGTAAGTCGAATAGCATCTCACTGGGGGTGAGATAATCTCTATGTATGATATTTAGAACATTAAATATACAACAATGTAGGAACTACTAGTTATTAACTAACCATTACTGGCTTTGGAGCAAAATATTGGGACCATTTCGAAGTGGAGTTTGTAGCCATGTTCATTTGTTACCATGAGTTTGATAGACAAGATTTTCAGGTATATCCATAACACAACTAGTAATAGGATAAGATAATGTTACGAAAGAGAAGGGCATATTTTTTTGTTTTATTACCAAGGGAATATTCAATATGACATCGAGGATTATTTCACTGTTTTGATGTTTACATTTAAACAAGACCAACTGTATTGTCATGAAAATCATTGGAGAAGGCATACATTCAAGGCCTTATAGCTTATTATGTCATCACCAAAAGGTTGTGACATATTGTTACAACATCTGCAACAAATGGTTACACTTTTGAAATTGCAGCCAGGTCGAAACTTTTTGTCATTTTTATGCATAGGTGTCTTTTTATTAAAGTTTTAAACAACTTTAAAATCCATTTTTGCTTTGTATTTTCAGAAAGAAGGGTGCGTCAGTCAAGAAGCCAATCAAGAAGTTTAAACCTCCACCACGACCAGCTAACCAGGTAGAGTACAAAGCTTCAACTTTTTTTGTAGAGATCACTTTTTTTTTTAATATGTAAATCTCCAAAATATTTTTGATTTATCTTGAAGTATCCTTTTACATGCAGATATTAAGGATATTGCATGTTTTAAATAAGGAGTACTTTTGCAGTTTGATTGCAATTCTACATATGCTTTTGAGATGCATCTTTCATGCATACTGATTGAATAAGCATGTCCAAATAATGGCAAGTATAGTATGCTTGTTGTTTATATATGTATTGCTTTTTGTGCAGGGGGATGGAGATGAGATTCAAATATTTGCTCCACCTCCCAAGAATACACAATCCAGTCCTGAGGAACCACCTACCCCTACACCAACCAATCAGGGTACAGAGAATGCATTCAATCTGGAGCAATCGGCAAATCAGAAGGCAGAAAAACCAGTTGCTATGGATATTTCTTCAGAATCCGTCAGTCAGAAAGCACAAACTCCGCCCCTCCCAAATCCCGCAAATATCAAAGAAGAATTGGTGACACCAGAGAGTAGTGCTATACCGAATGATTTTCAGGATGAGTTCGATAACGAGGAGTTCAAGCCTGCAACTGAAGGTAAGAGAACGAGGAAAACCTTTCATTAAAAAATAAAAAGGCCCATTCTAGAAAAAATTGATATGATCAGAGATCATGGATATTGAATAAAATTTCCAATTTTTGGTTTCTAGTAAAAAAGGTCAATACAGGCTAGGAATTGAAAAAGTGAATAATAGAAATTCAGGCACTTCATTTTTACCCTGAAAACCTCAAGCTAAACTGACATTTTAAGAACAGTTCATGATAGATTTAATTACTATACCCCATTGACCCGTTCTACTTATTTTCTTCTTTTTTATGGGTACATGCTTACATCCATAATAATAAAGAAAATATAAAGTCAAGTGTAACCCTGAATATAAATTACACCATACTCTTATGGGTCTTTACTTAGCTTGTAATAAATTTCTCTGTTCTCTAAGTAATGAGCCCATAGAGCTCAGTGTTAAAACTCATTGTAACTTTGATGTCATTTCTTAAGTTATAATTATGCAGTATAAAACAGTTCCTCCAGCTCACCCTGTGAAACCATTCAGATTTTACATGATCTTTAACATTTATGTTAATTAAACAAAATAACCAATTAATATTTTCCATTTGGGTTCACAAGCATTTTTACTGTTACATGGCAATGTAATTTTCACAGAATAGTGTAAATGAGTAAATAAATGTACATGAACTAGATTTCTGCAAATAACAATAATTAAACCAAAGAACAAATCAATACTGAGGTTCACAAGCATAAACTATTACATGATACTGCCTTTGTAATAATTCTATCTACTTTTTCCATGATTCATCCTTCTTGAATTATGAGATACTGTCAGGTAATAAATGAATCCACAGCTGGCTGTTGCATATAAACACACACATGAAATATTCAATAACAATAGTTTACATTAGTTCTCTATAAGCGTCTGTCAGCATTTCCAATACAACTTTCTCATCAAGATGCATATCTATTTATCTATTATGAATACTTTATGGTAATTGAATAATTGAAATGAAGATATTGATTTCCCATGTAATATTGTAGAACTAGGAAATATTACAATAAGACAGTTGAATGGGGTTAGCATTGGGATTAACAAGGGAATATGTTGGATATTTGACGTAAAGAGTGCAATCAACAGGTATGGTATTTCAAATATTTTGACAATTAGATTCTTGTATGTGCCTACCACGCATATACTGTATACTGCCTAGTTTCAGAAATGACTTATTACAGGAAAACCAGTATTCCTGGAACTTTTTACGGTTGAATAAACCTGTCCTAATTAATGTTGGAGAAATCTCTTCAGGATGTACCATTTCCTTCGGAGTTTTACTGTAGGGAATTTCAAACATTAGTATTAATGGACAAAGGGGATTTTGTAATATTTAGGTTACTTCGGTCCAAAGCCTTCTCTATATTCCGGCTTTGAGGAGGAAGATTGAGCTGCCTTAGTATTATAAATATTGTAAATCATTGTGTCACACGCACAGTAAATATGGCATAATAATATGAAATATACCTTTATGTATAGATTTGAAGAACATCAGCTCACATCCCCGTCTGAATCTATTGTTATATTTGATTTCTTTAAGCGAGAATAATTTCAAATGTTATTCACGTCCAGAACCGGAAGCCATTTTTAGCTACAGCGAGAAAATTTCACCATGTGTCAAACTCCGAAATGAAATTTTGAAATATCTAAATCCAGACAAGCAACACTTCATCCTAAATATGATTAATATTCTTAAAAATATTTATAAAATTTATTAAAAATGAGTTCTAGGTGCGTGTAGGTGCGTGTAGCACAGTACATACGAAATCAATGAAGTTTCGTCTAGCTGTAAGCTAGAGACTCGAGTAATATTTAGGTACATCAGCTTTTGTTCATGGAGGATCATTTCCAATATAAATGATATTTTATGTTTTATTTTGTCAACAAATATTAAAACGTATCAAACCTGCAGGCAAATCAGGTACATACACACATTGAGACAGGGGAATGTTGGGCAACACATGCACCTGTTGTTACAGCCTAATTATAGCTGTACTACATCAAAGCATATTAAAACAATGCTACATTTTTTTGCTGAAGTTAATATTGATTTCATAATGTTTATTTTTTATAAAATTCATTAGCATTCAATTTTGATGGTTATATTTGTTTTTTTTATGTGGACACTACGATTTCACATAATTTAAAATGTTCTAGATGTGTTTTATGGAACAGTTAAGACTTTGCATTGTTGTACAGTATTCTTTACTTGAGCTGGCGTCAGTCTTCATTAAGATACGATACTGCATACATTTCATGTATGATTACTGTTGAGGATAAATGCTGTTTTATATAAACTGGATTATCATATAACAAAATTTTATAAAACGGCACCTGCAGGGATTACCTCATAGAATGATTGAATTCAAAATTATTCTCAGCATATAAGCACTTTTAATGAATACAATACCAAGTTAAGTCTAATCGAACAATAACACTGTAAATGGATACATGACTTAACTAGATCAGCATAATCCATTACATTGAAGCAAGATGGCTATTGATCTCTATTGTACACATATAACTGTATTGGCTTTTAGCTGACTACAATGCTAACTGTCAGTTTGTCTATTCCAGTCTTCAACAACACACAAGCATGGGATATGTTAGAGAATCAGGGTACATCTAAAGAGGTAAGTTTATGTATTAATTCAAAATTGAACGTTATTATAAAGGGTGGGAGTGCAGAAAATATAAGGGGCATATTATAGTTATTCATAAGTAAGTGGGATGATACAAATCGCTGAGCTTGGTTCAGAAAGCATGTACAGAGTCTGCTTTTGGAGGGTGGTTGTAACTGAAGATCAAGATTGGAAAATCAATGTCAGTCTATTGTTGAATGAACGATGACTTCTGATCAAATTATAAGTTATTTACCAATGTCAGGTGTGTGTATTTTTAAATCTAAGTCAAGAGAAATCTTGAAATATAGGAAACTACTATTCTCCAGTAAAACATATTAAGATTAAGGACTGCTGGCACTGGCTCAGTGTTCACATTGAGATGTGTTTTCATGAGATTTTTGATAACATGCGAGCCAATGTGACACCCAATATATGTGACTGAAAGAGTGTTCATTGTGTTTAGTGTTCAATGGCAAAAGTTGTTCACTCATACAGTTTTTACTGTATTATTCAAAGCTATGAATTGCAGGTTTATGTTTTATCTTTTGGTGGAGTCTTCTCAGTTGAGTACATTGAACCATCTATATTTACAAAATTATCTTTTGCTGAGAAGATTGAAGTCGAGGAATATATCTTTTCTGATTTTTATCACATTATTATCAGGCATCTCAACAGATGCTCATACATAAAAGCAACATTAGTTCTTGTTTAACATGAAATATCCCAAGTGGTAAATGCTGGAAATTTAAGATAGATTATTGAATATTTTCCTTTAAAAATATCTGTCAGAAAACCAATAATCTATGAGGTATATAATAAGTCTATTCATTTCATTACTGAGGGCTCTATATATGCCTATCAATCAATTGTCAATGTCATCACTTATTTATTTATTGTAGTATAAGACCACGCAGGAATATAGGATTAATAAAGGCTGTATAGACAGATCTGATCTTCAAATTCTTAGAAATATACCAGAGTATCAAGAATTTCTATTGAGAAAAATTACAAATTCATGTTTACTAAGATAACTTATTCAAGGGTAATATACTTGATCAATGAATTACGTTCATGAATAGTGTTTGCTTGTTGCAAATTGTAAGTTTGCCTTATGGATTATAGTAAGGACTGGGATGTATTGATGATTGACCTACATTTACTTCTGACCAGTCCTAGTCAGGCTATGTTGACGGACAAGGAAAAATGTCATCAGTCATAATATGAAGCACAAGATACGAGGAAATTACTTTGAAGTTGCTTGGACTAACTAAAGAACATTTACAGATGAAGCAATTTGTTTGTTATAATGGAATATATGAATGATCAATTACTTTGATTTGTTCTTGGCATTTAAATGTGACAATAATCCCACTTTGGAATATGTATGAGCCAATTCAGGTATGTATCCTCCAAGAGGGTTTAAAGATTCCTGTGACATTACTTCATTAATACATTTTGACTTTTTAACAGACTATAGAGAGGTTTTGCACTTAACCATGTACTTTATATTTCTAAAAATCATTGAAATAAAGTAATAAACCTTTAATGAGTAGATATTTTATTTTAATATGTTCCATGTGATCTTGGGAACTTCTCATTTTCAATGTGTATATGAATACATACAGAGTTCGTTCTCATTAGTCATTATAAATATAGAAACCTTGTGATTATATTATTTGCCTTCAAGTACAGTTGGCATCAATTTACCATTAATTAACATCTTTGCATTACCTTCTCTGGCATTTCCAAGGAGGATTGGCTCCCAGAATCGAAGTCGATATTTTCCAACAATGAAAACGCCGACATGTCGTTATTTTCTGAAATTATAACCGATTATAAATTCAAAATAAACAGTTCAAAAGATTCGAACCAATATCTCGATCATTTCCTGTGAGTTTTGGAATTTTTCGTTAGGAAATAAGACCAAAATTCACGATTCAAATGCTGAAGTGAACAAAATGGCGGCTGTTGGAATTCAAATTTTGTAGCACGACATGCCCATATATGGGACAGAATATCGATGTTGCACTCTGGGAGCCAATCCTCCTTGGGCATTTCTAATGAAAAATACACCAACAATTTCTAATGTCACATGGTCAACATTTTTAGATATGAAAAGTTATGACTTGTTAATTTTAAGTAAATAGTATCTTCTAATACATGTAACCTGGTAGAAAATGAAATATGAAAAAAGCATTGTATCATGAGCTTATTTCAGACACTTTGTTGTGTAGTGATGAAGTAAGGGAATGGAATATACATATGTATTGATAGAATCATTTACCAAAACCTGATGGGAAAACTGTGTTATTCATTGTTTAATAACATGGATTAAGACTTGTGCAAAAACATTGATTTGGAGTTAGGCTTTAAACATTATCATTACATTACATTACAGGACGGTGAAGGAAGCACGGTATGTTTTAAGATTGCAAACTATTTTCTTATCTCTACGGGTGTTTTCTTTGCTTATTTGTGTGTTTCGTTGAAATAAAGTCGTAAAAGTTGAGATTTTCACTTGCACTTTTTTTAATATAATGCTTTTCTAGAAGTGTGCCTTAAAGGGTTGATGTTAACTGAGTAGATGTAAATGCCAAATGGCGAACCACTGCTGCTATGCTGCGTTCAGGGTCTTTAACTCAGTTTGAGTAGCATATACTAGTACCTTCACTTGTATAACTTGAGTGGGCGTTTTATGATTAAAGCCCCATTATACAAAAGGGTTGTGGAATAATTTGAAAAATTACCAGATCAGTCTTGCTATATTGGCCAAACAGTTTCTGCATATAAGACATACTTATAGCTTTTCAACTCTCGATTAGAATTCCTACAGTGACATCTGCTTATTATTACCTGCATTTCTCTGGCAATTTCATTCATTTATATAAAATACATGGTGGCAGCTTTTAGATTAGCATAGGTCTAAAAGCATAAAGTAGAATTAGATAAGTCAATTATGTTTCTAATTTGGAATCTATAGCTGAGATAGTACAGTAGCTTACTAACCACGACTTCTGATATTCACTTTTGTAGGAGTATTACGTACATCCCACACCCCCTCCCACTTAAAATTAGATAAACAGAGAGGCTCATAATCTGTGGTTTAAAATGGTACCAGTCCCCCCCCCCATACTCAATATTAAAGTGAAGACGTCAGGCAGAGCAAAGCTTTTCTATCTTGAGAAGACAGTCTTACAATGTCTATTTATAAAAAGCAGATAACCATTGATGAAATGAGGTCAGTTTAACCAAGTGACAGAACACGACGAAGAAAATCTTTTATGTTGGCTGTTGATCGTTTATCATAACCCTGTCTTACACTAACTAAAATACTAAAATAGATGTTATTTTTGATTGGTATTTTTGTGATATTCTTGATGAGGTGTGTTCCACATCTGGCCCCAAGTTATGATCTCACAAATTATAACTTCTTTAAACCCTTATGTTCCACTTGCAAGTTTATTCTTACAGCACATAATGGAGTGATTTGCTTTTAGAATTTTATAAAATGTTAACATCATATTTGATGCATACTACATACATAAGCGATATAATAAAAATGAATATATAATAAGGCTGAGGCGAATGATCCAATTAAAAGAGACACATTTTCAGCATGGGTGGGAAAATTCAATATATTCATATTATGACATCATAATCATATTATGACATTTCATCTCCTAAAACACTTCATTCGGATACCCATTATATCTCTCTGTTGCAAAGGACAGGGATGGAAAAGACATGACTTACCACAATGAAAATACTAATTAGATGTAAACATGCTTACTGATCCCTGAATGTTTTTTGCAGTTCCAAGAATCCGCACTTGCCCGCCAGTCACTCTACGTGAAGTTTGATCCGTTGGTTGGCGGTAAAAGTCCAGGTACGTCCCTTATGATGCATATGGTTTAATAATTATAAAAAAAATATTTGAAGGTTATTTCATTTATAAATCGTACCCTTGCATGTAGTTATGTAATTTCATGTAACTGAGAAAATAAAGAATGTGTGAATACATTTACTTAAAAGTTTTTGAAGTCGAAAAGGATTTGACATTTATGTCATATATCATTGCCTAATCTTAGCCACCTTGAAAGGCTTAATGGGCAGCTGGGCAAAAAGCCATGAAAATGCACATAGGTAAGGATAAGGACTGTAAGGATATATTAAATATAAGCTTAAAAAGCTTTATAAATTGATTCAAGTTGATTAACATCAGACTTATATGGACACTTGAATAGCACAGTTTATGACAATGATAAGGCTTGAGTACAATATATGAACTGAAACTATGCAGCTGAGAGGATTCATATTACATGTCACTTCAAACAGAAATGAACCAGTACTTGATTGAAATGAAATAAGATAATTGAAAACAGAAATGAAATCAAAAACACCAAATGTCAAAATAAACATCATATTGTTCAGCTAGAAAGATACAGCTTGAATTACTTACAGATATACAAAAGTCTGCTGTTGCTCAAAAGTTAAAATATTAAAGCCATGTTCAAAGTTCAAGTTTGATTCTTGAAGGAAGTATACTTGAAATTGTGAAGTGATATTTTGATTGCTGGCATTCAAGTTGTCTGCATATATATTGTCTACATCATGCCATATGCATAGATTATACATACTGGTTCATTACGAGCACATATGTACGTGATATGAGAATATTATGCAGAAATAGCAACCATTTGAACTATTGTTCAGTAAATCATGTACATGTATATTGTGTTTTAAAACATGAGGATGAGTCATTAAAGAGAATGGATTGTTTACCAACAAACAACAGGATTACTTACTGTTTATCTGTGCAAAGTGAACCAGAACGCAAAGCTTAGTGCATCGGAATTACGTCTTACTTAACTGAGCAAAGAAAGTGCACCATTATTTAACACTGTTTTGCATATATGTATTATAAAGGATACTAGGGAAAAGTAAGGGAAAATACAAGATTTCATTGTTGAAAATATCTGACCATAACCCACATTGGTTATAGTGCTTAGGGGGAATATTGTTGATATCAGGCTCAACATGACGGGATACTTATATGGCTGGACCAATAAGGTCATGAGGCTATTCTCTTGGAGTGAAGAACAGAAGACTTTAGATGATGACAAAGATGAAACATCAAATGATGAAGAAACTTATAGTTCAGATGTGGATGTTTTTGATGAAAGTAAACAAAATATTTCAGATATTAGATCACATAGTTCTAGAGATAGTAAAGATGAGAACATTCCTGTTGATGAAACTCCATTGAGTGGTGTTCTAGGGAATATTTTGATTGATGAAGCACATAACAATGCTAACTATAAAGATATAAGAAAAATTACTTTAGCCAAAGTAAATAAAGATACAAATTACAATATAGATGATAAAGATAAAGTTCCATGGGTAGGTGGCAACTCCTTAGAACATTCAGAAGATGTTAAAAACTTAGTTCTTGATGAAGAAAGTAGCTCCGATGATGAGGCATACAGTATTTCACATGAAACGTTATCTAATGAAGAAATAAATTATGATTTCGAGAATAAGGGAACTGTGTATCAGAATCTAAGAAACAATAATGATGATATTGATGTTAAGATTGAAACAAATGAGAAGCGCAGTGTTACATTGAAAAGACCATCTGCAAGAGATGTACAGAATAGTGTGAATAACATAAATGATGTTGAAGACACTGTGGATAATAAAGATGCCTTGGAAGAGAGTAAACAAGATGAGATACTTGATACATTACACAGAGCACATACAATTGAACAAAGTGATGCACGTATGCACAAGGATGAAAGTGAATCCAAACCAATAATACCAGATGCTAATGAGCATGTAATCACAAATGGAGATACAGAACCACAACATAAAAGAGTCAGTGGGCACATTGTTTTGCCAGATATTGAAGATCCAATTAGCAAGTCTGAAAAAGTTGTAGGTATTGAAAATAATGAATCAAGTATACAAAGTCAAGTTGAAGGATGTACTTCAGAAATATTAGAGCAACATGAAGTAGAAAGTAATGGAGAAAATAGATCAAGATCCAGACACAATGATTCATTAGATGTGATAGAAATTAACAGGATTAATGATAAGTTACAAGTTGAGAATGAAAATGAAGAACATGTTGCAACTGTAGGAGAGCAACTCATCATCAAAGAAAACAATGAAAATATTTTAGATGAAGTGAATGAAGACAAAACAGTCCCAGATTTAATTATTTGTAAGTGCATACACGAAAATACCATATGTCTGTTCAGAATGACATTTAATTTTTATCATTAACTTTTTTTGCCAATTTCCCCTTCAACCATTTTTATTTCTGTAACTGTTTCATCTTTATTGAATTTGTTGAGTTTAGGGACCGAGTCAACATTCCAGTGCTTTTCAAGATGTAAATAAGCCTAATTCAGATATCCCTTCCCTCTAGTTAAAAAATAGAAAATAATAAATCATTCAAATGTTTAACTTATTGGAATTTTATATTCAACATATTAACAGCAGCAAAATTTAGAAACTGACTAGGATTGTATCAAATGTTAATGTCTACATAATGCTGTGCCTTCCAGCTGCTGGTACACAAGGGCCTACTGGCATCCCTCCAGCTGTACAGAGAGCTGTCAACAGGTAAGCTTAATAAACAAATTTTATGTACCCTGAATCTCAATTGGTTAGCCACACTAAACTACCCTCCGACTTTGACATATGATTTAACAGTTTTGGTTCAGATCATAATGTTCTGATATATATCTTCTGTATCGGTTTAAAGTTGAAATGAATAATTACAAGTTAATGTGGCAGATGCTCTGAATGTATAGTGATTTAATAAAGACTAGAGCGTATATATATAAGTTGAGTTCTTGAGAAAGGTGCACTGAACATGCTAGGCAAGGTGGCATTGCCGTAACCATATGGCCTAGAGTTTGAGACAGTTGAGCTCCTTGCATTTATTCATTTAGGGGCATTTCTAAATTGTCGATATAGAGAGAGGAAATGAGTTTAAGCGAATGATACAACTTTCTGTATTTCCAGTGATGACCTGATACAGATGCAGACACCCCCTACGGCTGCTGCCAAAAAGCACCCTGCATCTCGTATTCTCGGAAAACATTTAGAAGAGCCTACTGAAAGAAAATCTGTGGATGATATATTTGCCTTTAGTCCTCCGCCTCAAGATCAGGTTTGTGGTATTCTAATATTTAAGCCACATTTTCTATTCTCTCTTGTTTCCTTGGTTTGTGAAACCATGCAGGTGGGTTTTCAGAGGGTTTGAATTCTGGTGTTATATTGGTTGTTGAGCTCGTTAAGGTGAGATTGTATGGGGAGGGGCTTACAAAGAGTATCATATTACCTTAAAGCAGACCCTGTATTAATCTTGGTACAGGTATGTTAAGCATTAACTATATTCTCTTGTTTCTCCATTTGTATATAGCATGATGAAGCAACGACCCCCTTGGTGGAGCCTCCTGAAGGTTTTCAGTATCCTCAGACAACTAAAAAGTCGCAGGATAATGCTCAAAACCAAAATGGCAGTCCTGAGAAAGATGCATACCCTGAGTTGACAGCATTTCATTTACACCAGCAAGCGATGGAGTATAACATCCCAAATGTGGAGAAATTTTTAGGTGCGGGCGATGATGAAAATTATGAACCTGATTTCACCACAGGTGATTTTACATCTGACTATGAACATTCTGAATACCATGATTCTGGTCTGTTACCGGATTATAGCGGTTCAGAGCTAGATAGTACCAGTTTGCACCATGAGCCAAGGGATGGTCCAGATATGCAGAAATCTATTAATAGTTTTTGTGACGAGACACATGATGCAGTGGTGCTATCCCAGGATTCCTTGGAAGGGATCGCTGTTGGGCAGGATGATGTGGATGAGGATCACGAAGATAACGATCACCCCTTGGACTACATCGATGATGCTATGTTGACAGGCGTATGTTAGACTATATAGCTCATCAAAATCATGACTTATTCGCAATCTAATGAATATTTTTTCATTCATGGCCTTCTTGATATGACATAACAATTGACCAAAATTTCCATTGATGAGGAGAACTAAAATCAATGCAGTGCGAATCAAGAGTGATTTTGGTGAACTATTACAAAGCTCAAGCATTGCCTGTTGTTCATGTACATGATTGTTTAGTGAAAAGTTTAGCATGTATACAGTAGCATCTTCATTATTATTAATTGCATTGCATATATCCCATATTTGAGTTTTTAGACTTTTTGTTTGATGTTTCAGAACGATGCCGAATTTTTATTGTTGTTTTCCTAATATTTTTCTCTTTATATAAAATGAAGCTTTTCTTATTGTATGAACTAACAATCATTTGTTTTCAGCATCATGTGCTTAATGTACATATGTCTGTTTCAATTTTGAGGCACCTTTTGTTGTCTTGCATCAAGCCCTTGTTTAATCCCAGCCAGCCCATCTAACATACATGTATATGCTAGGAATTCCATGCTCCAAAAAATCCCTTTTCATAGGTGATTTGAGGCACCAATTAATCTATCATTTGACCCTTATGCCTCAGTCACATTTGATCTACGGTAACCGTTTGGCCACTTAAAATGTAGGGATAAAAATTTTCAACATTGATTTTTTGAAACTACGGCTGCCATACAGAAAATGTGACTCAGGCTTTAATATCCGCATATGAAGAGAGAAAAATGTGATTGGAGGAGGGCTAGCGACTTGATGCAAGATTACGTTTATCTGTAACAATGTTAATTTTGCCATGCTTGTCACAGTGGCTGATTAATTGACAGTACTGTACTGTATTCCAATACATTGGATACAGATATACCCCACCCACCCATGTCTTTGTATTTCTGACTTGGCACAGGAGTCGTTTATTACCATAATTCCCTATTACTGTCAACTAATCACAATATAGAGTTCAATGTAATTTATTGCTGTTTATAGGAGTTTTTTTGAATTTATAAATTGTAGTGGCACAGAACTGTCTTTGCTTTCATTGGGATTTTGCTGAGATTTGCATTATGTTTTTAGATTTCATTTCAGAACTGCATGCTTATCAAATTTAAAAATAAGTGATGCTTATTATTTTTGATTATTTGCATAAAGAGTGATGTGGACATATCATTTTTTTGTATTTAAATTGAAATTCCACTCAGTATTCTGAGAAATTATTGTCAGTATGAAAATCATTCTTAAATTGTTGATGGTAAATTATATTTGCAATTAAAATCAGTTTGTGTATAAGTACGAATATAGTTGTGTAACATTTCATTTTTTGTCACTCACCAGTTTTAACATGGAACTCAATTTACTTCCAGTCTAACCAATCAGGAATCAGTTCCAGTAGGCCTGAAAGTACCGAACCAATCATGACGAGCATAGAAGGAGAGGAAATCGTCCAGGTATTGTTTTATTCATATCCTTTCAGTTGGGCAATATTGAGCGGTGACACCACTTTGATAAATATTTCACGACTGAGTTTAAATTAGCATTGTTTTACACAGTTTCTCTCGATTTTTTTTGATTTTTTTTTTTTAATTGCAGTGCCAATCATATATTGTATGACTATTGTTTATGACAGAATAACTACATGATCATTATTATTATCTATATAGGTGGCACAATATTCGCAAACCGATCTTTCAAAGCTGCGTCAAGAGTTGGAATTGGATTATCAGGCGAGACTGCTAGCCCGAGATCGCGACTGGGACAGGAAGTACAGCAAGCTGGAGGAGCAGAACAAGAAGAAAAGTCGAGAATTAGAAAAAATGCAGGAAGCAAATGACAACATGAAGTAAGCCTTACACCAAAACTAACTAAGTTCATTAAGTTTGAAAATAAGGCTTTTTTGTTTCAATTCCTTTTCTGATTCTTTACTTCACACAGATAAATGTAAAAGTTATGTTTGAATAGGAAGTACGAGAGGAATAGAATTATAGTGTTTTGGATAGTAGTAAATGTGTCCGTTATCAACTACTTCTATTATATTTAAGGATTTACCTATTTCTTTATGTCATTTTCTAGGTCAATAGTTGCAGAGTATGAACGTACAGTAACCATGGTGATACATGAGAAGGAACAAGCCACAGTGAGCAACACAGATACCTTGCAGGATGTCACCATACAACGAGATCAGGTAAGATAGCATGACAAAATCTTAAAGGAATTAATTTAACTTGTCTTAGTGAACACCTCTCCCTCTAACACCTCTTCAATACATGTATAACATTGACTCCTCTATTAAATCCCCTTTGTAGTGAGCACGTACCTACAGTGAACACTTTCGTGGCTCCATAGGTGTTCACTGTATACAGGTTTTACTGTAATATGATACGAAGCCATCAGACTAAGTTCAAAATCAAAGAAAGAGAATAGGATTTTTATGAGCTTGAATAGAGACATGCGTTGTATTATTTTAGGGAGAACCTAGCCTTAGTCTACATAATACATCTCAATTATAACTAATCAATGTTTAATGTTGTTAGTCTATTTCTTTCTGATATTTCAGGCTTTGGAAGATTTGAAAAGCGTAGAAAGTGCATTCTCAGATTTGCATAGAAGATATGAGAAATCTAAACTCGCAGTTGAAGGATTTAAAAAAGTAGGTTGACATTTGATTCATATCTGCATAGTACATAGTGAACACATTTAAATGAAGATTTTCCAGATTTTTTTACAGAGTAGAATTTATTCAACAATATCTGTTTTTCAATGTTGAAATCATCAGCAATTTTTGTCATATAAACATGAATTGTATTTGAATTTGTAGAACGAAGAGGTGCTTAAGAAAACTATAGCTGACTTTGCAGAGAGACTTAAACGTCAAGAACAGAGATATGAAACGTTGAAGCAACACGCTGAAGAAAAATTAGAAGCGTAAGTATCATGTCAAAATAAAAATGATATAATCTATTGAAGGAAATCTAACAAGTATAGATTAAGTCATACATTTTTTTTTGTTTTTTTGATGATGAAGTTGACCACTTTAACAAAAAGAAGGATCACGATGTTTCACATTTGCATGGACACCCTATTTTTAAATGTATTAATGTAGTAAGAGCTACACAGGCAATGGTTGTGTCTCACACACCCAGAAATCACAATTTCATAAATATTAATTTCATGCTTTACAGTGCCAATGATAAGATAAGTGAGGTGAGAAAGTCCACTCATGCAGAGAATATTCGTCTAGGAGCAGCCCTGAAAAAAGCTGAACTTCAAGTACAGAGTACAGATTCCCAGCTGAAACAAAAGGTTAGTGACAAATTGTACCCTTGACTCTCTGTGCTATGCAGAAATGTATTTTTTCTGTTTTAATATATACAGCTTCCTTTGTATAATCCAAAATTCAAGACACAGGTTTAAATTTAGCTCATTCTTTATCAAAAAGTTCAAAATGGCTGCCAAGTTACTTAGTAAAAGAAATTGTACATGAACATATAGAATTATGATCCTCCCCTTTGTGGTATATTCTTGTCCACTGGAGTATAAAGATGCAAGAAAAATAGTTGTAGATCCCTGGAAAAAAAAACCATTGAAAGGGGACAGTTATCCAACAAAGGAGTGGTACCGATATGGAGAACTGAATACAACAATCCCTTTCTCTTAAACCAATCATTGAAAACATTCTGTAAAAAACACGGTATTTTATGTAATGTTGGCTGATTGACAACAATTTAATGTGAAAATTATTTAGAAATATTTTATATAACTGTTTTTGTTAACATTTTTTGTTTTTTTAGTGCAATTGTTTTTGCTCCTTTCTACCAATTCTTGAGGATGAAATAAAATGTCTTTCCGAACCTTGTTGGAACAAAATAGCATATACAACATGTTTTTAGACCTCTCGATATTATAGATATACAAAGGAATTTTTGGTTGATTTAAAAAAAGTAGATACTTTTTTAAAATCAACCAAAATATCCTTTGTACAATTACAATATTGAGAGACCTAAACATGTCGTGTTAATGTCGTTTTATTTTTCTAAAACAACATAGATGAAAGTATATATATATATATTTCAAATTATATGATGACCATAAAATTGATGATGTGTTAAATTTTTAGATTTTTTTTATGACTAGTTTAAGAGAAACGTGTGTTCAAAAAGTTCTCCATATCGATACCACACCTTTATATTACACATCCATGAACAAGTTTTCGTAAAAATACATATTCCCTATTATCCCAAATATGATCATGAATGCCTTTGTTTATTCCCATATTCTTGTATATACATGTACAGGTATAGTGCACTATATGTACATACATTAAATTTCTTTTTCGTACATAAATTCCTTTTTTGTATATAAATACATTTGTACTTGCAGACTCAGGAGTGTGCAGAGTTGACTGCCATCTGTGATGAACTCATTAACAAAGTTGGAGATTCGTAGCATATGCAGCAAATAGAACCATTTTATGTACAAGATACAAACCCATAGTTCACGAATGTTTAATTCAAATGCTATCTAGCTTGGGATTAGCGGTGCTAGAATGATCTCAAAATCGGAAACTGGAAAATACAGTTGATATATGAAACCTTGTGTTCGATCTCCGAATGAAATGAATATTCAGCACACATGAAAAATCATTCGGCACGCATGAACATTCAGCACACATGAACGAAGCATTCAGCACACATGCAAAGAGCTTAGATGCTTGGAAGTACATTTGGATTAAAATGGGAAAATGAAAGGAAATGTTAATGACTGGAATTGGATTTACAGATGTACTACACCTTCAAAATACAATAAGAAAAACACACAAGACCACAAACAGACGTGTTATACATATAAGGCTAGCCTGAATGGCATGCAGTGTTTGGAATTTAGTGTGTATCAACACACATTACAACAACCAGCATATGTTTTATGTTATTACTTCTTTGCCAACATAATTTATGAAAATGTAATTTGTTGATTTATGTGTACTCTCTTCATATTTTACCAGGTCCTTACTTTTTAAAAATCACGCGAAAAATCCTAGAAGAGGGCAGAGAATTGACATCAGAATGCAACATTGACATCAATTTCTCGAACATTTCTCAACTTAGAATGTTTTGCATCTGTTGTATTATCCATGTAAAACATGATAATGCAATAGACTTTTGGAATCTATTCCTTAAGGAGTACAGGAAGTACCTCATCTTATTCATTCCATTTGTCCTACTTAACACTGAAAGTCACATTTCAAATGTTTGATGCTATGGTACAATATAAAGGGAGTATGCTTGAGTGAAACACAACTGTTATATTATTACTACATATTGTAAATATGTACATTGTATATAGAGAATCATGCATTGGATGTGGAGTTATATTCTTCAACATTTATTTAAGACACGCTTCATATTTATTTTGCTAAATGTACACTCACAAATGAAGTCAGTTAAAAGATGAGGAAAAAATGTGTTCTTAAACCACAAAATTCAATGCGTGCTTGTACATAATGTACTGAAATTTCGAATTAGTTCATTGTACATATCATAGTGGTGCCATGTACTAGATGTATACAGACCTTGTTATAGAGTTGAATTATACCAGATAAAGAAATAGAGGTTCATACTTATGGAACATTTAGTAAAGGCAGACATTTGTTTGGGTAAGAGTAAGGAAAATTCATCAAGTAATTTCTTAAATGTTATATGTGGGTATAATACGTGGTTACAAAAAATATTATTATGGTGGTCGCTTCAGAGAATTATTTGGTCGGGGAGTGTTTCTTAAAAATCTTGTAGATCATGATTCATGGATTTTATTGTTTTTTATGATCTGTATTTCAATATCATAAGAGTCTATTAAATTTCATGAATCATAATTCAAGATATATTCAACCAACAGTCTTCAGTCATTTTTCATCATTCTTTGTGCAGATTGTGATTTTCGTAGTTTTCACTGAATTCATGGATGTCTCCCCAGAGAGGGGGGAGGGTGAGACAGACCAGCATGATTATATCATGTGAGAACGCCACATGTAATTGCTTGCCTAAATGCCTGTTGTGTGTGTAAAGGCTGCATTTACTGCACCTTTCATAAAAATTAACAATTCTTAAATCGATTATTGTAACCAGTGGTGATATTATGACATCATAGAAAGAGTACTATGACTTTAGAATTCTTAATTTCATGATTGGTACAGTGAATGTGTTATTTGTGAAGATTATCACCATCATGCAATTGTTACTTATTGAAGCTTTGAATGCTGGTATTTTTCTATTCAATAAATAGAAAGCATAAGATACAATTTTTCGTCTTTATTTGTTACTTATTTAACTATGTTCATCCAGTGTTTAAAGCCATCATTTTTTGTGACTAATATGAATTGCATATTGAATGTAAAAATTCCCAGACTTGAGCAAAAGATTCCCAAATACTGGTATATGTAAAAAAAGGTCTACTACTATCATCGGAGACTTCTCTTTCTGCCTTATATGAAATTCCTAGTAGCCGGTTCAAGTAATACATTTAGCAAATATTACACAATTAACAAGGAGGATCGAAACTCGATATTTTCCAACAATGAAAACGTCAAAATGTCATTATTTTCTGAAATTATAACCGACTATAAATTCAAAATCGTGAGTTTTGAATTATTTCGTTAGGAAATAAGACCAAAATTCATGATTCAAATGTTGAAGTGAAAAAATGGTTGCTGTTATGAATTTTGTATCACGACATGTCCATATATGGGACAGAATATCGATGTTGCACTCTGGAAAACAATCCTCCTTGCATGTTAATCAATAACTCAAGTGGACTGTCACAAGTCAGTCGAAGAAGTATTCTACTCATAACAATACACTGAAACAGATATTGTATTTCAAATTCAAAGTAGCCTTGCCCACGTCGGTCTCTTTTACTTATCTTGATTTCTATTATGACCGGTGGTAATAATTCAAGATCAGATAAGTAAAAAAAATACCGACTTGGGCAAGGCTAATTCAAAGTAGCCTTCTTAATTACACTGCAAATCCAAAATCCAGATCTTGCCACTGGTCAATCTTACATCTGTAAAAGTTTCAAGTTAAAGGAATAGTTTTCTCGCTATCTTGATGACTGCTTTTTTGTACCTCCTCCCACCTAGACTAATTTTCAAATAAAACCGAAAGTACTCATATTTCTGGGAGTTTGCTTTTGAAGTTACTGAAGTTAATCAAAGCAGATAGCTGTATTCTGTTATTCATACATTCTGATATGCAGCATCTTTCTCATTTGCATCACAGGACAGGAACATAAAACGGCAAGGTGAACCTCATTCATTATTTATATAGCACTGCTATAAGACAAAACACAGTTTTACATAGTTTATATTATACAAATATATTCAAGATATTGAACCATACAATATATTCCATTGTGATGATAATGCAACTTCTATTCATGAATGCTTTTTATTATTCTATTGATACACCAAAAATTAAGTTGGATTTAATTATTTAAAATGTGACTGGTAGTATATATAGCTTAAATAACCATGCCTTTTTTACAAATCGTTCTTATTTCCTCAGTTTTTCTTTATGGCAAAATTCAGGAATGAAGAAATCGGGAACATTTTTGGAAAAATACTTTGAAGTCAGCAAATTGTGCACATCCATCCAAGGTTTCTGAATAGTAAGTTATATATGTACTCCAACTGATAATCTCTTAATAGCAAAATATACATAAAATGGCTGCTTATGCTTTCATGCATAAATGATCAACTGAAAATGTCACAAATGTCAGATAGTCTTTACATTATTGAATAATGTTGAATCTTGCTCCCTGTGTTACACATGTTACATAGGTGCTGTAGGGGTTTTCAGCTGTAGTCTATGTAGTGAAATCTGAAAAAAGCACATTCTTAACATAATAGACCCACTGCATTATTTTAATTGATGTGTAGTATGCGTTTTAGGTATTGTATCGTATCCAAACATCAATGTTTGTTCGACTAAAATGGGAGTAAAAAGTTCTTTTTTCATTTGGCCAATAACAATAACTTCAGATCAAGCTACAGTTTAGCAGAGTTTTAAACAAACAACTTGTTTGATAGTGTAGATTTCTGTTGAATACTTGGGAGGGTTAAGTAGTGAGAGGTTTTGGATGGAATTTATATCAAGAAATAGTTTATCCCCTGAGGTATCAAAGGTAAATATAAATATTTCCCACGGGATAACTATTATCTAAAGCCAACTATACCAACTGGTGCATCTCACACTTGATTTCAAAAATGGAGGGGATACATGCAGCTACATGTAGTCTATTGATTCAAGAACGAGACTACAGGGTGGGCCAAAAAACCAATACCCAACTTTAAATCAGAATGAAAATAGCTATGTTCAATATGAGACATTGGTTTATAAACCATTTTAAAGGTGATCCATTTTTTAACAATTTGGTATATAACACTATGTCATGAAATCAATATTAAAGTTTTATTATGCTTATTTGGGAGGCCGGGTTGGTATTTAAGGTATTCAGATTTTAGGGAGAAAATAGTAAATCTGCGAAATAATGTAAATTTTTTATTTATAGAATATCATTTTGTTAGGTGAATACATGCTTGTATATTTGCATATTGTGTGACTAAACTTATTGTTTATGAATTCTAGTGTTGTCTATTATCAATAAGTACTCAAAGGGGGTCTGTTAAAATACATTAAACGTATATGTGACGAGGATTTTATTTTCCAACAAGACATTGCCTCGTACCATAGATCAGAGCAGACATTGGCATTTCTTTGCAAACAAAGTGTCAATTTGATTGATCTCGATGCTTGGCTACCCAACAGCCCCGATGCTAATGTGTTTGATTACCATACATGGAGCCATCTCAAGGAAATGATCAAAAGCATCCAATAAACAGCATTGATGAGCTGAAACAGAATCCTAAAGTGCTGAATTGCAACAGAAATCTCTCAATAAGGCTATTGATAGATTGCGCTACCACTTGAAGCTTATTGTTGATGCAGAGGGGAGGGGGCCAGGTGGGGGTATATTGAGCAATTGTTAAAATTGTTTAAATAAATAAAGTGTAAAATGTTATTAAACAACAATGAAATTCATTAACAATAAAATCAGTCACACAATGATGCAAATATCAATATCCAAGCATGTATTCACCTAACAAAAGAATGATATTCTATACATAAAAAATTAACATAATTCCGCAGATTTACTATTTTCTCCCTTAAATCTGGAGACCTTAAATAGCAACCAGGCCTCCCAAATAAGAATAATAAAACTTTACTATTGATTTCATGACATTGTGTTATATACCAAATTGTTTGGAATTGTATAACCTTTAAAATTATATTTAAGTCAATGTACCATATTGAATGTAACTATTTTTATCCTGATTTGAAGTTGGGTATTGGTTTTTTTGGCCCACCCTGTATATAGATTATCGCCAGCCTGCTTCTCAGATATGACATAATATATTCTTGGGAGATATCTACCATAAAAACAAATTTTAAGTGGTCACTGTAAGATTTCTATTCTGTTCATTAATATCACTAACCTGTCAATCATTTGCTCCAAATGAACCAGATGCCCCTCCTACTCATTTGTAATGCCATATATGGTCTGTCCTACTTGTTGCCCTGGGTAGGCTGCTGTGTATATTACATTCTGGGCATTAGTACCATCTTGTAAGATTTGACTTGTTACAATTTCAGCTAGAAAAATAATACAAATATGACTGATTCATAGGCCTATGTCTAATGTTGCATTGTGTCTGTGTTGCCCTTCAAATATACACCAAATCTTCAGCTCATAAAAAGAAATAATATAGGCCTATCTTTAAATATTTAACCAATTACCATGTAACTTTCTTCTTTCAAGAATGTGCATGTGTATATTTTCAATAGTGTGCCATTCAGAGTGTGTCATAAGCATTAGAGACCTACCAATCAAAATTGAATTACAGACCAGTTATTCCTATCAGAACCTGTGCATTTATGTCACAATCTGATCTCATTTCTTAATACATGTAGTATCACTATAGTAATGTTTGTGTATCAACATTGGATATTGATATGAAACTTACAGAATTCCTCATTGAGGCCTTCAAGTGTAGATGTGTCTCCAGCACCCATCATGGTCATGTGACCTCCCTTCTCACCCTTAGAGGCCTATAATTAAACAAACAATTCAATTTATATATACAGCATGTCTGTTTGAATTCCATTTTGATCAATGAAAATATTTCAATTTATATAAGAACTACATAAGGTGGAACCATATTGATAATTCTATATGTAGATGAATATTATCATGTCTGAATATGGTATGACTTTGAAATATGGAGTTAAGATTTCTCTAGGAACTCAGTTTGATGGGATGGGTAGGTTTATTTTAGGATCTTTCAGTTTCACCTAAAAGTGTATCATTTCAACAAACTTTGTGAATGGCTCAGTTCCCATTTCAATAAATCAACAATTACCCTAAACTCATAATATGTTGTCATTAGCTATCATTTGATTGAGTCATTATTAAGACCCCAAAAGCTTTCTTACCTCTCGGACTTTTTGTAAATATGTTTTTAGTGGCTCCACATAGTTGTCAAAGCCTAGATTAGACATTGCAAATAAGATATCTTCTCCATTTATTGTTTTTCGTTTCTCTTGATGACACCTTTCACTTGCTCTGATATGGGGTTAAGGTACATGTATGTTTATCAAAATTAGCATGATGAGAATTTTTAGATCATTTTATGATTATAATTACCAGTAATTAATGATTTTGGTTGTAACAGTGCATTACTATCTAAAGGAACACAAACAAATCTTTCTCATATATTACAGAAATCTAGAAAGGGCGCATTTTCTATATAAATTGTAAATTAAAGAAACAACAGAATTGCTTTGATTTTTGATTTAAAATATGATAAAAATATTCAAAAATTCTGCTGACCTTCAAATCCTCCCAAAATTTAAAATCATATCAAATAAGTACATTTTTATCCTTTATTTTAATATTTTTGGTATTTTTGAAGGATACTCGCTAGTGATAAAGCTGATGAATTCTGATACACACTCCTGACAGCATTCCTTGGCATCTTTAGCAATCTGTAAGATAAATGAGAGACATAAAACATCATAACAGACATTACTAATATAATGCGAATCGCTTCTATTGAAGTCTGAGTTTATGTAACCACACGCTAGCAGCAAAATCTTCAAGTCAACAGTTTTTTGGCACTAGTAAGATCAACATGACCTCATTTAAGTAACTTTGCTAGCATTTGAAAGTGTAGTGAACCAATCAAGCATGCACACTGGTGATCAACTCGATTACGCTGATTACCGAAATGATTCGTTTTGGTAACAAAATGTCGGAACATCGAAGGTACGATTTTTCCCTTTCCTTGTTTCACACGTTGTAGGCAGAATTCCCACGACATTTTTTAACACAAACGTGTATCAGTATCATATGTTTAAGAAAATGTACATATGTGCGAACAAATAGTTCAGAAGACAACAGAATCGTCGATTTAATTCTTCACTTAAGTTACATAAACAGTTTTTCGAAAAACAGTTAAGATCTGCACTTTTAACCCAAACCGTTTATGTAACTTAAGTGAGGAAGTAAATCGACGATTCCGTTGTCTTCTGAGCTATTTTTTCGCAAACATGAACATTTTCTAAAACATATGATACTGTTACACGTTTGTGAGAAAAACATAGTGGGGATTGTGCCTACAACGCGTGAAATAAGGAAAAAAGAAAAATCGTACCTTCGACGTTCCGACATTTTGTTACCAAAACGAACCGTTTCGGTAACCAGCGTAATCGAGTGGATCACCAGTGATGCAGCTAACATTTGTGCAAAACACATTCTACAGCTTCTAATAGAATGAGCAGAATGATGCCTTACTTTGCCAGTCTTTGGTATCGAGGTCTTCATGATCCTTGCTACATTAGCAATAGGTAAGAATCTGTCTTGTTCCCTCAGTGGTTCTGCTATACCTTCAACTATACTGGTGTCTGTGTCTTCAACCAGACTCTGGTCATCAGGCCCTGTAAAACAATTAATACATAATGCATAATTTGACTTGCTAATATTGAGAGGGAAAATATGATGTTTAAAATTGGTGTTATATTACCAGGTGGCAGTTAAACTTTCCTAAAACCATGAACTCTTAAATCTATCAATGCCACCATACATATACCATGCCGTTTAATAATAATAATAAACTTGCTTGAAATGCCTGACTTCATGAAATCTAGTAATATACTGCTTTCCAGACAAAATGAAGAAGTATTGTGTTGTATAAATATGATTGATTTATAAGATGTATGAACTGGACATGAACTTTTAATGTGCTTGTCTAAAAATATTTGGAAAATAGATCAACCAGAATCTTGCAAGGAATAACATACCGTCCACAACATAATTAGATGCCCCTCCAAGAAATGAGTCACCTAGCCCAGCATTGCTTCCATCTCCTGAGCCTGCATTGTCTGATGGCTCCATCTATCTGAAATGGTAAAACAAACTAGTGTAACGACCCGCCGTAGGCAGGCGTAAGGGGTTGGATATATTAAAGTGCGTCTGAGAAAGTTAATTGTCGGGAAATGAATTTGGAAAGTAATTAAGGGAGTTTGAATTTAATGTAATGAATAAAAGGACAAAATAAATATATATGTTTCTATAAATCAAAGTCTTTTAATGCATACTAAAACTATTCATACAGAGATGTGTTCACAAACTACAATTACAATCAAACAATATCAGTCGTTATATTTTTACCTATTACGCTATTTATGACCGCCCGATGCAGTGTGAGAATATAACAATAAATCAGTACAATTAAAGAACAACCAATCAAGTGAGTCAAGCAACTAAACAATAAATCAATACAACAACAAAATACTCAACCAGGAAACGCCTTATCCAGAAAATATATAATAATTTGGAAGTTTAAATCTAAAGTCACAGGTCAAGCTTTAAAAAGGTATATAAGAATAAATGAAATAGGCGAACCTGGTCAGTAATGTTGATTGTAGCTAATAACTCACCCAAGCTTCCATGTCACGAGGTGTTTATATATATCCAGACATATAGCTTGAATCCTATCCTACTGAGGAGGAGACCGAACGCGAAAACCGGCGGGCGCAAAAACCTGATGTTTCTGAGGGTGGGGGCACTTATATACTCCCCCAGAGACAAAGTAAGGGGCAGGGATTATCCCAAAAACAGAGACATCAGACTTGCCCATTGGTCAATTACACGTGGCTATCCTGTCAAAATATTATTTATGACCTAAATACTGAAGGAGGTGTCCATAACTATAGACCAGAACAAATTAAACATAAATGATTGGATGTACAATATTAATATAAGTGTGCCACTGACTAAAAGCCACCGGCCTCTGTAAGAATAAGAACTGGAACTAAATACACAATGGTGATTGGTTGACAATGGTACAATACTGTTAATAAATATGAATGAGAGATAGAAGACTTGAAAATATTACATATAAGGACCCAAGTCCGTCACACCACATCCCTCCTTTCGCCTTAAGATCGACCACGATCTTACAATATAAAATAAAATATAATATCAAACACTTATCTAGCTACCTCAATGTTCATCTAACTATTTAAGTATAAGTAAAACCATATAAGCAATGTAATATAGATGGCATGACAATCAAATACAGTAGTGTCATAGTACGAACGAAAATAGATGTCACCTTTGCAACATATAATAAACTGGAGGAACAACCATTTATACCTTTAGGTTTCGGAACACAAAAATAGATGTCACCTAAGTGTAACAACATTTACCCTGGTATATATAAACAAACATGAAACAATAAAAAATTATCAAGGTACATAGAATGCAATATAGCTACAATTGTAATAAAATGTAAATGCAAAGATGTTCACAAATAATAAATCATGTCAGATATAACCTCCCCAACATCCACAATCTGGCAAGATTGTAAAATTAAATGCCCATCAAGGCATTACAATACAAATGTACAAACTAAAGTCTGTACATTACAAAAGTATCAGCCATAAAGCCATATAATAAAATGTCAACATGTAATAAAAAAATAAAGTTAATATATGAGATTGTCCAGTATAATAATACAATATATCAGGGTCAGCTGCACTCGGTATCAACAATAACAAATCGTAGTACTTTCCATAGTAAACAGGTAAAGTCAGCTGGCATAATTAGCATAAGTAAATAAACATCTTAATAGCATCAGCATGAATGAAGTCCGGGAACTGGCACTAATGTCATCGGTCACTGAAGTAAATATTCCATATGGTTCATGACATGGTATCATGGTAAACAAAATTGTCACTCTTGGAACCTGCATTATAAAAGTCACAATGTTAAATTTGGATCACCAGGCCCTCCATAAATTATGAGCTGGTTGTGGTTGTTGCTCCTGTGGTTGTGGTTGAACTTCCTGTTGTTCCTGTTCCTCCTCTGGTTGTGGTTGTTGCTCCTGTGGTTGTGGTTGCACTTCCTGCTGTTCCTGTTCCTCCTCTGGTTGTGGTTGCACCTCTGGTTGTTCTTTGTCCTCCTCTGGTTGTGGTTGCGCCTCTGGTTGCGCCTGTTGTTCCTCTGGTTGCGCCATCGGCGGGTACTTAGATGGAACGTGTACCACGTGTTTAATATCTGAGGCAGTGAGCCTCATGTCCCAGAGTCTCGCCTCCTCTCGGCCCATGATATCACTGGGGGTCCAGTTGGTTTGCCCCGGGGATTGCTCCCTCCATGAACTGGTATCACTTTTTGCACTGGGGCTCATTAAGTCACAGGGTGACGCATTACCAACAGATTTCGAATCGGAAGTTGCACTGGATAAGGGTGAGTAGTTCAAATTTGTGTCATTACTCTTTATAGGTGATTGAGACGCATAGAATTTTTTACTTGCTACCATCATATTTTCATGTAGATCTATGTCACTAAACTCTGTCGGCCGCTTACGGGAATTATTAACGAAACGCCGTTGCCACTGGTCTTTCAGCTTGGCCCTGGAGTACTGGGGTGCTATGTGAGACCTTATTATATGGTTTACCACCATCTCCGGGAACGAATTGTCCCTTATAAATGAGCACGAATCGTACGGACATTTGAACCTTGGAGTGTGGCTAAGTTCATAGTGGTGTACCAGATCATAGACGCTGTTAAGTCTTACAGGGCAGAACGGACACGACTGGAACATAATTTCATAATATTGCTAATAACAGCGTAAGGCGACATTGATACATAATATGTTTTTCATTTTTGGTTCGACCTGATTTGCATAATTAATTACCTTTAGTATTAGAACGTTAAGTCTAATAATATCGAGTATTTTAACACTTATTAAACTAATACAAATATATTTTCACACTGCATAATCTCGGCGGCATTATAAGTACAAATACTAAATCGCGTATAATTATAATTATATTAATCAGACTATCGGTCGCACTTAAATTGTTACTTAAATCGCCAATATGCTATGTACTATCTATTATTTCTACGATATATAACTAACGAACGGCATTTCACATGATAATTGTTTGATAGACCTCAAATACTGATTGTTTACGAAACGCTTACACTTGTTCATTTCGTTATTTACAACAATTAAGGACGACAGCGTTCAATTTCTATATGTCCACGTTTAACTCTCGATATAAATTGCGCAAAACTAATCGTTTATTCACATAACTACATATTCAACATTCATGAATATATACGCACTAAGAATAAATCGCATATTAATGCCACCAATTATCGGTCGCATACCTAATTACTTCATCTTTAATATGTACTTTCTACCAAATATACGATATAAACTAACCTAGCGGCACATATTAATAAATTGCGCAAATGTTTTTTAGACCTCATAATACCAATTGTTCATAAAACGTATATATTATTTTGTTCATCACGGTAATTTTTACAACCAACAAAATAACGTTCAATACATGTAATTCTTACCTTTCTACGTTCAATTTCCGACATAACTTGCGCAACACTCGTCATTAACTCACAACATTCATGAATATTTAGTCTATGCTAGCGCTGTAAATAGATAATATAACATTTAACCAAGTTCGCATGCGCAACGATTTCACTTTCTTCGATCTACATAAGTGTGCGTACGATTTCGAATTAAATTCGGTTTAACTCGCAATTAACTAATCAGTTATATAATCTTTCATCCATAATGGCTTTTTGTGTACCCTCCCTCGGCGTTCTATCAATGTGTCACTATCTAGTAATGTATCAATTTCTTCGTCGCTTTCTTCGGGTTCTTTGTTTACATTGTCAATATCGGGCGTATTTGCAGTCACCATCCAATTTGGCAAGGTGCCGAAATGTGGCTTTAACCGGTTCGCATGTACTACCCGGGAGAATTTCTCCCCTTGAATTTGAAACACAAGATCGGACAGTTTGTTTACAATGGTGAACGGGCCGGTCCATTTCCTATGCAATTTGGGGCTTATTCCCCTCGGTACAGCCGGATTGAATAGCCAAACTTTATCACCTTTTTCAAATTTGGTTTTATAGGCTCGGTGATCATAATTTCGCTTTTGCTTGTCACTTGAAATTTTTATTTTGTCATTTGCCGCATCGTAAACGGTCAATAGCTTGTCCTGTAAATTTTGACAGTATGCGGTTCGATTAGTGGTCGTTGCACCTTGGTTAGTGATTTCGGGGGGCGGACCAAATACAAGTTCAGATGGTAGTTCCGGTTGACGGCCGAACATCAATTTAGCAGGGCTGAACCCGGTTGATTCGTGAACGGCGCTCCGGTACGCTGAAGCCAAGAATGGGATATGTTCATCCCAGTCTCTTTGGGCCTTGTCGACGACTTTGCTGAGCATGCACTCGAGCGTGCGATTATGCCTCTCAACCATACCGTCGCTAATCGGGTGAAACGCAGTCGTGCGTGTCTTGTCGATGTTTAAAATGTTACATAACTCTTGAAAAAGGTGTGATTCAAACTGCCGACCTTGGTCTGAATGCAAGATGCGCGGTGAACCATAGCGGCATACGAACTCTTTTAGGAATGCATTTGCGACTGTAACGGCTTCTTGATTCGGCATTGCTAACACTTCAGTATACTTTGTAAAATAATCTTGGATAACAAGCACATACTTGTTTCCATTTGTACTTTCAACGAGAGGACCAAGAATATCCAACGCTACCCGTTCAAGGGGAAACCCGACATTATATTGCTTCATTGGAGCTCTGGGCGTACGTTGGGGATTTCTGCGTTGCTGGCACAATAGGCATTGCTTTATAAAGTTTTCAATTTTGTGTTTATATCCGGGCCAATAATATTTTGATTGCACGCGTTTCAATGTTTTGTTGACCCCCAAATGGCCTTCTTCGTGTAAACTTCGCATTACTGTCTCTTGAAAAGAAACCGGAACGATCAGTTGCCATTGAATTTCATGGGTGCTCTCATTTATGTATTTACGATAGAGAATCTCATTGAATATGCGTAGTCTATCCCATTGAGCCCAGTAGCCTTTAACAGACTGACTTTGATTTGATATTTCTTCCCACCTGGGTCGTTGTTTACTTTTAATCCACGACGTTACAGATTTTACGCACGGGTCATTGTTTTGATGTTCTCGGATGTCGTCTTGTGACATACTCGGTAACCAATTGCATTTAAATATTTCAGGAGCTGAGGAAGGCGTATTTTGCGTTTTTGCTTTATTTTGCCTTTTAACCTTCTTCTTGATCGGCCTAATAGACATGAGAATTGGATTTGCATTGCAATTTATTTCAATGTGACTACCAATTAAACAGCAGTTCCCGGATTCAGTATTATGCACTTCTTTTTCTTCAACTCTTGCGCAATATTTACAATTACCGCACGGGCGACGTGATAATCCATCGGCGTTAAGGTGGCGGGACCCTTGGCGGTACACAACAACAAAATCATATGCACTCAGGATATGTAGATATCTCGCAAGTTGGCCTTCAAGATTTTTAAATTTCATTAGCCACGTTAGTGACCCATGATCAGTTCGTACTGTGAACTGTTGACCGTGTACATAATGATGGAACGCTTTAATTGATTCAACGACCCCTAATAGTTCACGACGAGTCACACAGTAATTTCTTTGTTGTTTATTTAGTGATTTGTTGAAGTACGCAATGACATGCTCACGTCCGTCAATTTCTTGACTTATAACCCCTCCGAGAGATGTACCACTTGCATCGCAGTCAACAATAAATGGAACGTTCGGTTTTGGATAATTCAATACCGGAGCATCAATCAGCCGACTTTTTAACATTTCAAATGATTCAATACACTCTAGTGTCCAGTCAAAATGCGCTGATTTTTCGGTAAGTCTTTGCAACGGCCGGGCGATTTCGGAGAAACCTTTAACAAATTTGCGGTAATAACTGCAAAAGCCAAGGAATGCTCTTACATGTTTGACATTTTTCGGCACAGGCCATTCGGATACGGCCTTGAGCTTCGCTGGGTCTGGTTTCACTCCCTCACTGCTGACAATGTGTCCGAGAAAATTGACGGATTTTTGGAACAATTCGCATTTCAACGGATTACACTTCAAATTTGCATTTCCTATTCTTGAGAGAATAGTGTCTAGACGATCTAATTGTTCTTCAAAAGTCTTCCCGTAACAAACTATGTCATCCAAGTACAATAAACACGTTTCATATGTTAATCCGGCCAGCACAAACTCCATTAATCTTTCAAAAGTCGCCGGAGCATTACATAAGCCGAATGGTAACACATTGTATTCATATAGACCTGACGGAGTTGCGAACGCCGTTTTGTGTTTATCAGCCGGGTCTAAGAGTAACTGATTGTAAGAACTTGTCAAATCGAGGCTTGTGAACCATGATGAGCCTTCTAGAGCCTCTAAAGTATCATCAATTCGCGGGAGTGGGAAACTGTCACGAACGGTACATTGATTTAAAGCTCTATAGTCAATTACTAGACGTTTACTGCCATCTTTCTTATCAACAAGTAAATAATTTGCCGCCCATGGACTTGTTGACGGTTCAATAACACCTGTTTTGAGCATACTTTCGATTTCATCTTTTGCGGCATGTTTATTTTGGATATTCGACCTGCGCAAACGTTGTTTAATCGGTATTGCGTTACCTGTATTGATTTTATGTTTAAGTAACCCAGTTCTACCTAAGTCTTGTTTATTTTTCGAAAAAACGTTTGCATGCTTGTTTAATAAACTTTCAACTTTGTTTGTCTGTTCGGTAGTGAGGTTATCTTTGCAACCATCTATAAGTGGTTGCACGTGAGAGGCAACCCTTTCCTCTAATATGGGCGCTAATGTCGGTGCACATTTGTTTGTTTCGATTGCCGATTCTAATTGAACTGTTTCACTATCGGCTATGTGAGTCCCGGGAAAGAGCATTATTGGTTCATTACCCAAATTGACAACTCGAAGTGGCACACATTTTGCTTGCGAGGGGGATATTAACACTTTCGCGACCATGAGATTATTAATATCTGTTGCCCTTTCACTCATTTCTACTATCATGTTTTCCACAACTGGTAAATCAGTTTCAATTTTACCCAAGACTATGGTTTCAGTCTGGGGTGGAATGCGCGTTTTCTTTTGTACAGATATTTTACATGTTCTCGGCACTTGAGAGTATTCTGAACACTTGAACGGCAAATTTTCTAAATACAATGTCTGCGTTGCGATTTCTAACACACCATTTCGTTTCTTAAGAAAATCATATCCCAATACCATTGGAATTTCTATGTCCGCAACGTACATCAAAGCGGTTGCAAGGGTTTCATACTCTGTATCTTTTGCTAATGTTAATTTGAAATCTCCCTTGCCTAATATATTCAATTGTCCTCCATCCGCGACCGTTAAATTCATATTTGCGGGTTGAAGTTGAGGTTGATTGTCAGTTTTCAAAAGATTGTAAGTGTCTAACGATATAACACTGAATGTCGCACCGGTGTCGACCAAACAACTAATTTCTAGACCATTAACGCATAAATTGAGATACAATCCCTCGTGAGTTTCACTATGATTTTGACAATCAAATTCAGGGTCACATACATTGCCGGGTCCTTGAACAGAATTCAATATTTCACTATCTGAAGTCACACATTTTTCGGCACTCAAAGTTTCGTTAACAGAACTAATTTTCTCAGTACTCTCAGTACATGCGTTCTTTGCGCGGAGAGGAGTATCATCAAACTTTTCTACGTAATTTTTCGAACTTTCTGAACAACTAAACTCGTCTGCTGATAACGAACTACCAATACTACTTTCTCCCTCGGGATCATTAGTCTCCGAACAAACACTAATTCCGGCGGAATTTGTCAAACCATCATTTCGCAACTCAAATTTGTTTTTGTTTACCCTTGAATATTCATTCGAATCATACGATATTTGTTCAAGTTCAACAGGTCTTTGTGAGGCGATCCTTTCTACGGGTTCATTACCATAATTGACTTCAGGTGGGGACGGATCATTCAAATGGACGGCCGTACCAAGAACACAATTATCCACACCGTTCAAGTTATGCGTATTCACCGAGTTAATCACCTTACGATCGACCAGCACAAATGGAGAAGTTAAGCTAGATGATGCAGGAGGAATTCCGCTGGAGCCCAGGTGGCTCTTTAATCTACGTGTACCTGGAATGTCTACATCGCGTTTACTACACTCGATTTGACTACCACGTGTTCCATTACTACACTCAGCACTGTTTTCTAAACTATTCTCGTCATTTCTCGTTTTTATTTTACTGCTTTGGCTTTCTTTGCCCTGTAACTTCGATTCGCAATCAACGCGACTTTTACTATTTGACTCCTTTGACAACTGAGGTGGCCACCTATTAGAGTTAACTCCGCGCTCAATACATGTACTTTTATTTAAATTGACTACACTTTCATTTTCATTTTTATTCAAGGACCAAGGATGACCCCTTGGCAATGTATGGCCCGCTACATCACCAGGTTCTAGTTTACCGAACGCCGTTGATTGTTATTTCTTGCCCTAGGAAAAGCTCTGTTCCTCGGATTATCCGGGCATTGTTTTACAAGATGATTTTCACTTTTGCATATAAAGCATACTCTGTTATGTTGGCACTCTAAAAACGCGTGACCCCATTCGCCGCAATTTTGACAAGCCAACTCGGGATTACCGTTGTATACCCTGGGTTCCCACCCTTGCGAATTATTGTGAGCGGGGCTTGGGAAACGTGGTGCTGTCGGATAACGCTGCGAGTTTTGGAATTGTTGTGCACCATGATTATTTTGGGGGTTGTAATATACTGGTCTGGGAATGTACGTATTACCGGGTTGCATGAATTGCCCACGCTGTGGCAGCATTTGGTTAATCGATCCGGAACCTTGAATAACATGATTTTGACCTATTTCTTGCAATTTTTGCTCAATTCTGTCTAACCTATTATCCGTGTTTTTATCAGGTGAGGCCTGATTTACCGCGTTCAAATTACCCGCGCTTTTCCGCCCTTCGTGAAAAATTTCAAATTTGACTGCCATTTGCAAAGCCTCATTTAATGTTACGGGATCTTTCTCAAACACATACCATTCGATTGTTTGGTCGTTAAGTGCGTCTTTAAAACTTTCCAATGCCTTCCTTTCCCTTTCTTCAAAGGAAGCGCTTGGGAAAGCCAGACGTACCAATCGTTTGATATCATATGCGAGAGCCATAACATCTTCATTTCGCTGTCGTTTTCGAGATTTCAACTGATTTCTGAACTTTTCATGTTTGTGTTTGGGTTCAAATCGATCATTCAGTGCGCTAACTAGTTCATCATAAACGAGAATTCCACCGGCCGGAAATAATTCTGTCAAAACACTAAGTGCTTCGCCCCGCAAATTGGATGCTAACTGTGACAACTTAGTTTCGTCATCCCACCTGTTACACTGTGAAACGATCTTGAATTGTGTGAAGAAATCACTGAAGCTGGAAGTTCCGTCATAAACACCGATTTTCGCGTCCTTTCTGAACTTTTGTGGCTCACTCTTATTTGCGTTTATTGACTGAATTTCTGGAGTTTTTGAGCTATTCGGTATAAATGACCACTTTCCCTCGGGAACGGTTACCTCATGAGGAGCATTGATAGGGAGCGGGGGAAAGAATGGGACTTCGGGGCTTGTCTGATTAACAGAGTTAAGTGATGATTCGGACACACTGGGAATTTGGGACAATTGATTTGGGCCTGAATAAAGTGACGCACCCATGGGCGGCGGACTCTGATTTCTACTTTTATGTGTCACTCGAGCTCCCTCGTACGATGGCCTATCGGCCCCGCTATTTAACCGACCACTTGTTGATTGGTAGCTTGGCTTGAAATCTCGACTGAGCTCCGGTTGCGACCTCGGAACATTTGTTTGATACTCAGACAACCGAGTTTGCGGAACACCTGTATTAACCATTTGATGGGAAAATTTTGCATTTTCATGGCCCCGGTAAAGGTCAAAGGGTACGCTAGTGTTTGATACCGGCGGAGGTAAACCTTGCCTCGGAATACTACCATATACCTGATTGACAGAATTTTCATATGTGCGGCTATCATTTTGCATTTGTTCTACCGTTTCATTAAAATGTAACCTCTGTTTCGGAGTTTTCGGACGAGCACCTTGATCTGTGAACCCTTGTAATTCACCACCGTCTACTTGTTTACCACTTGGCGGTTTCAACACATTTGTATTTGACGGGTTTTCGGACTCATTTCCCGCAACTTCTGTTTTATCTAGATCAAGGTCAAAATTGGACGCCATACGGACGGTTGAGTCAAGGGGCTTCAATGTAGACAACCCACTGTCAGGCGCACCGCCAAAAGATACCTCTGCATCTTTATACCTTAGAAGACCACTACCTCGACCTCTACCTCTACCTGAAAATTGAGGGAGAGGCGCACCCGGTTCTACGCCTTCCGAAATACCCTTTTCCGCCATTTGTTTACACCTTTTTACACTGATACACAACGAACGCAATAATAACCTTTTTACGTTCCTATTTGATTAGGAACGGACGCATAGACAACGGAACCTAGTATTCACAATTTACTCGGACTCGACTACCCTGATTTTAGTCGAAATCCAACACGGAATTGCCCAGAATACAACCAAATAATTACATATAATTTCTAACAATCAATTACGCTTATCAGACGGTGACTGATATTTTTGTACGGCCTATACGGAATCGACTACCCTAGTTTTAGTCGAAAACGAAAACGGAACTGCGCTGAACACAACCAAGTTATTACGTATAATGTCTACCAAGTAATTACGCTTATAATCGACGATGACTGATATTGTTTTACGCGAAATCAACTACCCTAGTTTTAGTCGATATTTTTATACCCGCGCTGAATAATTGTAAACACATCAATGATAAATCAAAATGGTTCAATAGTTACTTGGAAGTAACCGCAAAAAGTGTTTTTGACTTGAAAATAAAAAATAGAAACAAATCAACCTTGACAAACACACTTTTTATATCCTGCCGACTGCGCCAAAATTTATGTAACGACCCGCCGTAGGCAGGCGTAAGGGGTTGGATATATTAAAGTGCGTCTGAGAAAGTTAATTGTCGGGAAATGAATTTGGAAAGTAATTAAGGGAGTTTGAATTTAATGTAATGAATAAAAGGACAAAATAAATATATATGTTTCTATAAATCAAAGTCTTTTAATGCATACTAAAACTATTCATACAGAGATGTGTTCACAAACTACAATTACAATCAAACAATATCAGTCGTTATATTTTTACCTATTACGCTATTTATGACCGCCCGATGCAGTGTGAGAATATAACAATAAATCAGTACAATTAAAGAACAACCAATCAAGTGAGTCAAGCAACTAAACAATAAATCAATACAACAACAAAATACTCAACCAGGAAACGCCTTATCCAGAAAATATATAATAATTTGGAAGTTTAAATCTAAAGTCACAGGTCAAGCTTTAAAAAGGTATATAAGAATAAATGAAATAGGCGAACCTGGTCAGTAATGTTGATTGTAGCTAATAACTCACCCAAGCTTCCATGTCACGAGGTGTTTATATATATCCAGACATATAGCTTGAATCCTATCCTACTGAGGAGGAGACCGAACGCGAAAACCGGCGGGCGCAAAAACCTGATGTTTCTGAGGGTGGGGGCACTTATATACTCCCCCAGAGACAAAGTAAGGGGCAGGGATTATCCCAAAAACAGAGACATCAGACTTGCCCATTGGTCAATTACACGTGGCTATCCTGTCAAAATATTATTTATGACCTAAATACTGAAGGAGGTGTCCATAACTATAGACCAGAACAAATTAAACATAAATGATTGGATGTACAATATTAATATAAGTGTGCCACTGACTAAAAGCCACCGGCCTCTGTAAGAATAAGAACTGGAACTAAATACACAATGGTGATTGGTTGACAATGGTACAATACTGTTAATAAATATGAATGAGAGATAGAAGACTTGAAAATATTACATATAAGGACCCAAGTCCGTCACACCAGCTTTGAAGCCTGGGGGGGGGGGCACTGGTCAACTTTGAATAGGGGTGTACCACTGAGATTCAAAATATCTACCCACATCTAGGGATTTTTTTCTCGAAAAAAATGCAATGTTTGTTTTATGAAAGAAATAAAAATATAATGGTAATTAATAATAATTACCATAAATAAAGGATGTATATAACTATCAAGGCCTTAGAAAACGTTAAAAACAACTTTTTGAGGTTAATAATCAATTTAATTCCTTTTCATTGACTAAATCTAGTAAATGCATGTTCGATTTCCAATTGAATGTCAAAATGCTCTAATAACGAAAGTGTTTGGCCGTTGTCAGGAATCTCCCAAAACCAAAATGAATGTCTCCATATCATCCAACGTATATTGATGACGTAATACTCGTAGCCCGCTCTTTTGGAAATCCAATGTAATGTGACGTCATATTAATATTTGATAATGAAAATGCATTATGCTTTCAAGTAATAAGCCCAGAAACAGCAATGTTATTGTATTTGATCTAAGGTGGACCCCTCATTAAATACTAGAGATGTCACGGAACAAAAAAAATGAAACGGTTCGGTTCGGAACATTTTGCTTCGGAACGGAACAATTTCGGAACGGTTCGGAACAGAGTGATTGCATGTATAAGACTGAAATGAGTTGATCATCTAGGTCTATTTGGTAGCGAAAAGCTCCTCAAAACTCTTCAATGAGAAGGAGTGAAAAGAATGAACCTCTTTTGGTGCAAAATATAGAAAGAAAAATGCTGTTTTGTGGCGATTTAAGGGCCAAAAGTTGTGAAAGGGTAAAATGTTCTTGTTCCGGAACCGAACCGAAATTCTCAATTTGAGTTCCGTGTTCCGTTCCGTTCCGGATCGGAACAAAATCGGGTATCCGTGATACCCCTATTAAATACACTGTATGAAACGTTTTGAAAAGCGTTTTGAAATTGCTAAAAGTAGGACACACAATCAGGCATCCCCTAGTGTGCGTACCTTACTCACTTCGAGAGCCATGTTAGATTTTGAAACTTATGGGTCTCAAACAGGGAAATGGACAGCTGAATAATAGTGACCTTTGAAACATGAATTAAGTCGATCAGTGGCTTACTTTTGTTCTCTAACTATGTCATACATCATTATCATCCTTACGTGCAAGTATTGGAGCGTTGAAGTACTTCCTTTTCGATCAAGACTTGTAATTGTTAGTCGAGTGAATGTTTTTTCTGCCAAATTCCAATATGGCGGTTTGCTAGGAGCGAGATTCGCAACGAACGAAATGAATTTTTGAATCATGCCCGTAGCCAGGTTTTGGTTAGGAGGGGCTCGAACCATCCACACACAAAAATGTTTTCATGCTTAATTCGAGTTTCAAGGGTCACTAGCTGCCCAAGTGCGCCGTGGGAATACTATTATATCAAAATCCACATAGCTTTCGCAGGAAGTTATGCGTACCAACTCAAAATACAGCCCTACGCCCATGATTAGTCTGCTACCAGTTTGCCAGATAAGGGTAAACTAGGCCTGGAGAGTCTAGACAAAAATATAAATTATAGGCCATATTCCTCCTAAGGCTAGATCTAACACTAATAGACTAGGCCTAGACTAGATAGCCTCTGCCTACTACAGGAGAGACTCAGAAATTGTGAAAATGCAAAAACACAAACATCATTGTTCATCTCCTTCATCCAAATCTGTTTGACAACAATCAGTCTTTTAAAATTGCCTCATCGTAGTATTTTAGTAATCTTCAATAATACTATTGGTCAGAGGAATATATACTAACCTGTGATTGCAGCAGAGATCTACAAAATTGGTTGGTCAATGATGAACCAGTGAAATTCGAGGAAATTTCAACCACTCAAAATGCTTCACTATTGGTTAATAAGTAGTACTTACTCCCTCTTACCTGATAAATTTTGTTGATGTATAATACAATTCAGGTATCAAATGTACCAAAATTGATTTAAAAACAATAAAAAATATTTAATCGTTTATTCATCAACTCAGTATTGTTTTCAAATCCGGATATCTATTGCAAAAAAGCGTAGATAGTTCTGATTTTGTATGGGTAGTACTGTTAAAAAGAACAGCCTTTCAAAAACCGAATGACAATCTGTAAAACTGAAAATAAATAATCCCGTATTTGAACTTATGAAATAATAATTGATTTTACAATATGAACATGATCACCTTATTTTCCATTACATATTATATATGTATCAAAATTTCTATTTTCCATAAATTTGTCACAAATGAGTAGCATTTGTAGTCATTAGAACTACTTTTGAGTAAATTCCTACTCCTGACGTCATTGGGGAATCCCTTTGGAAAAATTGGATTTTTTTAGCAAATTCTTGTTTTATGTGAATATGTTGATAACTGTGAAGATATTGAAGGGTAGAGAATGTACCATACAGGTAAAAACGTTACGTTATGTTTAGTAAACTCTTGAATATAGATTATAAATTGAAACTTTGATCAATTTTCTTTGAAAATTCTCTGCCAGCCACAGTCAGAGAGAATGTTTCTGGCGAAATTCTGGGACTTCAAATACTTTTGTATAAATATAGTTCCAGGGCAATTCGAAGAACGTATTAGATGTCCGTGCTGCCAGCCTTCTTGATTGATATTTTTACTTTCACCTCAGCTTTCATTCACTGACTCAGGAGTCATATGGCACTTTTCAAGTTTATCAGGAGCGGATCCAGGATTTTGTGTAAGCAAAGTGAACCGCGTGAGTGAGCGCAGTTATGAGCTCGACAATAGGGGGGTTCACCCCTTTGAAAATTTCAGAAATCATTTGGTGTATTCTGACCAATTTCAGAGTGTACTAGGTTCAAATGCCCATGTCTGATTTCAGAGAAATGCAATGCATTATTGTTACAGGGGCTTAGCCAGCTTTCAGTCAGGGGGGATGCGATCGCAATTTTTTGGGTTTTCAGTCAGGGGGGAGTCATACTTCTATTTTTACCCCTGACTACTTCTATTTTTACCCCTGACTATGCCAATGCGTAACCATCTATTTAGTTTTCAAGTCAAAATTCTGACTTTTAAGGGGGGGGGCATTTATCATGTGTCACACCAAGATTATCCCTGGGAAATTGTGATACCCAATAACCTTCATGCTGCTGGATCTCAGGCCCGTAGCCAGGATTTGCCAAGGGGGGGTTCATTTTTCAAAAATTTCCAGGGGGGGGTTCACATTTGACAATTTTGGCCCAAATATGGCCAAAATCACTTGAGAAGTGCTCAAAATGGTGAAAAACTGCATGATTTTGAAAGAATTTTTGGCCAGGGGGGGGGGTTCGCCCGAACCCTGCGAACCCCCCCCCCCCCTGGCTACGGGCCTGGATCTACATGTACATCCTACAAGCCCAGGGGCCTGTTCAAGATCCAGAATATGAATCTTACATGTTCCTTGGGCTATGGCATCTTTATGATCATGGGCTTTGGCTGATGTATTGCTGTCATAATCACAGGTTGGTATAGAAAAATTTGTCCGCTGTGACAGAGCGTGCTATTTTGCATAGAAATATCAGGAAATCCATACAATTTATTTTTTTACTCATATGTTTCGCTATATCAAAGAAAATTACCTACTCAACGCGCATTGGATATATCATTTGCAAGTAATTTTCTTTGGTATAGCGAAACATATAAGTAAAAAAATAAATTGTGTGGGTTTCTTAGTGTTTTCTTAGTGTTTCTATGCAAAATAGCACGCTCCGTCACAGCGGACAATTTTTTCGATACCAGCCTGTGAGTGATAATAATCTGCCAAAGAAAAAGAGGCTGCATTCCTGGTGGCTGTTGTCTCAGTTTAAAGACATTGCACATTTTGTTAGGCTACTTGCAGCTACATGTATACTATACTCTTCTTCAGATTCTTGTAGAGAAGGGTATTCCCGTAATCCAAACTTTACTTTGACTTCAAAGTCAGCGGAACAATTACTCCTGTGCCCAATTCAAGATACTTCATATTTTATGTTTTTCAAAATCAAATATTAACTCAAAAATAATTGAAACAATAAAAAATCATTTTTCATTTTCATCAGGTGATGCCTGAAGATACTGTCATAGAAGTGAAGGCTATTGTAGAGCGTGAACTTGGAATTCCTCCACAAGAGCAGAGATTAGTGTATAAAGGAAGACCATTGTCAGGTATGTCACATTTACATTTTACATTTGTTTATGGAAAAATCCAATGTCATTTTACCTCAATGCTCACTTGTGCAGATTTAATATAGTTATCTCATGTGTACCTGGGGTCTATTTCTCCAAAGTTCGTAAAGTTACGAATTAGTAAGTCTATTGTTGTTGCAAGAATTTCTAACAAATTACATTTCTCGAAAATTAGTAACTTTACGAAGATTAGTAACTATTATCGCAAAATCACTAAATATTATATTATTTAGTTACTGTCATTAAATAATGACGTTATCTGCGATTTTTATCGTAACTTTTATAGTACCTCCAAAGGTCTTGTAAGTCTTTTTTGAAACTTACAAAATTAGCAAAGTTACTTATTAGTAACTTTACTCATTTAGTAAAGTTACTAATTAGTAAAATAAATAGATCCCTGTGTAAGATCTTCCATTCTTGATGAGTATTGATAATTGGTAGCCACCATTCAATAAGCCATGCAATTATAGATTCTAAACTGATAATGATTTTTGGAAAAGTTTTATTCTTGTTTCATTCCACCTTTACCTAAATACATTGGAGGTTCATGATACCAACAGTATCACCAGCGGATCCATAAGCTAACAAGGGGGGGGGGGGACAAATTTCAAATGAGAAAAAATATTTTTGAGCCCCTAAATCCAAAATTTTGGCACTAATTTTGAAAATTTAAGGCCCATTTTTATAATTTGGCCTATAAAGGTCAAGTAATGACCAAAAAGGCCCACTAATTGAGGTCCTACAAATTTTTCCCATGAGCCAACCCCCCTTGGATATGCCAGTGAGTATTTCTTCAGTTTGTTATCACTTCTAAGTTCTTTATGAATCTGGTGATGCTTGGGTGATTTCATCATGAATGTCATCATTGAAATTAAGATCATGAATTTTCACTCTATTTCTTGCACATATGATACTATTAAAATGTTTCAGATGATCAAACATTAACAGACTGCAACGTGACACAGAATGCAAAACTATTCCTGGTGGTGAAAAAAACATCTGAAAACACAGAAAGAACAGCAGAGAGTAAAGAGCCAGCACTATGGAAAGAACTTAACACTTTTCTCACTAAACATTATGCAGCTAAAGATATACCTCATATAATAGACCAGTTTAAAAAGGTACGTGTACCATATTATATTTACTAATTTACTAATATCAGACATTACACAATGTGGCTATAAGGATTTGATACTCCCTGTGTCAAGAGGGTACAAGGCATGAGTCAGAAATGTTTCAAAATTGATGATCAGACATTTTTTCAATTAAAACTGTAAAACTATGTCTGTTTGGTCATATCTGGGGGTCATATTATATCACCTTGTTTTTTCAAACTCCCGGCAATTCTTGTTTTCTGATTTCAGGATTTAGAAAAGACTGTACAAAGTTTGAGTTTAGATGACATAGAGAGAATAGCAACTGTGAATCTCAAGAACCAACAAGATGCTGCAGCAACTAGTTGACCTTGAAAGTAACTCTAATCATCCATTGACCAGCAACACTACCCTTTGAATCTTAAAGTTAATCTAAACAGTTTTGATGCCGAAAAGACCTTGCTTTTTTATTTTTTTTATTCTTCTTTATTCAATTTTAGTACATACAAATTACACATGTAGTGACTGCCGAAGTTGAAAAACATTGGTGGCAGTTGCTGGACCTTGCTGGAAAGACCTTAACAAGTTTAAATATAGCTCTCAGGACATTTTATGTAATGGGAGTTTGAAATGAATGTGAAATGAACGTTAGGGACTTATTTACAAAAAGTGTAATTATCCCATTGAACGAAGTTCGGAGGGATATAGGGAACGCCTCCATCCGTCCGTCCGTACATACGTACGTCCTTCCGTCCGTCCGTACGTACGTCCGTCCGTCCGTCCGTCCATCCGGGCAATAACTCAAATGCCGTTGGCCCGATTTTGTTCATATTTTGTACACATATACCCTATGGGGGTAGAAGTTCTGCTCAAAAGCCGATTTTCAAAATGGCCGCTCATTTAAAAATGGCGGCCATTTTAGTGCCGATTTTACAGTAATTTAGGTGCAATATGTAAAACTGTGATAGCATTATGTTTTAAATGTAAAAAAAAATATAGGACATTGATAAAGCTAGAAATGTAGAAATTAAAATAGCACATGGCAGCCATCTTGAAAAATGGCGGCCTTTACTCGTTATTTTACGATTTTTGCTGTAACTCAAGAAGTATTGGAGCGATTTTGTTCATGTTTGGTATGTGAATACTATAAGCATGGCTCACTGTCTAATGACACTTTTGGTAGGAGGAGGCCATTTTGAAAATTTGCCGCCATTTTGAAAAATGGTCGCCATTTTAACATATTTTACTTTAACTCAAAAAGCAGTGGAGCGATTTTGTTCATATTTGGTTTGTGAATACTATAAGCATGGCACACTGTCTAATGACATTTTTGGTAGCAGGCGGCCATTTTGAAAAATGGCCGCCATTCTAACGTATTTTACTGTAACTCGAAAAGTAGTGGAGCGATTTTGTTCATATTTGGTATGTGAATAATATAAGCATGGCACACTGTCTAATGACACTTTTGGTAGAAGGCGGCCATTTTGAAAAATGGCCACCATTTTAAAGTATTTTACTGTAACTCGAAAAGTAGTGGAGCGATATTGTTCATATTTGCCATGTGAATACTATAAAAAAAAGCATATTACTTCTTCTGGTGACAAAAAATGGAATTTGAAAAATGGTCGCCATTTAAAGGGTGACGCATATCGTTTAGCAAATCGAACGCTCGTTTCTGGTGTTGCTCACCGTTTAGTATAAAAGGCCCGATCCCGGAATAATACTCAAGGGTTCACAGGCTCGAGGTCGTTGTGTCAACACCTCTAACTGTTATATAGCATAAGTATATTATAGATCGTCACACATTTATAAAAGGGTGATTTTTATTTTGACAAATCAATTCCACATTTATGGGTGAAGTTTCAGGATCTTCTATTTGTGTATAATAAGGAAAAATTGGCATTTAATTTCCCAATAAGGTAATAGCACACAGCTTGGCATATGAAATATCCTACAAATGAAACAAAGCAAGACAAACCGGTTTCTTATACAAGGATTTATATTGGCTGTTGTACATGTATTCTTTGAACGCAATCACTCTTTGGGTAACGTTTTCAAAATCATTATAAACGGATTACTTTATCTCAAAGACAATTTCAATAAACTGGATTTTACAGAACTCCCCTTATTTCTTAAAAATGGACTGATCCAGTTGATTCGCCTGGAGCCGCCATATTGTTTTTATACGGGATGCTAATCGGAACCCTTTAAACGTATTTTACTCGGCCTTTACTCGTTATTTTACGATTTTTGCTGTAACTTGAAAAGTAGTGGAGCGATTTTGTTCATATTTGGTATTCGAATACTATTAGCATGGCACACTGTCTTATGACACTTTTGGTAGAAGGCGGCCATTTTGAAAAATGGCCACCATTTTAAAGTATTTTACTATAACTCGAAAAGTAGTGGAGCGATTTTGTTCATATTTGGCATGTGAATATTATAAAAAAGCATATTACTTCTTCTGATGATAACTTTCTTATGTGTGTTATTTTATGATATTTGCTATATATCTCGTTTGTAAAAATGCCAGCTATTTCTGTTCGATGGGATTCGCTACGCTTTGGCGTTGCCGTTGTTCTGGTTTCTGACTCTATTTGTGATGAGAATCTGAAGCAAGATCAAAATATTGTCTATATTTCAAGAGTGCAGACAAGTCCTGCTATTACAAAGGGTAGAGCTATTATGATATGGCTAGGAATTTGGTAATATTGAATGCAAGGGCACTCTATGGATTAAATGTATCTTCTAGCATTCAATGTCAGATCAAGATAAAGCAGAATTTATGAACTTGAAACATTTTAGTGAATTTTTTAATGTTACCTAACATTGTACAGTGCATATACATACTGCTAGTTAAAGCATGTAGTTCTGGCCTTCAATAAACCATTTTCTCATTACATTACATTGTGGATTGTTACAGTACATAAGCACAAAACGTTCTGTGGTGAAATATTATGTCTTTTAATTGATGATCATTTATGAATGAAGGCTAGCACTTATTTTGTATTAAAAGTCAGATGAGGGCTGATCTAACATTGTCTAAGGGTGTTTTATTTCACCTACAAACATTTTGTATCTTTCTGTCATAGAACTATTAAATAATTAAAATATACAAATTGTCAGCAAAGCGTCTTTGTAAAGAACGATTAATGGAGTAAAAATTTTTTTCTTTAGTAACTTCATATTTTTGCTCAATTGTAGGATATAAATTGAAATATAGTGTGCAATATTAGATGTAGTCTTGTTCGGAATTACTTGTACAAATAACTCTTTTCTTCAGTGATAGCTTCAATTCAAGTTCATGATTTGAAATTGCTTGACATTTTACTTATCAGTGGAAGCATTTAGAGAATCTTGAGCAAACCAGGTTTATGTAGTCAAGATCAATGTTATTCAAAATACCCCCAGATCTACAAACAATGCCAAACTTTAAACCAAACTCATTTCTTTAATGGGGTATGACCATATGCCTCTAGTGTTTGCTAAAAGACAATCCAAACTCTGAATCAGTTACTGTATAGATGACTAATGTTTGGTGGATTTACTGAAAATATGGCAGGTATAGCTGGTAAATATATGTGTGCACAAGTGCCAAATGGAAAGGACCAAAATTGTTACAGAATACATCAAGAAAACATTGATAGAAGAGTAGCCCAACACGTCATAAGAAAAACAAACCCCAACTATCCCAAACCATGAGCTTTTTCTAGTGGTACAAAAATTTGTTATGGCAATTAAGACCAAAGTTTGATAAAATATGCCTATTTTCATGATTTTCTTATTTCAAGTGGGGGGAAATAGCCTCTAAGATGGGCCTATTATTAAAACCTCAGATGGGTGCAGTGCCTATTTGCTTTAATGATGGAGAGATTAGTGTTGTTACATGTTCAGGTTTACACCATTCCGTCATGTCTGAAAAGGTTCTTCCTGAGATACTACATGACAGAAGAGATCATACTTGATTTTAAATCTTCAGTTTTATTTGAAAAATATATGCTCACAATTCACACTTTGATTTTACATTTTTTTTTATCATAACAATTCACATGATGATGCTATGAGATCTTAAATATCTAAATCACTCAAGCAGAATGAATGAACCAGCTTTGTATGTTGAGCTCTACTTACATTCTACTGTACTATACCTAATCCCTAGAAATGCATAAGATATTCTCTTTGTCTAATTGTATTGTTTAGTATATTTTTGAAAGTACTTTATTAACATCTAACAGTCATCCGATAAACCATTCATAAGCAGCAGACACAATAACATAATCATTACTGATAAGCTAAATGGGTTGCCCATGAACACCAAATGCAAGGTATAGTAGAGTGACTTACTGCAATGGTTCCATGATTGCAAAGAAGTAAAAATCTATATTTAGTTACATTTGTCTTCTTGACTATACAGTGACAGTTTTCCCAACATCATATTTGGTGTAACTTAGTCACACCCCCTATTGTACTGGAGGTCATTAACAGAAACTTCTTAAAGTTACGAATTCGTAAATCAATTGTAAACAACTGATTTTACGATTTCTTAACTTTACGAAGTTATTGTTAATGGCCCCTTGGTAATTTAACCTGATAAACAAGTTCATCAAAAGGTCAAATATGTATCATACTTGTCAAAATAACCACTTCTGTTTTTTTAAATAATTTTTAACTTCAAATTGCAGCTTTCCAGGAAGAAGTTAATATCACACAATTTTGGAAGTAATATCTGTTTTTAAAACTGCATTTGAGACCAGTCATCATTTTACAACATGCATCATCTATATAATATTAAACACGACATACTATTTGAACTAAATGATCTTAAAAACTAAAATCAATCTATAGTACACTATTACCATAAACCAGTACACTAGTACCATAAACTATATATATACAATCTATTTTGTGAAAAGCACCTAGACTAAGACTCACTGCATGTTTGTAAAAGTGTTATTTATTTAAAAAATTTCATTTAATTTTGATGAACACAAGTTCAGTATTATATCACAGATTTTGATTACGAATAGTCTTTACATTTATTTAAAAGTAAAATTCTATTTGCTAAAAGCATCATTTGAAATGTCATTGTGGAATGAAATGTTTGACTTGTAAAGCTGACTGTATAGTTAAATATATTTGTATTGAATCTTTGTGTTGGACGTCTACCTTTATGAACACTTTTTGTAGAAACGAAGGCGTTAACCAGACACAGATACTCCTGCATTGTAAACAGATTTTACTTTATTGTCTCCAGGTTTTGCTGAATTGTAAAAAATTCTGTATTTACTTTATCAGCTTACTATAAATCCAATGTTTTAAAGTTACTGTATGAACCTTTTATTGGATTTTAGAGTTTTATAGCTTAATATGGCATTCACATTCATGTGATTTCCTAGTGCGATTTCCTAATGGCTTCAAATCACTCTACTGGCATAATGAGGTCATGGTCTTTAACCAAATCCATATATATTTAGGTTTCTATATGTTGTACATGAGTTTCTATGACAACAGGCACAGATCATCTCAGTCAATACTTATTGTGAATGAGGACTCAAGGTCAGAGGTGTTGGATGGTAAGGGGGCAGAGGTGGGAGAAGTAATAGTAGGACTTGAACTAGGCCGGCGAACATTTTGGAACTTTCTCTGTAATGCAAGCACCATCAAATCACTATGATTGCTTGTTGATCTACGTGGTTTCTTACAAACAGGAGTGCCCCCTGGTGAGCGAACTCCAGGTGTAGAACGTAATTTTCCCCGTCCCAACATAATATTGCTTTTCAATTCTGGATTAAGAGCACACAATGGAGTGTTCGGCTTTGATGATCTGGTCGTAATCTTTGAGCTCTTAGGTGTAGTTTCTGTCGACTTTCTACTGCGAGTTGGAGTGCGCTTTGATTTCTCATAGAATGACACCCTCCTGGTTTTAATTAATGGAGTGTTTGGCAAAGGGGGTGGTGGGGGTGGAGCCACTACTGGGGGAGGTGGTCCAGGAGGAGGTGGGGGAGGGGCAGTGGGGAGATGAGCCACAACAACCTTTTGTTCTTCAGTAGAATCCTCAATGTTGCGATCTGAGCAGTACTGAACGACCTCGTGATAGAGACTGGCCAGATTATACTTCAGGTTTGTACGCGTGTTATAATGGCTCAGGTGACCTATGTTCACCAGTGTTCTTTTGAGTTCTTTAATATGTCTGTCCAACATCTTCTGATTTTCCTGGAAATACATTGCCCTCTCTGATTAATAGCATTCATTTACCGGGGTCTAGTGACGTCACAATTAGGCCATCCAGCTTTAGATGCTTGGTTTTGAGAGTTTATCTTCTATATTTCGTGCTTTATTGATTTATTTTTCACGAAAGCGTTCGATTTGACTAGATCAACATTCATCCTAAGCACATACCAAGTCTAAGATCGTACTGACATGATTTAGATAGCGGTTAATCGCCCCCCGATTTTGACAAAAACGGGGGGCGCTTATAGGGGGTGCACCCCAGTTGTCCGAAACCCAGTTGTCCGAAACCCAGTTCTCCGAAACCCACTTGTCCGAAACCCATTACTCCGGTTTCATGCCAGTTTCATGCCATGTATTTGGCCAAATTAATGGCATGGACGCATTCTGATGTTCATAGATCTCTCTCTCTCTCTCACTTTGAATTGCATCCATTGCACGCGTTACCAGAATGGCAGGAACGGGGGATTTATTTTACATTGTGATTCTAAAAAAGGTTATCAAAACACAATATATATTACGGAACAGTTTATCTTATCTTCTTCAATCTCTTTTATATCTGTATATAGGCAAAATAAAATGAATCATTTTGAAACAGATAAAATAGGTTTACGCATATAGTACTTTAAGAATAAAACAGTATACATATTACGTTGTCAAAATATTTCGTCGCATTTAATTTCTTAGTCTCTGTATTTTATCAAATCGTAAAAGAACAAAACATTCTTAACTTAATCACTTGGGATCAACTGGAAACGAAGGCAGGCTGTCCTCGTATCAAAATGGATGTTCTCCCATTCGCAAGAAGTTTCATTTTCGCCATGTACTCACTTCATCCTTTTAAACTCTATTTCTCGAACAGAGTACGTAAATGAAGAATAAGTTTTGGTTTCAAAAGATGTACATGTCAACTTTACTAAATAAATGCCCACTGGCTTGGGAAAGCTATTTTCCTTTTATGAACGCTCATCACCCATTGGAAAAATGTTGTTCCCTCTCAAAAAAGGCCCATGGGCCATAAAGAAAATTGGTTTAAAAATTGTAGACCCCTATCTATGTATGTTGTGTAAACGCCATTTTACAATGAGAATAACATAATTTAACTTTGTTTGTTTGAACATCTATATCACCTGTATATGAACTTTCGTAGGCTAAACATTAAACAATTAACGTCTTGACTTAGCATATTTAGCCTAATTTTGCAATGATGTCAACGTTATTCCAATGTTATGTTGTGATTCGCAGAGGTTGCGACAATGAGATTCGTTTAAAAAAATTGTATTTTTCAAATAAGATCCCCTAATTTTCGGACAACTGGGTTTCGGACAACTGGGTTTCGGAAAACTGGGTTTCGGAGAACTGGGTTTCGGACAACTGGGTTTCGGACAACTGGGTTGACCCCGCTTATAGGCATCGATGTTTAGTATGAATTTCACCCAAACTTCACACATATATAGATATACTCATGATCTAGTCAAATCGGCATATCTGGTAAATATCCGACCCATGGTTTTCATAGAAGAAACAACAATATTTTTAGCTCAAAACTGCCACGTGTCCACCATTTTGTGATTCCATCATGTCTAATATCATTTCTATATGACGTCACATCAATAAGACGAAATACGTGACAACAGTATCCATAAACAAAATTCCTGAATTCTGATCACAAAAGGTCAATTGAGACATAGTTGGTTACATTTCAGATCAGATTAACCCATACCCTTCCAAAAATGTAATTGTTAAAGAATTTTAAATCAAAAGTCATTTCCTTTCAAGAGACAATGTTCACCTTCAAATCATCATCTTCTATCCCATCCTCCCGAAACATAATTATTTTTGTGAATATTTGTGGAATATGGGTATACAAATTCTGACCCTGTTCAGGGGTCTCACTAGAATTTCTCATGACTAAATAAATGAAAACAACAGGCAAAATTAATGGAAATCATAAATTTAACATGGATCAGTTGAAAAGTCCCTAAAAACAACAGGCGATTTTGTGAAAACAACCAGTGAAAATCGCCCGTTTCCTGCTTTTCAAATGAAACCCCTGCTATTCCTTTTGAAATATCACAGCAAGCACCAACCACCGAACAACATCCACAAACAGTTGGAGACCACAACAATATGTCTACACTTGTGGTGGTGACATAAAGAGGATATTAAGGTACAGCTGGAAAGTAACATTTTGGTAAAAAATTGCTATACCTGCACATGTTATTTTCTGGTACAAAATAAAGTATGAAGGCATATGTCAATTTCCTTGCTTTTTTCAGGAAAGTATCTTTACATTGTCTTCTTTTAGAATATCTGGTAGGGGTTCAATGAAAACTCCGGAAAATTCTGATATTTCACACTTTCTATTTTTCCAAATTTTCTTTCAAAGTTTCCAGACAACACAGGAGCTACCATTGACCTGTTTCCAGATATTCTAAAAGTAAACAGTGTAATGATACTTTCCTGAAAAAAGCAAGGAAATACACACATTACTTCATACTTAATTTTGTACCAGAAAATAACATGTGCAGGTATAGCAATTTTTTACCAAAATGTTACTTTCCAGCTGAACCTTAACCCCAGGTTTGATACCCTTGCTTCATATTAGTTCTACCATGCACCATACCTTCATGAATTCCTGCTGAACTAGATTATCTCGCTCCACCAAGAGGGCAAGCCATTCCTGCACCAATGGTTCTTGTTCTGCAAAATATTACAGACAAAATGAGAGTAAAATTTTTGATAGGTGGAATACATATTGTCTTGTTTGAGAAAAAACAAAAACTTCCAGGAGTTATCAAGTCTTCCAATTATATGCCCAAAGTCAGATATACATTTGATATATTTTTAGTATGTGTCCAAGGAGTCCAATAATGCAGTATTTTCCATTTTGATACGAGCAATAAGATTTACCTCATAATATGATACAAACTATACAAGAGATTTCAGTGTGTAATATCATAATATGTAACCATTTTTAAAATCCACTGTCTTATCACTGTTCGGGTAAATCAGAACATAGGCGTAGCCGAGGGGGGGGGGGTGCGATGGGTGCGATCACACCCATCTGATATCTACATGTAGTCCCTTATGAAACACACCTTTAGCTAAAATGTTTATTATGCAGGTGTATAATAAAAAGAATTTTAGCAGATTTCAGTACTCAGACATTTCTATTATCAATTACACATACCTAGATGTGATTCATAGATCTGCTATCATTCTGGTATGCCAGAGCCCCTCTTATCTGCCATTTGCGAGAGTTTGACGATAATTTACTTGAAATTTTTTACCAACCTTATCAGTGAATATTGTTTTCTTTAACACACATGATCACATAGTACATGTATTACAATAGAGTAGATGCGAGTAGAAATAATCTTGATTTACGTCATTAAATATTGAAAATTCAGTCAAAATGATGTCATATTTGAAATCTCCATGTAAAAGTACATCTAGAAATATGGTTTCGAAAATTGTTTATCAACTTTGAAAATTTAATTTATTTTGAAAATGTGATTTCTGGTTCGGGTTGAATCCCCATAGACCCCATGTTACAAAGTCACAAAAAGTGAAATATCTTTTCTTGTAATCAACAAATAACATTTTCCTTTACTGGACATTTTTTAATTTGCATAACTATTAGATACATAAGGTTTATATGAAGATTAAACCACTAAAACAGATGTAATTTAAGTCAAAGGGAACTTTCTACTATACCCGGCGCCATGCTATCTGACCCGAACGAGCCACCTGGTGGTGAAATTGGTAACTACCTACTCGCATCTGCGTTATTACATAATCATGTACAAATCCAGATGTACGCGTAAAAGTACCTTTATTTTCTTTTGTTGGAATAATAGAAAGTAACTGTTCCCGTCGAGAATCTAAAATTGCATGTAGTTTAGCAGGGGACATGTCTTCTCTCTGCCATTCATACACTGAAAAAACAAACAAAAAAAGTCAGCATTGAGTTAATTCTACTATATTCTGATACCTGTGCTACTTAACTTAACTAGACTAATGTTTCTTGATTTTTAAAAAGGCATTAACATGCAAAATGTCACCATCCTTCACCTGCCATTTGCTACAGCCAAACACAAACCACCAAACATTGTCCACAAGTGGCGCCATAATAATTGGTGGGTTTATGTTACATATTTACATGTAAATGTAACATGGAATTTTAGAACACTCACAGTAATCCCTAGACTTCATTTATTTAAATAGGAAAAGGATAGATCTATACGTAGATGGGGTTGAGTGCAATGTCTATGTAATAGTTCACCAAGAATTCATGAAGGTATGGTGCAGGGTAGAACAATGTAGGCTCATGAATGTAAAGCAGACGTGATGAAACCATGAGCTTACAAAGGTCCAACGCTTTCAAAGAGTGATAGTTACAGCAGCTGTGGTATTCAAAATTTATAAATCATGGTAACACACGCAGTTGTTACGGCATAATTTATATGAAACATACTTTTATGCATACATCTGCAGAATATCAGCTCATATCCTATCTGAATCTATTGTTATTAAGGATCTAATTTAGCTTAGCGAAATTTCAATTCAAAATGGCCTCAATTTTTCTACTGAGTGAGCTGTATAAATGGCGGATCCGTTGAGTTTGAGTTATTTCCAAAAATGAATTTTGAAATATCTAAATCCAGACAAGCAATGCTTCAATTTATAAAAATTATTAATAAGGTGCGTGTGACATTTTTTTCTAGAGTACATGCGAATCAATGAAGTCACATCTACATCTAGCTGTAAGCTAAAGACACGAGTAACCACCATTAGTTGCTCAGCAGTATTATGGCTGTGTCGCAGGGCTCAATGTATTAGCCAGCTCGGCAGTAGGTTCACAAGGGCTTGAATTGTATGGAAGATCGGACAGAGCCCTCATGTGGCCAAGGTCCTATCTATAAGAAGGAGGCTTATAAGACATAAGATCTCTGCTCGATCTTCCATACAAGCCCCTGTGCATCAACTTGAACATCATCTACCATAATCTCTCCTGTCTATACATATGATACATGGACTTGGTGCCACAGGTGCCCCTTGGGTAATAAGAGTTAGGGGCTTCGATGCAACAGGGGTGGTGCACTAGTATGTATCCAACAGACTGACTAGAAGTCAGTCTGTTATGATGTACTACTTTCCTGTGGAAATTGCAGTGAATTTTTTTGCACAAAATTATCAATTAGAGGAACCATTTTTTCAATAAAATAAACATTACAAAATTTCAATTAAATAGTAAGGTACAATTAAATGCAATAAAAAATAACACAGCATATTGTCAAGTGGAAATAAAGCTAGTTGAAGTAACAAATGTGCAAATTAATTTTACCCAATCGGCCATTTTGAATAGCACTTCCTATGTAAACAAATATTTAGGATTACCAAACTTTAACATAGGTGCCTTATAGTCTGAATATTATTCAGACTAAATAGGATATAGTCTAGGTGGTGCACACTATGTGTTTTGCCTAGGATAAACTATAAACCAAGTAATTAATATTATTCTTTCACTGAAATGGTTTGAAAGTTTCAATTTTGAATTTATTGAAATTAGATCTAATTTGAAAATTTCAATGAAAATTGAATTTATTGAAAGTTGAAATTTTTTCAATGAAAACATCAGTGTTATGTCTTCAATAATAGGACACTGACTTGCGATCGAATGTAATTCGATCCTTTTGCGTGTGTCAAAAATGTTCATATGTTCATTTTTTGATTAAATTAAGCATTTACTCCAGAGGAATCCATATTACCTTGTTTTTCTTTACTGATCTTTTCAGAACCACCTCCATTCTCCATTTTGAAATTTTGAAATTAGCGGGATCACATGACCAGCCTCAGTTTGAAAATCACTTCCGTTTCCAAAAGTGAAAATGTCACAAATATGTGTGATCGTGAAATGGAGCGGTACAGAGTACAAAATAGAAGACACAAGTAGCACAGATACTGTCTTAGATCTCAAACATGCTATTAGAAAGCAAACCGGCGTATTACCAGAGCGACAGAAGCTGTTAGGGCTAAAATACAAAGGTATTATTTTTCAAAAATTCATAATTTTCATCTTCTTGATCTAGCCTATCATGATGATTCCAAAATTGATACACAGTAACAGTGGACCTGACCTGAGGCTAGAGGAGGAAACCCCAGAGCTTAGATATGACAGACATTATTACTCACTGGCTAGTTTACAGATACAACATGTCGTGTGTTGTGATGTTTCCCTGGTGATGTTTCAGTCAATTTTAATGATGTGATGTACAGTAACCATGTATCTACTTCATGACTTGTGACGTGTCACTCAACCATGCCTTCAAAGAAAGATATTGATTTATTAGAAAATGGTTTTCAGACATCTGCTGCTAAATATAGAAGAAAATATTTCACGATAGCGATGTCAAATATTGTAGGAAGGGCCCCTGTCGCGTAGAAGCACGCCCTAGACGCACGCCGCAGACTAGTACCTAATTGTAACTCAATTATAAAAATTTTACAAACACTCATTGTTTTGTTGTTGTTTTTGTGTTTTTTTGGGCTGACAGCAATGCCTAGCTACTATGAGACTCAAAATCCTTTAATTTTCAAACATATTGTCGTTTCAATATGCCAGGTATAGTTGACCCCTTGTCATGTACGCATTTTCTAACTACATGAGCGACTGGCAACAATCGTAACCATGGTAACACTATTTCTTGTCTTCTTCCAGGAAAAGTGCCAGATGATGATGTTGAACTGTCCCTGCTAAAGATGAAACCTAACACAAAGATCATGATGATGGGTACAAGAGAGGAGGCATTGGTTTGTACTTTACAATCTGTATTATTCACTTCCTAACTGTACACTTTAGTGAAAGCTACATAAAAAGTGACTGTTTTTTGTAAATATTGACATATGTCTTCCAGTTCCAGTATCCATATTTTTTCAAGTCATCTACATTTATATTAGCCTAAATAGCTGCATGTAAGTGTGTGTATGTTAGTTCAGATTTGTTGACTTCTGATTTGGCTGTGAGATTGTCTGGCTTGAGTTGGTTTGTTTTTACATTGTCTGCATTAGAGGAGCGGGATTCAAAATCAAAAATATTGTTACGCTTACCTTATGACTGTTCACATATATACTGTATACTTTTCAGGCTGATGTTATAGAACCTCCCAAAGACTTACCAGATGTTGTCAATGACTTCGATATTGAAGAAGATGAAATACTTGTAGAAAACAGGTAGGTTCTGTGAATCATATGTAGCATTATGGGTGTAAATTTTGCAGAAAAGATACAATTATTATGAAATGTTCAAAATATAGATTTGATAAAATAGGTTCTGTTTAATGGGATTTGCTACTTTGGGAGTTACTGAGTATGCAGTTTAATAAATAAAGTACAATACAACCAAAAAAAGAATATTAACCTATAAAAAATCACAAAATAGATTACATGTACTTCATTATTTGTAGAGAGGAGTACCTGACTAAAGTTGATAGACGAATAAAGGACTATGAAGTAAAGATCTTGAATGAACCAAGAGAAGGAAAGAATCTCCTTGTATTAGATATTGACTATACAATATTTGGTAAGTCAACAGAAAATATATTGTTTAAATGTAAAATTTTTGCTCATTGTCCATTAATACCAAAATGATATTTGATTATTTATCACACTTTGAAAAAGTGTTATTATATATTTATATTGTGCTGATGGGCATTTGAGGCATGCAGGCAGCCAGATGGTTGCAACATGAATCAATTCTTGTCAATGGCTGATAGAATTGATATCATATGGGTAATATGGGGAGGTCATATGGGATGGTCATATTGTGTTGTATTTTGTAGTCATATAGTATAATATGTGTGGTAGTCTTGTGGTGTAATATTGCATGGTCATATGATGTAGTTCATATGTTAATTGATTTTCTTGCTGGTCCATATCTGTTCACTGTATTGTTTCTATATTGCAGACCACAGATCTGTAGCTGAGACAGGACGGGAGTTGATGAGGCCTTATCTACATGAGTTTCTCACTGCTGCATATGAAGATTATGACATAGTGATCTGGTGTAAGTAGTTATTCTCATTTCATCTTCATTAGTCAGAATATTTGCCATATTTATTACAATGATAATTACTTCAATGGCAGGCCTATAGTGGAACTTTCTGACCACCCTATCAGTTCAGGAGTGTATTCGCAATAACACAATCCTAAACTACATTAAGTGATAAAGTCGAACAACTAATACTAGTTATAATGGAAATATGAAAAGGTTATTGTGGAACCCAATCAGTTAAATACATAAAGTCAATAGAGAAAGCAAAAATAATACAAAGAGCAGTTATCTGCCAAGAATTGAAGTCCAAACTATTCCAAAAATTATTTTGAACCAAGCTGAGTCTGCTTGCACATTGATCTGTTTGAATGAGTTTTGCTTATGGGCTAATCTTAGTCAAAATTGTTAAATTAGAGTTTTGTGTTCAGTGAGAAAAAGTCAAGAAGTAGGTTTGTCACTGGTTTTACTGAATTATTTGTATTCTGTTACAGCTGCTACAGGGATGAAATGGATAGAAGCAAAAATGAAGGAACTAGGTGTCTCATCTAATACAAACTACAAACTGAGTTTCATGCTGGACAGTAGTGCAATGATCACTGTACATACACCCAAATATGGAGTTATAGAGGTTAGTTATCTTAGCACACACCCAAATATGGAGTTTTAGAGGATAAAGTACGAGAGATTGAAAAATGATGAAAAATAACTATATCATGCTTCATCTGACGTACCTCATCGTCAGTTTGAAAATTGCATAAAAGTTAAATAATGGAAGCGAAATAACAAGTTAGGCCTACATGGATGCCTTAATTTTCAGAATTAGCTGAATAGCTTAAATATGTATACATATCATGGGTCTGATGTTTCTCTTATGTACTATTGCATTTAGGAGTTGACTTTCATGAATTTTAATAGAATGTTCATCTTATTGCAGGTAAAACCACTTGGTGTAATATGGGGAAAGTTTCCACAGTACAGTCCCAAAAATACCATAATGTTTGATGATATAAGGCGTAACTTCATTATGAACCCCCAGTCAGGATTAAAGGTACAGCAGCCGGAGTTCACTCTGATTTTGCCATTTTTTATTTAGCCAATAAATAGTATGTTTTGGTGATTAAGTGTTTTGATCAGATGTGTTTGATAAAAAATATTTCAAAAATACATTTGAAAAAATCAGCTTTGAATCAGGCATGTTTTATAGATTTGCTTTAATGCCTGACCGAACCAGTTTTGTATTTTTATTGATTCAAATTTTCTTACAAGGTTCAGTATTTGATTCAAGCTATTTTATCTGAGATATACTTCATGTACTAGATCTTGTGTAAACTGCCTTTTAAATGTGATACAAATTTTTCAGATCCGACCATTCAAACAGGCTCATAGTAACAGAGATACAGACAGAGAACTTGTTAAGCTCTCTAAGTATCTCAGTGATATAGCAACATTAGATGATTTTACTATACTCAATCATAGGAAATGGGAAAGGTGAGAAAAATCAAGAAATTGCTTTGTTAACAAGTGAAAACATCGAATGTGAGAGAAAAATATATTATCAAGACACATTTTAAAGTGTTTACTTATCAAATATCAGACGATCCACTATCCATGTTTTGTAAATATTTAGTAAGTTAATTTACAGTAGTAAGTTTTATATTGACTTTTTTCTTGTCAGTAAAAATTTTAACATTGAAAATCTTCCTTCAATTTCCGAATCATAATTTGTTGATTTCAGATACAAGCCTCACAAGCAAAAGCGCACATCAGATAAACCTTCCTCATCCAGTACAGACACACCAACTAGTGAGCCTACTTGAAACTAACTGAACAAGTTATGGATCTCGATATATGCAATTTGCAATGGTTCACAATCATGTTGACCTTGTAGCACTGAACATTGTACAATTGAACAATATGTAAGAACAATCTGCTAATGAAGTTTGTTTAATCGAACAATAATTGCAATTCACTTTTGGTTGTGACACTTTAATTGATAAAAGTTAAAAATATCAAAGAAAACTTATGAAAAAAACTTGTTTTTCAAATTCATTTATACTGCTGCAGGTTCCGGTTTGATTATTAACTATGAAAACTAGGCTACCCGTACCCGGAACTGTGAATGAAAATTGAATAGGTCTAACAACATATTAATTGTGGTAGCTTTTTAGCTCACATGGTGAACTATTGTTATCCCCCACTTGTCTGTCCATCCGTCCGTCTGTCTGTGTGTCAACACATTGGCAACTAATTCCAAATCCTCCTCAACAATTGGAATGGTTTCATTTTTAAAATGTGTCTATTGTATAAGGTCGTCAATTGTTCCATAAGTGGAGTCTCAAAAGCTTTCCTTGTTTTAAAATGGCTTTCAGCTCTTTTTGGTTTTAACTCCACCAATTTGCTTGAAATTGTACAGGTACTTTAATTTATATGTTATCAATAAGACCTACAAGTTTCGGCAAAACAAGTCGCAAAGATTCAAAATGGCCACAGGTTTTTAGCTTGTCAAAACTCCATAAGTTACATAATTTGCTTGAAATTATACAGGTACCTTTATTTCTAGATTATCAACAATGTCTACAAGTTTCAGCAAAACATATCGCAAGATTCAAAATGGCCGCTACTCTTATTGCAGAAAAATCAAGCTTTTAGCTCTTTTTTTGTCATAACTTTACAGATATTTGAATATTTGATTTTGATTGAATTGGACAGGTACCTTAATTTCTAAGTTATCACACAATTATTTCATCATCAATTTGCTTGAAATTGTACAAGTACCTTAATTTATCAATACTTTGTTTACAAGTTTCGCCAAAATATGTTGCAAATTTCAAAATGGCCACCACTTTTATTGGAGAAAAACCATGTATAAAGCTACCTCTTAGTCAGTTAGTGTGCTTGGGAAATCCCTCTGTTCCAACTTCATAATAGAAAATTATATTTTCATTTCAGCTAGCCAAGTACTTTTACAAAATTATTATCAACCTTTCATAATGTGCAAAAAACGTATGATAAATGATTATTTATTCCCATGTGAGCGCAGTACCCATGGTACTATTCATTTATTTATTATTGCCAGGCATGTAATCAACGTTCTAATCAATGGGTTTCCGACTTTCCACTCACCCGTAGCTGGGTTGTGGCTTTGGTTACAAGAGGTTATTCAGTTATAAGAGTTACACAGTGATCCTTTTAAAATTAGGGGCCAAGTCATGAACAAGCAAAAAATGTCAAATTCAATCTGAATTTCATTGCTAATTTTTTGCCTCCTCCTCATTGTGCAAGTGAATGTAATACAGTAAATAATATATTTTATGCATCAATTACATGACCTCTATTAGCTTGAATTAATTCACTGACTTATCCAGGGGTCCACTAGGGTTGGGTAGTTAAGAATTTAAATTGATTTAATAAGGCTTTTGTTGTAAAAGGGTCTCAATTTTTGAAAACTACCTTTAAAAAGTGTGCTCATAAAAGTATCAAATGAACCAATCTGTCAAAAGGTGCATGTGCAGTGTGGCAAGTGATTTTAGACAGTCATATCTTTTACCATGAGTACTTTCTGGCCATAAAAACAATGTTTTTTATTATTAAAACAATATGTTTTCTTTCAAGTGAAGTCCCCATGATAGTAAAATATCAATCCAACTCTCTGAAAAATTATGGATTAGGGCCCCACCCTGGCACTTTTTAAAAAATGTTAGGCTTATTTTCTAAAAAGAGGATCTTGCTTTTCTCAATTTAAACATATCAAAAGTTTCTTCTACACTATATTAACAATTTCTGAAAAGGGGATGCGTATTGAGAAGCGTTAAAGTTAAAAACCACATATGGTCATCGAAAATTGATATCTTCAAAACTAGACTTTCAATACCATTATATTTTTGAAGATGTTTTAGACCCCTTGTTGAATAATCTTTTCATGCAATAAAAATCAGAAAAAGGAGATCCTTTTTTGAGTAAATAGGTGCAATATTTTGAAAAAAATGTTGACATGGGGTCCCTATTCATAATTTTTCGAATTGTTTGATTGATATTTTTATCATCATGGGTACTTCACTTGAAATAAAACATATTGTTTTAATAATAATAAAAAACCACTGTATTTATGCCCAGAAAGTACTCATGGTGAAAGATATGACCGTCTAAAATCACTTGCCATACTGCACATGGTCTTTTGGGAAATTTCACTTGCATTTTGCAAAGGCAGAAAAATTTGTCAGAATTTTGGCAAAGGAGAAATTAAAACTTTAGCGGGCCATCAAAAATTAATCAAAGTTGGCAAAATTTAGCAAATTTGGCAAAATGTTAGCAAATCTAAGCAGGTTTTCACCAAATATTGACCTGGAGTTAGCTCGTGGAAAACCTGCCTTGACAAATCCTGGCTACGCCACTGACAATATTCAATCCAAACAGATTGAAGCAGAAAATACAAAACAAAACAAATACAATTTACATAAAACAGTGTTCATAAGAATGGCAGATATTATGCCTTTTTAAGTTTTATTCCTGAACCTCAAAGTTTTTAAGACATGAACAATTTATTTAACATAATATAACAGTATTTACAATTCTATTTTGAAGTCACAAATAATGATAGATACAATTGAGTAAAACTATGTACAAATTGTAATACATTTATTGGAGATTCAGTTTGCATACTTAATAACTGGTATGGTGTATGTTTGTACAACATGCATGGTAGATACTATACTATACCTAATACCTTTCCCATGACAATAAATAAAAATAAACAACAACAATTCAAACATGACACCAGATAGCTTAATTATTGGCATTAATGTCATGTGTTTGGTATGTTGTCAGCATAAAACATCCTGTTCAAATTGGCATTCAGCGCAAAATGAATAGGCCTATTCTCTTTTAGAATAAACATTCTTATCGCTGAACATATTAACCTACCAAACATTCATTCATGAAAGCCACTAACATCTTTGTCAAACTTGTGTTGGGATTGTACACACACATGACATAAGGTCTTAAAATGGCCTAGGCCATAAATGCAAAAAAACATACTCAGATTTTGAATTCATATCTTATACTTGGCTATAACCAAATTCACATGTTCACAATGTGGTCTACGATCATTCCACTTTTTCTATCTACCCACTCTCCAGAAGAATCACAGATATTGCCATCACACAATTATATAACAATAACTATAGATACTAATATGTATAAAGTGTCAGCATAAAAAATGTTCCAACTTAAATAGTTTCAGAACTAACTAAATACAGTATAAGTAAAGAGTTTATACTATGCTGCTTTGAAAATTAAGAATTATGCAAATATAATAAATGTACCATCTTCATAAATTATGCTGACATTTCCTCAAAACCAAAGAACATTTATATGTTATCAGGTTATAACAACTACAGGTTGGATTACTTGTAGGAGCATTGATACATTGTACAAGTAAGTGTATTGGAAGAACATAAAAATACAATGAAGTAGTTATTTTTAAATAAAAAATGAAAGCAGTGACATGGCAATATTAATAAAGCAATACAACTTTATTATTTGTTAGACTATATTGGTCAAGTTAAAATAATACTGGAGCAAACTATGTACAGAGATTCTTACATTTTTATTCACAACATCCCCATCACACAGTTTGACTAGAAAGGAACATTTTGAAGTTGCTTTAATAACAATACATGTAACAGTGAGATAAACAGCATACATGTACATAAGTAAAACATACAATGACAGATATACATGGATATAAGAAATAGCAAAGTAAAGAAAAAACAATATAGTAAAGCATATTTTGAAAAATATCACAAACTACAAATAATCCCTGATCATTAAACATACACATTAATTTTAGAACAAACAGATGAGCTTGGCTAAACATACAAGTGTGCAGACCACATTTCAATGAGGCCATGAAATACCTCGTAGAGGGCATAAAACATTTCATTCAAGGCACAAAACACAGCATAGTTCATATATACCCTAAGACATTTCAAAACAAAAAATTTCACTCATATTATCAAATACCTCAGACAGGGCAACAAACTTCATAGATAGCACACACACACAATTATACAATTATTACAGTGGTGAAGAACAACTGATGATGGTGATGCTGTAAAAATACAGGCATTCTAAATACATACTAAAAAGTTGTATTAACAAGTCATGGGAAGTCATTAATTCACAATTGGTTGAGAAATGTGGGATTTCACAAGAAATTGGCAGTTAAAGAAGGCAGGGAGGTAAAGAAGTATACCTTCTATACAGGTTGTAATTGAGTTTTCAAATCTATATAGTTTATACTTTTCAAATATTTTTAATTATATCTCTTAGAGGTCAGTTCAAATATCAAAGTGGAAAATAAGTTAGAGGGGAGTAACTACCAGATTTGAGACAAATATTAAAGATTGAGTGGATGACAATGTGATTTCAGAGTGCAATACTGTTTTTATGACCCGAGGGAGTGTTCTGAGGCTTAGTAAAATTTGTGTCACTAAAACACATCTATATTTTGACCTAACCCTTCACTGCATAAATTAATATATTGGAAACATAACAATAGCAGATCAGCATGTAAATAAACAACTTAAAATACAAGTAATAATAAAATAGCATTCAATAAAGATGGAAGAAAGAATACAGCAAAAACAGATTCCTCGGCATTTATACTAGACTCAGGTTTTAACTAGAGGTATTTACATCTTTACTCTGGATTCTCTACTAAAACATTTCAAACAATATAATGTACCTTAGAATAATCATGGCATACAATGTATATTTACATAGGTCTTGCATTATGCAATACTAGTATGCAGTATTATAATAATTATGCACAGCGTTTTAATTACATGCAGGATTATAACCATGGTTATACCTCTGATTATGCAGTTACGGAGTTTTGGATGGTGAAGATTATCTTATGTACACAAAACATATATAAAATATATATCACATATGGCATGTGTGGTAATGTATAATAATAGAAGCCATAAATAAATGTTTAGAAATCATTGAAAAGGAGATATCGTACCTTCGAGGCTGCAACATTTTGTTACTGAAACAGATCTGTTTTTGTAAAGAGTTTGAAGAGTTCCACCACAGTGATATTGAGTACTGGACATATAAAATTTGTAATTCTACTTTTCATTTTACAAAGTGAACTTTCCACATTGAAAATATAATATTTTTTACCAGTATAATCAGCATGGCTCAAAAACATAACATATTTAGAATTCTTGAAAATCACCCGTTTCACTTAAAATGCAATGTTGTCACCTAATACCACACAATCCACACATGTCTAATATAAACTTTGCTATTTTCATGTGTATTTTTTAAAATACCTATTGATTGAAGTACAAATACACATGAAGATGGACATGTTTCCATTCTATTTTGGAAAAAAAAAGAAATTTTTAAAATATTAATTGTTTGTATTCGAAGATACAAATCAGTGGGTCTATTACTTCAGTAAATATTCCATACAGTAATAGCAACATTAAAAGAACTCAACACTTATCAGTTCTTTTATGTAATCTATAGTATATTATCAACTGTCCACAGAGCCAGGATTACATTATGAAGTGGTGGTATTTTGCTTCAATGCTTTTAACAGTTCATCTAGACCATAATGCATGTGGTGCTTTTCTTTTTTGTTAACTTTTTTTTGTCAGTCACGCCCTCCTGAAAATAGAAATGAATTATGATTTACAGTGTAAATGAAACCAAAACAACTTTTACAATGATGTTGAGAACACAGTCAAATCAAAAACTTGGCCCTCTTAATAACCCAGAAAACCCAGTCATTAAAATCTACTTTTAATTTGAAACATGCATGCAGTGAGCTTGCATTATATTTTAAAGAACAATCTTCATCTATATTGATATTCCATATTTCTACTTTAACTAATAAGGTATTATAAGGTATGTTTATATCAAATTATCTCAAGTGAAACCTAAACTTTCCCAAAAATTACCAATCACTTTTACAAAGGATAAATCCTGTGGATATTAGCCCATGTTTTTATTTATCATAGGGTAAACCATTTTTTAAAACCCCCATCCCATTATGTCAATGCACATGATTGACGAACCATTTAAAGGGCAATTTTGCTTGATCATATTTGTGATTCTTTGAGATTGGGCACAGACAGATAAACTTTTGCTCAGTCTAATCCAGGAGACCCCAATGCTATCAGCTATCAAGCTTTGATTTACTGTAAATTATGCATTATATCCAATATTCTTTAATAATATCCTTAGATAGATTGTACATACACATGCACGATATTTCATGCATGGGTAAGGTTCAACTCAAAGTTTAGTTGCTGTGTGTTGTGTGCCTATAGAAGAAAGGAATGACAAGGCATTAACATTACAAAATGTCACCGCTTAGTTGCTCACAATATTATGAGTTCAATCTTATGTCAGGTTTGAATTTCTGAGAACTTGTAGATGATTTTGAAAACTAAATTGTTCAATTTGAAGCAAATTGAAAACTTGTAGATGATTTTGAAAAAATCTGGTCAATTTAAAGCAAAATGAAAGGCCTTTTGACCTTGAGAAGGTCATTGAAGGTCACATCTTTTTTGCCCTTGAGAATGTCATTGAAGGTCAAATCTATAGCCAGATGTGAACTTCTGAGAACTTAGATGATTTTGAAAAAAAATCTGTCAATTTTAAGCAAGTTGAAAAAATACCTTTTTTTGACCCTGAGAAGGTCAAATCTTAAGTAAGATTTGAACTTATGATAAATTGCGATTTTGAAAAAAAATTGGTTCGAAAGTACCTTTTTGACCTTGAGAAGGTCATTGAAGGTCAAATCTCAAATCAGATTTGAACTTCTGATAACTTGATGAATTTCATGTCATTTTAGAATGCAAAGCTTTAAGTTATGAAGTTTGAGAAATTAATGAATTCAAACAAAAATATACTCATAAAACTTTGTAAATTTTTAATCGAGTCTGGGCAAAAAATGTACTTATATAAATGTTATTTTAATGTTTGTTACTGTATTAGTTTGTCTTTTGTACTCTTATACCCTATAAAGGGTGAATTGAGAAATCAATAAATAATAGATGATTTTGAAAAAGAAATTTGGTGGATTTGAAGTAAGTTGAAAAAACCTTTTTACCTTTTTTGACCTTGAAAAGGTCACTGAAGGTCAAATCTTAAATATAAAGTCAGATTTGAACTTCTGAAAAATTGTAGAGTCAGTCTAAACAGTATTTGTGAAGTTATTGGAAGTTGTACGAATTTGATCAAAAAAAGAATGGAGACCATAACAATATTCACCACTTTTTGATGGTGACATAACATAAAAACCCTAATCTTCAGTTCAAGTATCACCTGCATCAAATAAATGGTGCCGAGTGTGCATGTGACATTTATGTGAGCATGTAAGCATGCCACCAACATTCAACTTTGACAATTTATTTTTCACTATCTTCAGAACTTCCTCATAGAGAAAAAGAAACAACATTGAAAATAAGTTATTCACTTTATTTTTCTTAAAATTGTTAAAAAGCCCTTATTCAACTTGTTGAATTAAAGGGTGGTGCAGAACCATGGACCATTTCCTCCTTAAAATCAAAAGGCATATTTTGCCTAAAATATGAAGACTAGCAACATTTCTCGTCTAAAATATGAAGCTTAGAAATATATTTTGCATAAAATCTGAAGACTACGTTGTTACATATTTTGCTTACAGTTTGGAGACTGGTGACATAATGATGGATGTGTAAACACTAATTCAGACATAGTTAGGCAAGGTGTGTCCGATTCCAGTCAATCCGAACAGAGTATTCACATAATGAACAGTGTGTGAAATATCAATAATGCATTTGTTGTGTGCAGTTGCTAAGTGATTGAGATTGAATTTTCCGATACTAGACCCTTGCAAAAATTTTCATTGAAAATATGTTCTTTTTGTGATTTTGTATCTTATCTTATATAGAACATATTTTGCAGTGTGTGAAAAGAATTTAAGCCCGAGACTCAAAGCAATGTGGCTGCTTCATTCCACTCAGATGTTGTTTCCTAAACTTTGCATTCCTCCTGCGAGGTCATGCAAAGATTGGGAAACAACATCTTTGTGGAATGGTTCAGCACACAATGCACTGAGTCCAAGGCTTAAATCCTTAAACATTTCAAGGTTATCAGGAGGAATTAAAGAAAATAATTCAAATAACAATATTGCAGAATAGCTCACTTTTTGCTTGTGATATTTTGTTCTCAAATGTAACTTTGTTTGATTTTAACAATGATGCATAACACTAAGACAGGTGTACTTGTAATCATGAATTTTAGGGGATGAGTTACATGTTTCTGCATACCCTTTTCAGTACATAAAGAAAAATGGGTGACATTTCATACAGTTTAAGGAATGTGTTCCATGCAAGCACAACATCTAGTGATACCCAACTCCTTATTTGTTTTAAATAAAAGTTATTACATAATTACCATTCAACATCTGTAAGAATGCAAAGTTACAGAGAGATTAGTGTGTGAAGAAAATATGTGAGAAGATTTAAAGTTTAAAAAGTACTACATTAAATTATAATGACTGTGACAATGATAATGATAATGAGCTAAAAACTAATCAGGTACAAATTTAGGTGACAGTGATCTCCCAAAAACCACAAAAAAGAAAAGGGTCTCCAATTGTGTAAAACATTATTTCATAATCCGTCCACCATATCATCTAAGTACAAGGGTCATTCAATAATAATGCTATTACTGGTACAAATGACTCAAATAATAGGAGGCTACAAACTAGACTGACCTCTTAAAGGCCTACAGTCTGTCAGACAGACACATAAGGCAGGGTGTTCAGTTTATTCTGAAATCATTTCCAGACAAAAATGGAATATAAAAAGTATCACTGAAATTCACTGAGTATAAAGAAAAATGTTGAGTAGAAAAAACATCTGCCTATACCTGAAAAAATATGGACATATTTTTGGCTAACCTTGTAAACCTTATATTGGATGTATATCCAACTTTATACCATGATCACTATATTATGTGTATAAAGCACTTTGAGAAATGTTTTTTTTACAATATACTCCACATACATCATACATACTTACTTAATCCTCAAACAATTGATTTTATTCACTTTGATTATGTTCTGGCCTTTAATATAATGTGATGATCAATTTTTTATCTTATTTTTTTTATTTATTTTATAAAAAATCATCCTCTTTTGACATTGTACATTTCCTTTCAAGGTATAACCTCTATGTATCTTATTTTATTTACCTTATTGTTATTGTCCGCCACCACTTCAGCTGGGCTGCTATTGGTTTGTTGTGGTGGCGGATCACCGTTTTTTGTCCGCTCACCTGAAAAACAAAACAAAAGGTTAATACATGAAATAATACTTTAAAAGGAGTAACAACATATTGTATAAATTTGTATAATATATTGGATATACAGTGTACTGGTGTATGAACTTGGGTGTAGCTAGCTATGAGGCAGATGAGGCAATTGTCAATTTCCAGAAAGAACTTTTAAAACTCTTTGGCTGAAGTTTTGCCCCACAAAATTAAATTTGGTTCTTGGCTATAACCCTGATAAATGACAGGTTGAAATGCCAAAAAATATTGACTGAGGCATTAAGTATGTCCAGATTTATTATGGCACAATGGGTCAAATCTGATATTATTGAATCATAGTCAAAGGTACAGGAAAACATACTTTTAAAGCAAAATTTTGTCTATGTACCTGGTGGATTACCATCTGAGGCAGCAAAAAATAAAACAACCAATATACTTGTAGTCTAAAAACACTGAACAATCAATGCAACGCAATAAATATTAAACTATGAGATCAATCCCAAATACATATACACTGTATATTAGTTATGATTCTAAATTCAGTTTTGAAAATCATGTTAATGATCATTATAGACTCATTCAGTGATTTCATAATAATCATAAATTGATAAATTGAGATACTGAAGAAACAATTCTATTCTGTAGATGATCAGTAATTGATTGGACATATTCAGCATAACACAATGAAAATACAGTACATATTTACATATACATGTACATTTGCAGTACATATTATCAGCAAATTCTGAGTTAAACACATTCACTGGGTTTGCACAGGAGATCATATAATTAAAGGTAACCACTGAATCATAATTTGGAAGACTTGAGTAACTACAGTACATGTATATGCATCATTTTTGGTTTTTCTAGAAGGATGAAGGTTATTCTTGCATCCCACATTTGGCTAGATATGCACATTGTACATGAAGGACACATGTGTGTTAAAGTAGGTGAAATACGCTAGTGGGAGGATATGCTTAACATTTTATTTACTGCCATTGCCTTGCCTATATTTAGCTATTAACTGCATAAGTAATGCAGGTGCTAATTGCAAATAAATAAAACATAGCTGACTCTCATTGGTATAATAGTTATGTCTTATAATTAGCAAATCAGTTGTATACATATTCAGCTATACTTTTATCTACATGATTCAGTTCTTTATTGTATATTCGAACATGACTGTATTCACGCCTTCTATAAACTGTAAACAAAGTCAATGCTTCAGCTGGGTTATATTCGAGATCAATAACCAAGTTAATACGTGTAATGTGTGACGTCATAATGGTGGGTCGTAGTAATGGCGGACCATGATGAATATTCGAAACAATTTGGTGAGTTTTCATGTTCACTCCCTTCGGTCGTTTGGGGTACAGAAAACGTTTGTGCCGAGACCAGCGGGGTGTTATTCGAAACTAGTAACCCTGCTCTTTGGTCTATATTTCTTAATTCAACTATACATGTACCTACGGGATTCAGTTATATCATTAAAAAGATTCATACTAGAGAATTTAACTTTTAAGAATATTTCTTTCTATAGTACCTCTGAAAACTGCTTCCACCAATCACTATCACCATGTATATGCTGAGACAACTGCTCCATTAATGGGGACAGTACCACCTTATTAGAATATGTTATGAACAGACAGGACAGATGGATAAATAAAAATGCAGTATCTATAAGGGCAACTACCACTTGTCAAACCATTTGAAAAAGCAGAAGTTAGGACTGAGATTGATGTCTTGAGGATGGCAACCTTGAGAAGCTTAGAGTACCAACCGTGTTTGATAAGTAGTGAAATAGAAACATAACTTTCAGCTGTGTCTAATAAAAATGTTATATCTCAGAGATTATTCAAGTAACTAAAAGATTTAGCTATATACCAGTATATATATGAGATTCAGCTATATTTACAAGATTAAATTTGCAATTTAATCTAGAGGGTTAATTAAGCTATAGCAATTTTAGTTCTGAGTATATAAATTTACATGGTTATTTAAATGCTGTATCTATTCTATGAGAAATATTGTAGATAAGAAACAATTTTGAATTTTTAAAATTAAAGGAAACTATACGAAGGCAGGTAATAAGAGATTTAAAATATGGGGTTTATCCTGAGAGAAATGTATCCTTTACCAACCAAAACAATTGAGCATCAAAGTTTTACAACCTGGTATACACTAGCATACCTGTGATTCAACAAAATAAATCGGAGACTCTGACCATTACAAATTTTGCAATATTACAATAATTTTACATGAAGTAGACACTGAATACAGACAAACAAAACGAATGATTCATAGCAAATCAACATATTTTGAGTGGTGACATCAAAACTGAGAGTCAGCTATAATGAAATAAAAAAAATCACACTTGGCAGGATTTTTGAGGGAACTACAGCTTATACAGTAATTATAACAAGACTGTAACAATAGGTTGTAGATCTATTACCTAATATCTATACTAGGAGGTAATACCATGGATATAAAGCTTAATCTAAGACGCTATAACAATGTTAAAATAACTAGAACGAGTAAAATGTTATTTAAGCGCTATTATAACATGGTTAATGGTGGGTTTATCATGCAGCATGCTCTCGTATCCTACTTTCAGTGACTTTATCAGCTAGGTTCTGCCACTGTTGCCGATTGTTTTCACACCCATGTAATAATGGTGATAGATTCTTTTCCATTTGAGCAAACGTCTAGATAAGAAAGAAGGAATACACAAACATAAGACATCAGACAATTAACTTTAATAAGAATAATACTCTTAAGTAAATGAGCAGATATTCAGACTAGAAAATGGCAACTCCACAGAGTAGCAAATCCAAATGAACAATATGTATGCAATACAATGTACATGTAAATTGATCACAATAAGATATGAATATCCATAGACTGACACACGGATGGACAGAGAGCTTCAATATATCCCTATTGAACTTTTGTTCATTGGGATAATAAAGAATTTTAAAGCATAAATACAAAACAGCGCACCATATTAAAAATAAGGGAAATGTAAAAGTATTAATTTCCGATATTTAAATATTATGCCTGAAAATAGTGTTAAAATTCCTCCACCTTAGATTAGAGTGCTGAGTGAGCAAAACAAGCTTATAATAATAATGCAACCAAAATTTCCCAAATATATATGGTTTGATAAATCTATGATTTAACTAATGCCATTCTAACTGAATTAGATTATACAATCATTTAGTAGACCTTCACATTTTGGAGTATTGGTTAATAATATTTGATTACAATTTACATCTATCTGAATTATACCTTGTTACTGGTCACATGATCATAGATCTAACAAGCCATGCAAGGAGAAATTGTTTTTACATTTGAAAGTTTACTTTATACAAAAGAAGTTCTTAATGTGAAATAAAATATATAACAGGGTGAGTGAAAAAATTACCCTCTAAAAATTGCTATTGTTCCTCCTATATTTATTGAAAATCAGGAATTGTCAGTTTATTTACTGTATTTTTGTTTCTTGCCATCAAGATAAACTTCAATGTTTTGATAAACATGGAATCTTTGTATCAGTATAAAAGTGGTTAACATTCTTTTCACTCACCCTGTACGTTGTTAAAAATACAGAAATTAATGCATAGTACAGATTTTGTTTAAGTCTAAATCAATCTCATCGTCATTGGGGATCAACTGGAATCTATAATTCTGGAAGTTCGATAATGTTGTTGAAATGGAGAGATGATGTCTTCATTTCTAGTTGATCTCCAGTGAGAGTGTATTCAATGAAAATACAAAAATAATTTTGAAACCAAAGCAAACATATCAGATAATGAAAGAGTTATCAAAAATTAGTAGATGTATTAATATTTTCAATGCTGTATTTTATTATATTGAACAGAAGATATTTGAGCAATCTAAATATTTCAAAATATGAGGAATAGGTATTACCACTCGGATAAAAATGGCAAATAAAGAAAGCCATTTGAAAAAAAAGATGCCATATAATGGTAGTAAGTACTTCAGAAAACAGTGAAATCATTCTTATCTTTAACAATCTTGCCTCAAATTTTTAGAGCACTGTAATACACACATATTATAGTGGATTTAAAAATGAATGTAGAATACTGTTAAGCACAAAGCTCCCAATAATGTCTTACAGTTCTCTAAACCAAACGACTTGAGTCAAGTCTTATATAAAATTATCTAAAATACTGTGAAACTTTTTAAATTCACTCATGCAATTTTCATACTGATTGAGAATTGTCTTGAAATCATATTTCATATTACATTCACTATTTCAGAACTTTGTCAATTGAATTCATTCCTAAAGTTATATGACTTTAGATCATCAGCGAAGTTAACATGTTTTCCAGTATATAACTTATAAGAAGACATACACTTATTGCAGAGCAGACAAGAAGCACGACACCCACATACATAGAAAATTTACCCTTGGTTAATGTCTGACCATTTTGCTTTTTTGGCTCATCTCTGCGATCAGGCATTAGCTCTGTCCATTTATCGCGATTTCTTTCACACCCATGCAACATAGGTGCAACCTCTTCAAACTTTTCACTCAGCAGCTAATCAAACATGCCAAATACATAAATTGCATGATTTAAGGAGAGTATATATAAATTTTCAGTTCTAGTCATTCTTATACTTTTCAAATTCTAACTTCTCCTTAAATCAGGACACTTTATATTGGAAACAATCATTTGCAACAGAATAAAGCAACAATTTCAAACAAATAAGCATATGTAATTCCTTGTTTAAACAAAGAGAAGAAGATACAGTATATATAGTGCAATATAATACAAGGAAATGCATGGTTTTGAAATTGCAAGGATTATATAAGAGTTTAATTGAATGCCTGGTTTGACATGTTAGTAAAGTTATGAAAGAATTTTATAACAAAAGTTAATAACTTTAAAATTGAAGAGAAATAAAAAGTATAAATAGAGTAATAAATATGGTTACTATGAAAGGTATTCAAAATACAAGAAATTCTATTGAATTATAATGTGCAGCAAAAAGCATTTTATTATTTTATAGCATACCTAATTCAGAAAAGTATACATAAAACTCTCAATGAAATTAATTACTTCTTTATGTTCATGTCTATTCCAAAATCTAAATTCTAAAATCTATTACAAAAGTTCATATTTAAGTTTATTTCATCAAAATATTGAGAGGTTGTGAATTATTCAACTTTATCTTATATTAAGCCCCTACCTTATATACAGGCATGCATATTCCATCTATGAATCCTACTTGCATCTTTGGCAGTTCATCCTTCTTGTCTCTGTCCATCATTGCCTTAAAATTTAAGATAGAAATTTACACATATTTGTAATCAAGTTTAAGCAGAACAAGAAAATATTCATATAATTCAATAATTTGCGAACTGGATCACAATCACAAAAAATAATCAAGTCCCCAAGATCACAATAACACTGCAAACATAACAATTATATCCCAACGGTGGTGTGATAAAAATGAAGAATGGAATTATTAAAATAAGAAAGTGTAAACATGACTTGACCAATTAAATAGTTAACTCAAGTCCTGAATAAATGCATACATTCATAAATCAACAATGCACAATAATCCTCTACATTTCATGGCAAAAAGCTTGATTTTTTAGTTTGTGTCTGTTTTCCTGGTACCCTTACATGATTTGGATTTTGTTAGGAAATAAAACAGAGTATCTACTTCTTATGGCCAAAGCCACATGCACAAAAAACACTAATGCTAATCTAATGCTAGAGCACATACAAAAAATCAAATCAAAACCCAAGGTTGAGTAGAGCATAATGCATATATATAGTCGGAAATACAATCCTAAATAGAGCACATTCAGAAAGGTTTACTCATAAACCAATGCCAAATGAATCACATTCATAAAAATATATCTGTATAAACCAATTAAAATAAAGCATATGCAAAAAGATGTACTCATAAATCAATGCTTAGTAAAGCACTTACAAAAATAAACAAATCTCATAAACCAACGTTGATTAGAGAGCACACAAAATTGTAGTTAGAGACCAATGTTGAGTAGAGCACATACACAAAGTTGAACTTAGAAACCAATACTGAGAAGAGCACATACACAAAGTTGAACTCAGAAACCAATACTGAGTAGAGCACATACACAAAGTTGTAGTCAGAGTCCAATGCTGAGTAGAGCACATACACGAAGTAGAACTTAGAAACCAATACTGAGAAGAGCACATACACAAAGTTGTAGTCAGAGACCAATACTGAGTAGAGCACATACACAAAGTTGTAGTCAGGGACCAATGCTGAGTAGAACACATACACAAAGTTGTACATAGACCAATGATGGGTAGAGCACATACACAAAGTTGAACTTAGAAACCAATACTGAGTAGAGCACATACACAAAGTTGTAGTCAGGGACCAATGCTGAGTAGAACACATACACAAAGTTGTACATAGACCAATGCTGAGTAGAGCACATACACAAAGTTGAACTTAGAAACCAATACTGAGTAGAGCACAAACACAAAGTTGTAGTCAGAGTCCAATGCTGAGTAGAGCACATACACAAAGTTGTAGTTAGAGACCAATGCTGAGTAGAGCACATACACAAAGTTGTAGTTAGAGACCAATGTTGAGTAGAGCACATGCACAAAGTTGAGCTTAGAAACCAATACTGAGTAGAGCACATACACAAAGTTGTAGTCAGAGACCAATGCTGAGTAGAGCACATACACAAAGTTGTAGTCAGGGACCAATGTTGAGTAGAGCACATACACAAAGTTGAACTTAGAAACCAATACTGAGTAGAGCACATACACAAAGTTGTAGTCAGAGACCAATGCTGAGTAGAGCACATACACAAAGTTGTAGTTAGAGACCAATGCTGAGTAGAGCACATACACAAAGTTGTAGTTAGAGACCAATGCTGAGTAGAGCACATACACAAAGTTGTAGTCAGAGACCAATACTGAGTAGAGCACATACACAAAGTTGTAGTCAGAGTCCAATGCTGAGTAGAGCACATACACAAAGTTGTAGTTAGAGACCAATGCTGAGTAGAGCACATACACAAAGTTGTAGTTAGAGACCAATGCTGAGTAGAGCACATACACAAAGTTGTAGTCAGAGTCCAATGCTGAGTAGAGCACATACACAAAGTTGTAGTTAGAGACCAATGCTGAGTAGAGCACATACACAAAGTTGTAGTCAGAGACCAATGCTGAGTAGAGCACATTCACAAAGTTGTAGTCAGAGACCAATGCTGAGTAGAGCACATACACAAAGTTGTAGTCAGAGACCAATACTGAGTAGAGCACATACACAAAGTTGTAGTCAGAGTCCAATGCTGAGTAGAGCACATACACAAAGTTGAAGTCAGAGACCAATGCTGAGTAGAGCACATACACAAAGTTGTAGTCAGAGACCAATGCTGAGTAGAGCACATACACAAAGTTGTAGTTAGAGACCAATGCTGAGTAGAGCACATACACAAAGTTGTAGTTAGAGACCAATGTTGAGTAGAGCACATACACAAGTTGAACTTAGAAACCAATACTGAGTAGAGCACATACACAAAGTTGTAGTCAGAGACCAATGCTGAGTAGAGCACATACACAAAGTTGTAGTCAGAGACCAATGCTGAGTAGAGCACATTCACAAAGTTGTAGTCAGAGACCAATGCTGAGTAGAGCACATACACAAAGTTGTAGTCAGAGACCAATACTGAGTAGAGCACATACACAAAGTTGTAGTCAGAGTCCAATGCTGAGTAGAGCACATACACAAAGTTGTAGTTAGAGACCAATGCTGAGTAGAACACATACACAAAGTTGTACATAGACCAATGCTGAGTAGAGCACATACACAAAGTAGTACTCAAAAACCAATGCTGAGGAGAGCACATGCACATAAGGGTGCACTCAGAAACCAATACTATTGCTAAGTAAATCACATACACAAAGTATTACTCAAAAACCAATGCTGAGGAGAGCACATGCACAAAGGTAAATGGATGTGGTGTAGAGCACTTGCACAAAATACACCAACGCTAAGGATAGCATATACACAAGGTGTACTCACTAACCATTAGGTTATCGAGATCCCATACTCATGTACTTATAAACCAATGCTGAAATGCTGAATAAAGCAAATGCACAAAGATGCATTCATAACCAAATGCAGAGCAGAGAAACATGGACAGAAGTACTATACCATACAGTCAGAAATATATGCATGCAGTGATAGATAATGATGAGCAGAGTGAAGAGGAGGTTTCTGTATGTAGCACAATATCAACCAAAACGTGCCAAATGTCTGACAAACTTACAATCGGTGCAGTGTTATACTTGGTTCTCTCTATATCTCCTTGCTCAAAAAACTCATTGAATACAAGTTGAGCGACTTCTTTTTGTACATCCCAAGGTTTAGATATAGCCGACACATCACAAGCTGTCATCATCATACCCCTATAGTGGGCAACAACAAACATTATCAAATAAAGATAAAACTAGAATATGTATTAGAAGTATTTTCTATCATTAATTTTGTTCAATGATTAGTTCCAGCTATTAACATTCTATACAGGGTGTCCCATTAAAAAGGAAATGACATGCTCATTCTACATGCCATGTAAGACACCCTGTAGACACTCTTTCTTTTGAGAGTCTAAATCGTAACATTAAATGTTTATTATCTAAATTATGTGCAGCTGTGTCATTGAACCAAATTTGAGAAAATACTTCACATATACAAAAATATGTTTCGCCACACTCACTATTGGACCAGCATCAAAATGTTCTTTTTCAAGGTCTCCTTGTTCAAAAAATTCTGCTGAGACTAATTCAGCAACTTGTTGTTGTACCTCCCATGGTTTTGTAATTGCAGACACATCACATGCTGTCATCATCATCCCCCTTAAATATACATACAGTGAAACCTGTAAAGTGGAACACTTCTAGAAGTGAAACACCTCTGTAATTGGAACACTTTTCAGAGTCCCAAGACCAACTGACTTAATGTTAAATCAACCAAGAGAGTAGGTGTATCACTAAGACAGATTTTACTGTACTAATAAACAGGACATGCAATGAGTATTATATGATTTATATACCACTTACATAATATTTCAGGTCCCCAAGGGATAACCTTAAAGGCCCCATATAAAGTTTAAACAACTTTGGCTTATATAGTAGTCTTACCAAATGTTATCAAAGTGTGATATGTGAAACTTTTTTTTTAAATTTCAAAAAGTAGTTTTTGATAGACTTTTTGTTCCAAAATTTGTGAATTTATTTAAAACCAACTTTTAGAGGTCACTCATATCTTCTAATTAGCCACAATTCATACCAATGCATAGCATTCATCTTCCCATGTTTTTTGCCGAAAAAATTGAGAAAATCGGTTCATAAATAAGCGAGAAATGAACTTATCAGTGCATGAAAATGGTTCTGAGAAAAATGCATTTCAAAATTTTAGTTCTCATAGAAACCAATGGTACAATGATATCTAAAACATAATTTATTCTTCCTTTTAACCTGGTTAGACAATCAACATTGTTTTTTTATGAAAGTCTAGCATATTTAGAAAAGATTGACATCGAAAAAAAATTCAATTTTTTCAAAAAATTTTTGCTACCTTAGTGACATCACTAATGTTTCAAAATATTTTTGATATGCTAAAACATCGAAGTGGCCCATTAAATATGGCATTTTATTATTGAAATAGTGTGTCCTTTGTTCAATCTTTGCATTGGTGTTAAAAAGATCATCTTTTTTGAAATGCATTAAGAAATATTTGATGATTAAGAAATTTCAACTTTTTTTGAAAAACGGCGGGAAATTTGAATATTTGAGAAATGAATTGCTCACAACTTTTTTATACCAAAAAAAAAGTTTTTGTTCAAAAATCTCTAAAATCACTTTTTAAGTCCTGAAAAATAGTAAATGAATGATAAAAAATGATACAAAATCGCTATTAAATCCGCTTAGTAAATCAATTTGTGATTCTATTCTAAATATCAGTAATTTTCATTTCCATTATATCAGCACACTAGCACAGTAGCCCTACATTCATGACCAAGCTATAAGGACTGATACCTGTACTGTATACCAGTTTAACCTTTAGCGTGCTGCCGGCGGACGCGTCCGCCGAGACTAAAATGTCTCTCACAACTGCCGGCGGACCCGTACGCCCGATTTCAAACTTTTAAAAACTTTACTTTTTCGCGCCATTCGTATTGTCCAATTAGATTGCCCGATTTATTCAGTGCCTAACATGACTTCCTGTTGACCTAGAATGGCGATATTTCGAAAAATAATTCTCAATTCAACAATTTAAACAGTGTTTTAGTCGTTTTTAGTGAACGAATCGTACAAAATGGTGGACAAATACGTTCACAACGAAAATGTGGAGGAAATAGATTACGATTTCGAGCTCTTTAGGCTCTTGGAAGCCGATAACGGTCATCGAAAATAGAAACTAGAATATTTTCTGAATTGAAAAATTGAACATTCGATCGCTGCAAATTCAGATTTGGATTCTGACCAGACGAAGAGGCGGAGCGGCGGATTCCGGAGGAGTATTCATGGTATATTTATGCCCAGTCGTGTTAATGTACGAAAAAATTCATGAGAACATTTTTTTTCATGAGCCAGGCCACTGTATCTTCCCTTTGTGAAAATTTTATCCAGATTCATTCAGTAGTTATTGAGATATTAATTATTTAGTCCAGGCATATCATTTTTTGCACTCTTTGAAAAATAAGCCAGTTGCGTGGGATATATTTGCTGAAATAAGGCAGCATGGTAAAGGTTAATATCATATCATAAAAAATATGAGGGTTTACCTGAGAAGTTCCTTTGAGTTGTCATCTTCCCATTTCCTTTCTCCTGATGATACTAGTTTCTCAAAACCACCACGTTTCCTGAAATATTTATTTTTGATTCATAGCCTATGTTGGTGATTAATAGATTTGTAAGGAATCCCCTATCTTAGAAAACATTTGGAATCATCTCTTAAAACTTAGCAGAAATACAGACAACCAACAAATATTTGAGAGTTAAAAAGTAAAGTTTATCAACCCAGCTGGATTTAAAATAATTTTTTTCTAAAAATCCCAAGTTATGTTGCTTCTATTTCTTTTCAGATAAATTCATACATTCAATGTTATGTAATGTTCGTTTTTTAATGCACAGACATGTAAATACTGTAGTTTATACATTTCTGCATTGCATCTCTATTTTCCAATACCATGATTTGAAAATGTATCATGGATTCTTGTTAGATCAAAATGTATCATGGATTCTTGTTAGATCCATGTTTGCAGTATGTTTGGTATTTGGTATGTTTTGGCATGTAACAAATTGCTTGGTTAGTTGTGATGAACCTTGACCTTTATGGTCTCATATCTGTTGCTCCAGATATTGGATTCTAAGATATCCTATTGCAATAAATTGAGCTGTAGTTTACGGAAAACCAATGGTAATTGGCAATATAATCATAATTGCCATAAATAGAGGCATTATTGCCATAAACTATGATGTCTCTAGATATGGTTTCGTCTTAAACAATATAAAGCAGTCATAAGGGAATATAAATCAAGGTTCGAGTGCAGTAAAATCTTTGTCCTCGATCAATATTTTCAATGCTTCTTCAATGCAAACTAGCTAACCAATAAGCATTAATGCTATTGATGACCCAAATGTAATTTATATTAACCTTAAAAGTGAGTAGCAAACGACAGATTCAAAGAATCAGTAGAAAAATCTGGATTTTTATGATCAATAATCAAAATTCAATGTGGTATAATATTTGAAAAAAAAAACATTTATCAAAATTACACCTAAAAATTTTGTTTTCATATTTTCAATTGATTTCTATGTCAGGTGTGTTCCCCACACAGCCCAATGTAAGAAATCATTACGTGAAAAACTTTTGTTTCACTGTCGAACAGATAATATCAAACAGATAATAATTCTATTTATACTAAAGTATTTTAAATTATATTTTGATCATACTCTAAAAGGAAAGGAAAAATGACCAACTAGATCTACTTTTAATCCAAGATGAGAGGAACTTTTAGTATGTCTGTCACGTCATCTGACAAGAACAGAATTAGCCATCTGCAGATCTAAATTCATCTATTCTCAGGGGTTTAGAAATTGACACTTTTAGCACACATTTTTCAATGAAATAATTTACTTTTATTATGGCAACATTTTAATAGCTTAAAATCTCTGGAAATTAAAAATCTGCGACAATAGCACCAGTTGAGTTGCACAGAGAGTGAATGAATGTCTTACTTGAAATACAGAGCCAGGTCAGTAGATAAGATTGCACTTTCTAACACCTTAATAACTTTTCTGTAATCCTCTGGATTCAAATGTTGGAATATGTTGTTGCCCTGAAATATCAATTGATCATATAAATATTTACTTCTTGAAAGTATACAATTTTATTCAAATTATTAGGTTTATTTTTTAATCAATTAAACTAAATGTACATGAAACAACAAAGAGTCTAAGACAAACTGACATGTGCACTACAGGTTGGCATTAACGCTGATCAATAGGCTTGAAGATAAGGTTGAGTGGAGGACCAGGTATGATATGGCAAATGATTTTAGAGTCATATCTTGGACCATGAGTATTTTCTCACCATAAATAAAACATTTCTCATCGAATAATATGCTTCCTGCAATAGGTCCCCAGGGTAATAAAATTATCAATCCGACCCTCATAAAAATGAGGTCTTAAACAATGATTTTTTGGACAGATGGATTGATATCTTTATTAACTTGATCACTTTATATATCATTTCAATATAAACTAATGTTGTATTTATGGTCAGAATGCAGTTATGGTCAAAGATAATGACTGTCTAAAATCATTGGCCAAACCATATCTGGTCTTTTACGACCAAGTTGATTATTTTATCAGATATATTGGCCTAATAGGAGAATAATATCTTGATTTGTCTGAAAGGCATTTCCAAAGAATACTTCAACCAAGTCAACTTTTGTGTATACCTCACTGTTGAGAATCATGATGCAGTGGTCAAAGTGATGGTGTTCCATAGTGGATGTCCCGTACAACATAGCCAGTGGTGAATCTGACCTGAAACAGGAGTGAACAAATCATATAAATTGAGTCATTTCATGACCAGCGTAATTATAGGCAAAAACCAATGGATGGATGTCTCCTCATACAATGTTTATAGATAGGCATAATAGACAAGTGGGAGATGAGTTCACCATGTGAGCCAAAAATAATATTAAGATCATAAGTGTGTACAAAAATATTAACATGCAATTAACATTAGCATTAACATGCAAAATGTCACCACCTGTCACTATCTGTTACAGACATCGAGCTGACAGGTCCCCAAGTGACATAAAAATCAATCTGTTTCTACCATGTATTTCTAAGAAACAGGTCAATTTTAAATGACTTTGCTATTGACTTTCAGACAGAGCACTTTATGTGACTTAATTGTTACTGACTTGCTCTGAAAGGCATTATTGGTCCCTCTATGGTCGAGATCATGACAAAGACAAGCAACCAGCAGTCCAAATACCTCCAGCTCAGTGAACACCTTCTTGATCTTCCCTGTCTGCAACAATATACTTTCAGTCATATTACACATTCAGACCAGCAATTGAATGTCTAGACAACTAATTAGTATCATTTTATGAAATATTCAACAATTCATTTAGTAAGCTTTTATCAACCCATTTAAAGAGCAAATTCAAGGGAGGACTCTTATTAATCAATAGAAAAGTTTTTTTATAGTCTACAAGGAAGTAAAGTCAAACTGACTTTACACTTTAAACATTACACAACTACAATACAATAAATCATTTCCTAACTTTCCTAGCAACACCATGTTGCGCTGTCATATTTAATAACAATTCAAACTCATATCTTCTTATCCTTGTAACAGTTGAATTCACAAATGATACATTGGAGAAATAGGCCCCGATCAACAGCGTGAAAATTGTCTGTTGTTTTACTTACATAGAGCATGGTGAACATGGTTTGTGCTACATTGAAAGCATGACGCCAGTTATGATAGGTGACAGGCCTGTAATTCTTTTTTACACTGAGGATCCAACGACACAAGACCTGAAATATTACTAATATTTAACTCCTCAATTAACAATAAGAATGAGTAAATTCATTCATGAGTTTATGCTTACAATTTTGAACTTAATGTCAACTGGACAAACCTTTTCTATACAACAAAAGGATCTTGTTATATCAATCAGTGTGGCAAATAAATCTTCTTCACTGGAAAAATGACCTGACATATTACTGTGATATTCCCAGTTTTTTCTCAGCATGATGTTAAACCTTCATTTTCCTAGTGAACTTTCATATATTCACTATAGTCTGGATGTAGAGCCAATAGAGGTGGAAATGCTTATTATATGAACTTTTTTTGCATTTTCTGTTTAAACATGATATCCATATTCAGAAACTGTCGGATGCCCAACGGGCATCCTTGAGGAATTTTTTTGGCGGCCATTTTGAATTTTCACACGTTTTATGTATTTTAGCCAGCATATTAGAACAGAAAACGAGCATGCACATTAACATATATTGCTGTTTTTTCTATAATAGACTTTTAATATGATGTATACCAATATGTTAGGTTCCAGAAATGTTTCTTGACAAAAATAAAAAATAAATTCAAGATGGCCGCCAACCTTACAATTTATGAAATGTCTCATTCTGTGATAATATTAAATTGATATTAGTGTTTCCTACAAAATTATCAATAAATAATACTAAATACATCTGATTATAATCTCTTTCTCACATATAAAATATCTGAAATGAGTAAAAAGTAACCTACATAATAATAATGATGTTCCACAAGGGTCATTTCTTGGTGCTATATATATCTTGAATTTATCAATTATCTTCTTTTACTAATATTTGATCAATGATTTCCCTCAATAAATCCTCTTCAGTTTCTTCCAATTCCTGTTCAGTTACTGTCTTTGTATGTTGGTTATTGCATTCATTCCCCTTGCAAACACAGAACAATGTACATGATAAAGATGCCTTGGAGCATGAACATCGCCCAGTTCCACATACATTGCCCTCTGATGCACATGTGCACTAATAATGAGCTGGAGAATTCTTTCAGGTGTACAGGGTGTATCTTTGGGCATTGTTGTTGGGACAAGTGAGCCCGTGCTGTTAATTTCCCAACCATAATCTGTTGGAAGGATAAGTGGGGGGTCAGGCATATCAGCATTTTTCCATATAGCCACTTGGAAGTGAGCTCGCTTCACATGCTGGGAAAATGCTTCTGTTGTTGGTGGGAAGGATTTTAGCTTTGGTGCATTTGTAATGTGTTTTGCAGCATTTTCTTTGCCCATACAGCATATCTCACATCAGACATTTTGTCTGTGACTTTAGGTGTAATTCCATAACATCTAAATACAAATTCTGTTGAAGTTTTCTCAACTTCAGTCATGTCTGCATTGACATCTCCCAAGTTAGCGAGTGAGTATCTATTTAACACCTTCAGGACTGTTAGCTTGCCAATTCCATGCATGCAAGATATCGTATCACTGCCAGAGAGACCATGCGCAGCTAACAAGTTTGGGATTTTTAATTTGTGTTCATTTACGGTTACATTAATGTTAATGTTTGCTCTTTATTTGATAAAGAAAAAGTTATAACTCCGACTCTACGCCTGATAAAAACTGGATATGTCGTGTACGTAGACAGCAAGGTGCAGTGACCTTAAGTCGACTGTAGTTTTCCTATGTTTGCCGCAGAAATTTACTGATTTCAGGGAAATACGATCGACGTGTGGTCGCATTGAACAAATGTGACTGAAGCTTTTAAAGTTCCATTTATTTTCCGATATAGAAAAACAAAAGGTTGTATGCCATTAAATTGAAAATCGTTATTTCGAAAATACTGTAGAACTGTACTTACCACGGATGTTATATAATTAAATTCGAGCTCGAAATCAGGAATTGTTTTTAGCAAAAAATAAATATATAATAAAATAAATATTAAACTATTGGCGTACTATCAATACGGCAATTGCCTTATCGTCGTTGAAATGAAATATCATACTACAATCGACCCCATCGTCTCCCCGCATCACTGAATGTTATGAGCCTTCTCTTGTCATGATCCAAGGTGAAATACCATTGAATTTTGAAAAGCTTTTTTGTCATATCGAATGTCGCTACGGTGATATGATGATTGAAATTGGTCGTTTAACAACTGAGGAAAAATTAAACATTACGGATTATTCTTTGAAAATATGACAGTGGCATGTCCTTGTAAAGCTATTGCCAATCTTAGTATTTAGGAGATTGACATTTACATACGTATCATTTAGACGACATCGATTTTTCGTTTTTTTTTGTTTGCGTTTTTCATCAGAATTTAAATGGCTAAACACTTTAGGGAGTTATTGTTTCATTGGATTACTACTTTTTGTTTTATTTCTTTTATTCTCCAATATGCACCTATTCATATTTGAATAGAATACTACAGATTGAAGAAATCTATCACTTATGATTAGGTAAGAAAGCAATTGCGGCAGTATGCCTATTTGCCAACGTAAACCTTAAGGTTAATAATGATGTGCCGTAAATGCTCATTAATGAGCGCATTAATGAACATTAGCATAGATTTTGATATTTTAAATGGTATGTCGTGTATTTACCAACCAAAGAAATCATTTCAAAGGTACTAAAAGAATACGTATATACCACCCATAATAAAGAACGATTTCAATAGAATATTAACGCCGGCATTTTCTGAATTGCTTTTTACCTATCTAGACATGGAATGCGGGTTAGATTTATTCTTTATTTACACTTGAAACAATCTGGGATTCGTTTTTATTAGGTCTAGCGCTAAATGCGAACAGAGAATGCTAATTCTATCAGGCGAATGCAAACTATTTGAATAAAACATAATAAAATTAATCCAACCAACCCATCTTGAATTTCCAAGAATGCAATGGTTTAAATTTGCTAGTCTCATTACAAAAGTACGTGTTCGTACTTTAATATTCATTGCATTTATGTTTATCTTTAACACAGGTATTCAAAGAAACTAAAATTTTAAAATTAAATTAAAACCGTATTCAATTACTATCATTGATTCTTAGCCTCACGTCACATTTTTACGGGGACCGTACGCTCTATCATTTCTGTGGTAAGCAGGATTTCTACGGTTGCCTAAGTATTTCTGCAGTCAGATAATTTAGCAGTCACATTTGCTAAGATAGCCGTACGGCGTATCTTGATTATGAGGACAAACTACGATTCCCGTACAGCTGATAAATGATGACGCACGATCAGCGTAGGGCGGCCCTACGACGTGCATAGTTTTTCTTGAAGGCATCCACAAGGGGTTCTATGGTTCGGAAAGGTCAATTGTAACCTATGAAATCCAAGCGCAGCCGCAAGTCGACCGTGAACCCGACGTACGCCCGTCGTGAGACCTACGGTTTGGCTGCTGCTTGTTGATATCTATAGTGACCACAGGAAAGAAAAAGTTATAACTCCGACTCTACGCCTGATAAAAACTGGATATGTCGTGTACGTAGACAGCAAGGTGCAGTGACCTTAAGTCGACTGTAGTTTTCCTATGTTTGCCGCAGAAATTTACTGATTTCAGGGAAATACATGTACGATCGACGTGTGGTCGCATTGAACAAATGTGACTGAAGCTTTTAAAGTTCCATTTATTTTCCGATATAGAAAAACAAAAGGTTGTATGCCATTAAATTGAAAATCGTTATTTCGAAAATACTGTAGAACTGTACTTACCACGGATGTTATATAATTATATTCGAGCTCGAAATCAGGAATTGTTTTTAGCAAAAAATAAATATATAATAAAATAAATATTAAACTATTGGCGTACTATCAATACGGCAATTGCCTTATCGTCGTTGAAATGAAATATCATACTACAATCGACCCCATCGTCTCCCCGCATCACTGAATGTTATGAGCCTTCTCTTGTCATGATCCAAGGTGAAATACCATTGAATTTTGAAAAGCTTTTTTGTCATATCGAATGTCGCTACGGTGATATGATGATTGAAATTGGTCGTTTAACAACTGAGGAAAAATTAAACATTACGGATTATTCTTTGAAAATATGACAGTGGCATGTCCTTGTAAAGCTATTGCCAATCTTAGTATTTAGGAGATTGACATTTACATACGTATCATTTAGACGACATCGATTTTTCGTTTTTTTTTGTTTGCGTTTTTCATCAGAATTTAAATGGCTAAACACTTTAGGGAGTTATTGTTTCATTGGATTACTACTTTTTGTTTTATTTCTTTTATTCTCCAATATGCACCTATTCATATTTGAATAGAATACTACAGATTGAAGAAATCTATCACTTATGATTAGGTAAGAAAGCAATTGCGGCAGTATGCCTATTTGCCAACGTAAACCTTAAGGTTAATAATGATGTGCCGTAAATGCTCATTAATGAGCGCATTAATGAACATTAGCATAGATTTTGATATTTTAAATGGTATGTCGTGTATTTACATAAATATGGTAAATGCAACTATTTGTTGGATGCGTTCAGCCGATGATATAACTTACTTATTTTCACCACAAATACGCCAACACATTAGCCACATTAAAGTTAAATAAATCCCCATTGATGCACAGTAATGCATTTATATAATTATGTGTAAATGCCATTTTGTATATTTTAATGCATTTACCTCATTTATTGGTTAAATATACAAGAAAGCATTTACAGGATTTGAACAGATTTATCCTTTTTGACCCAATGTTATCATTATATAAAATAATTCTAGTGGATATTTTTCAAGTGGAATATAATGCGATGACTTCCGAATCGCGCAGACGATATCTCATAAGTTTAGTGAGTTTTCTACCTAGCCTATACTATATCACATTGGAGAAAATAAATACAAACATTTGAAAAAATACATTGCAACAATTCAATTTCTATGAAGAATATATTGAAACAACCTTTCAAAATATATGATATGATATGGACATGAATTCGAACATGCGGCAACAATGTTAAGCGGACAGAAATAGTTATAAAATATCAGTGAAATGTGTTCTATTTCTGCGATCCGAGTATGACGTGATTATATAGCGACATTTTCCAGGCATCAATTTTAAGGCATCAATGACGTCATTGATACATAACAATGGCGGCATCCGCAGCGATCCAGATATGGGTACTTTGAACTTGAATTATATGTTAGTTCAAACACGATATGTCCCATGAGTGAGCTGAAGTGATAGATGATGGTTATAAGTAGCCAGCGTGTAAATTAGAACATGAAACTTCGCATTCCCTTTAAGGAACACTCAAGAAGAAGCAGATGTTGTTATCGTACACCAAGTTCTGCATGCTGCCAGTAAAGGCCAACAGAATATCAGTGTACTCAGTGATGATACTGATGTGTTCCTTCTACTTCTTCATCACTGTCTCAAGCACAAAGTAATGGAAAATAACATCATAATGGAGGCAACATCATCTGGCCGAGCAAACATTAACATTAATGTAACCGTAAATGAACACAAATTAAAAATCCCAAACTTGTTAGCTGCGCATGGTCTCTCTGGCAGTGATACGATATCTTGCATGCATGGAATTGGCAAGCTAAAAGTCCTGAAGGTGTTAAATAGATACTCACTCGCTAACTTGGGAGATGTCAATGCAGACATGACTGAAGTTGAGAAAACTTCAACAGGATTTGTTTCTAGATGTTATGGAATTACACCTAAAGTCACAGACAAAATGTCTGATGTGAGATATGCTGTATGGGCAAAGAAAATGCTGCAAAACACATTACAAATGCACAAAAGCTAAAATCCCTCCTATATCAGAGGGCAATGTATGTAGAACTGGGCGATGTTCATGCTCCAAGGCATCATTAACATGTACATTGTTCTGTGTTTGCAAGGGGAATGATTGCAATAACCAACATAAAAGACAGTAACTGAACAGGAATTGGAAGAAACTGATGAGGATTTATTGAGGGAAATCCTTGATGAAATCTTAGTAAAAGAAGATAATTCATAAATTCAAGAAATATATAGCACCAAGAAATGACCCTTGTGGAACATCATTATTATTATGTAGGTTACCTTTTACTCATTTCAGATATTTTATATGTGAGAAAAAGATCATAATCAGATGTATTTAGTATTATTTATTGATAACTTTGTCGGAAACACTAATATCAATTTGACATTATCACAGAATGAGACATTTCATAAATTGTAAGGTCGGCGGCCATCTTGAATTTTTTTTATTTTTGTCAAGAAACATTTCTGGAACCTAACATATTGGTATACATCATATTAAAACTCTATTATAGAAAAAACAGCAAGATTTGTTTATGTGTATGCTAGTTTTCTGTTCTAATACGTTGGCTAAAATACCAAGGAGGATTGGCTCCCAGAATGCAACACCGATATTCTGCAAAACAATCACCTAGCGATAGCTTTGTTGGAGAGTATCGAGTCATTCTCCATGCAGTCGTACAAATTATACAGACACGACAAGGAGGATTGGCTCCCAGAATCGAAGTCGATATTTTCCAACAATGAAAACGCCGAGATGTCGTTATTTTCTGAAATTATAACCGATTCAAGGAGGATTGGCTCCCAGAATGCAACACCGATATTCTGCAAAACAATCACCTAGCGATAGCTTTGTTGGAACGTATCGGGTCATTCTCCATGCAGTCGTACAAATTATACAGACACGAATAGCAAATGACGCATGCGTGGAGATTAAAGAATATCGAGTTGGAACCCTGGCTTCCAATCCTCCTTGTAACCGATTATAAATTCAAAATAAACAGTTCAAAAGATTCGAACCAATATCTCGATCATTTCCTGTGAGTTTTAGAATTTTTCGTTAGGAAATAAGACCAAAATTCACGATTCTTTACTATTACCTATTTTGACTTACTTCATATGGTACATGAAACTGTGACATGATATCTGTCTCCAAAAACATTCTGATTGTTCCTTTCACTGTGTCATCATCACTCAATGGGAAATCACTGAAGTCAAACCCATAGAGGTTGTACTTGCTTGCTTTGGGAATGACAGCTTTCTGAAATATAATTTAAAAGGAAACGTTTAGGCTGCAGTGGTTACAAGGAAACATTTAGTTGGTTGCAGTGGAAACAATTTCTGAATACAATTTCAGATTAACAATCATATTTATTTGTTAAAAGAATAGTCTCAGTTTGGAGGACGAAGTTCATCAGTCTACTGCACGTTACGCCTGCTTTGGACAATTTTGATATTTTTAAATATTTGTAGATATTAAATGTCCTCTTTTGAATATCCATAATTTAATTTGGGTGTTATTTTCACATTTTTCATAAAAAAATTATTAACGCAGTAGAATGATGAACTTCGTTCTCCAAATCGAGAATTGCCTTTTATTGAATCAGTCTACTGGATGTTACGCCTGCTTCGGACAATTTTGGTATTTTTACATACTGTAGATTTAAATGTCCTCTTTTGAATATCCATAATTTAATTTGGGTGTTATTTCTATATTTTTCATAAAAAATGTTTAGCGCATTATTAGACTTTTCTCCAAACTGAGACTTTTTTTAACAATCAACCCTGACATTAGTTATTAAGTCCTGATAGGAGCAACAATCATGGTAAGTCTGCACCCCTCCCCATCATTTATCTATAATTTTTATAAAATAAAAAAACACAATCATTATTGTATTGTACATCTGATGATTTATTGTTTTGTAATTTGATACAATATCATCTAAATCTAATACAGTTCTTTGTTATATCATTTATCTAATGGCTTTCAAGTATGTTACTTCCCACCACACTGATAGATTTACCATATAGAACAAATATACAAGAGAAACACTGAATAGAGGAATAACACAATATCTAATTGTGTCTGTGTCAACCCACTCAGACTAATTGTAAAATCTATAGAAGAATCTCACAGAAGATTTCTGGGAATACCAGTCTATTAATGGTACATCTCTTCAGACAAACATGTTATCTAAATTGGAAATCCATGTTATAGACTAATGGATCGGTGCATGTAAATGTTGAAAGGTAGCCATTATCAACAATTTTCTCTGTACCAAAATTTCTAGAATCTACTAACTAATCAGGCCCATAGCCAGCTTTTGCCAAGCTTTTTCACTTTTCAAAAAAATCCCAAGGGGCTCACATTTGACCCGAACTTTGACCCCAAATCACTTGAGAAATGCACAGAATAGTGGAAATAGCATGATTTTGAAAGAATTTTTAGCCATGGGGATTTCTGGGTTGCTAATAGTCCCTTCACATTCAATAGATTATTCAAGGAAGGATATTCTAACATGAAATAAAGATGATAGGATCTCTGGGAGTTTTCCAGTTTATTTTGATCTTAGAGTTTAATGAAAGAACTGAATATACTGGAATAACTGATAATATTCAAGCTGTCAGAAACATGTAAAATAAATGAGATATAAAAATTGAAAGTGTAGACTCCATGGGTATTGTATTTAAAAGTGTCAGTTAGCTTGATCATACTGTGCAAGGAGTGATTTTACCTGAATTTACGATGGTTACACTGGATTAGGATAAAAAACAGTACTTCAGGCTTGTGTTAAAAGACAATGTCAATGAATTAGGTACATGAATTATCATTGTTGCCTTGAATTTTGGGCACAATAGTAGATTTTCATTTTGGCAAAATCACCACATTTACAGTATGACAATAGACAAGAGTTAAGCATACAGTCTTGGCAATATGTTCACCCGTTTGCTTCCTGATATCTTCCGCAACTGACATTTTCTAATAGATTTGTCTTAATTTCACCATACTCCTTGGCAGAAAATGAAATTACCCTTCAGTATCAGGTTTATTCTCATCTGATCCCTGTATTTAATTTAAAAGTAATAACTAAAACATCTTCAAATTTCACAGCTATTATTGCTTTTTTATTAGAAACAAATTATAACTCAACATTTACCTACATGTAAGTGCTAATGGCTTCAATTTATTGTCAGAATCATTTAAATGAGTAGCTTATACAGGGTTCGTACACCTTTTCAAAATGAATTTCCCTGACATTTCCAGGCATAAAATAAAATTTCCAGATCCAGTTTTCCTTGCACGGCCTCTAAAAAGTCTCTAACAACTGTATTATTTAAAAGACTTATTGTGAAACATTTTGGGTTTATCCTTTAGTACCATTTCTCATGACTCAACTTTACTTCTACAGGCCGTTATTCACCAATTTATTCCTGATACATTATGTTCTTAATTTTACATACATGTATTTACGAAGGTTAACATATATGTACAGGGACATAGTCAGCAAGTGTCAAGGGGGTGCATTTTTAGAGGTTTGCATCACTGCGAGTGAAGGAAACCCAAAGGGGGGTACGGGGGTTCACCCCCGGAAATTTTTCAAAATTGACAATTGTATATGGTGCATTCTAAGCATTTCAAACTATAATTTGTTGATGTTTTGTAATGAATCCAAATAAAACTGAAACTTAAAAATGTTGATCTAAAGAAAAATAGCAACTCCCTTGAATGCCAATTCCTACCTAATGAAACATATATATCGAATACTATCATTGTGAACATGATATGAAAAATGGCAACTATCTTCTTGAGCAGAGACAGCAACAAAAGCATTGGTATATAAAACTTTAACCAAATCTGTCAACTGATATTTGAGTTAGATAAATAGACTGAATACTACCGGACTGTCGAACAGACAGACAGACAGAATATGACAGAATATTAATATGATACAATTTTAAACTGAAAAGAGTTTTTCACATGAAAAGATAAGCAATTTGTGGAAACAACTAAATGTTCGATTTTGGATTTCATTGATATCCTATCATAGCCTTAAATGTATTTTGCTGGAACATTATTTTTTCAACAATGATACAAAATTCCCTGACATTTCCCTGACACATCTACTGTTTCAAAATTCCCTGACATTTTTGGCCCTTTTTAACCCAATTTTGAAATTCCCTGACATTTCCAGCACCTGGAAAAATAAATCAATTTCCCTGACATTTCCAGGTGTGTACGAACCCTGTTATAACAATATTTAGGTCAATGTCAGAGAACTATGGAAAAAGTTGGTGAAAAGAAACTAAAAAAAAACTACATGTAAGACCCAAAGTCCATTCAATTTAATGATAGCATTAATATCTTGTGTTTATCAAAAAGTTTTTGATACATCACTTCCCCCAGTTCTTTGCATGTTGAAATGCTGAATTCTGCAAGTGAAATTAATGAATTCAGCCTAAAGGGAAAATTGTAAAGAATTCCTGTGGAATTTCACAGCATTTTCAATAAAACTTAAGACAGCATTGAGGGTAAAATATTGTGATATGTACATACAGTCATCAAGGGAGAGAATAAAACGAAAAAAAAACATGACAATTTTATTTTACATATTTTGGTTATTTGTTGATACATGTTTTGTAGGTGGGTATGGGGGGGGGGCAGGTTAAGGGTATGTGGTCGATGCAATTAATTACATGTTTTGAGAGGCTTGAGAGATGTTGATTTATGGAGCCAAACCCTGAAAGTTTACATGGAACACGATTTTATTTACCTTCAGTTTCATGGTTTCCTCCTGTTGGGCTGTAGCATGATAGGAAAGTACCTCCAGTGCGACACTCTGCTTGGCCATAAGTTTCACTGCTTCCTCATACATCTGTGTGTTGCATATGCCAAGGCCACAGAATATCCCAAATGCCTGCAACATAAATGGTCTACAATGAAGATCAAAATTAACAATAGATATCAAGTTGACCATTTAAGTGTCATATTCTTGACATTAAAAAATGTACTTCATGAAACCATAGAATATTATACTTATCCATGTAGTATTTATAACATGCATGTATATTATGTTTGTAAGAAATGTTTCAGAATTTGATTGGGAATCTCAATGTACTACATGTACTTCTTTTGAGAAAATCTCAGGTTGATGTTTTAACATCATAATTATTATTCTGATGTTGTCCATGCAATAACCTTGTAAGCTATGTTTGAAACACTTCCTGTAATTAGAGGTTCATTGGGCTGATAAAGGCATATGATTTTTCAAGTGAGAATACCATTCAAAGCTAACAATTTCTTTAAGGACTATTGATAATCTGTCTCACTCTTGACATGCACTGGTAGATGATTTCTAAAGAATTGCCAAATTAATATAGTAAAACCTGTCTAAGTAGAACATCTTTGGTACCCCAAAAGTGTTCCACTTGGAATGTGTTCTACTAAAGAGGTTCATTAAACATTGAGCCAGTTGGTATTGGGACTCTAAAGTGTTCCACTAACAGAGGTGTTCTCTCCACATTCTACATGACGCCTTTTCTAAACTGACTTTATTTTATGGTTTTATGCTTTTATTTGATTATTTGAAAGAACTGGATGTATCCCTTTCAATTCAAATGGATCTGGGCACTTTATAATCTGATCTGATATCTCAATTCTTTTTTCAGCTAGCAAAATTGGAATAGTGGGGACACATTGGCATGCTTTTCGAAAAGATTATTTCTAACATTTCACACTTTCTGTTCTTCACTGCAACTTAAACATATTCTATCCTAAGTGCACTTAGTGCAGACAACTTGGAGTATAAAATTTGTTAATAAAATTATGATAAATTGTTTTAAAGAAAGAAACCATCTCAATGAAATCATTGTAATGTAATATTCATGGTCATTATTTTAGTACATGTACTTTCTTTAGTCTCTGAATTATTGCCAATATAGCTGAAGTAATAACTGATTGCTTTGGACAATAACATCTCTGAGTAAAGCATTCATTGTGATTTATATGCTTTATCAAGCAATATAACATCATCAATATAAAGATGTTGAAATATATTAGATAAGACTGTAATAGGCAGTAATAGGATATTTCTACTTCTCATATTTTATCAACTGAGAGGTAAACTTACAACATATTAAAATATTAATCATACGTGTAAAGATAAATGTGGGAACACACAGGAATAAGAAGCCAGAGTATTTTGTTATTTTAAGGTGCCAACTAGCTTTAATCCATCAAATGTTGCATAAATTAATCACAAATGAATGTATTTCAATAATAAGACTCCTGGACAGGGGTGGTCTTGTACCATTACAAATACATGAAAAGATGTGACTAGAGAGTAATTAAAAATGGGAGTAAATAGATACCATCAACGCCAAGGCATAGCAAATTCCATCGCACAGCCATGTCTGCCATTTTTGAAAATGGACACTTATGGGTATCTCACACTTTTCCGTTTGATGTGATCATCATGGTATACCAAATTGCTTTCAATTTTGCAATCAGAGGAGACCCTAAGATGAGCTGTGATGAATCAAAAATGGCTGATTATGCTGATACAGTGATGGTTACAAAATAATCAAACACAAATTTATCCAACTTTACATTCATATGAAACGGAACAATTTTCAGCGATATTAAATACCGTATTCGCCATAAAAAGTGCCGAGGGCGCCTTTGAAATTGAAATTCCCATTGTAACCCATTACAAAGACCGCCCATATATGAGAGAAGTAAAAAATCCCCAGGAATTTCATGTATGGGAATGTTTCTTGCCAAAAATGCCTTATTTGCAACGAAAGTGACAGTATATTTTTACATTAATGATATGTATCGTTATTGGAGAGAATACGGTAAAGATCGCTAAAATAAAGGAAGAATCTTACTATATTGACAGTGACTGAAGAACTCCCCAGCAGAGCCCTTCAAGGTGAAGGAATTGTGTTCCACGATTATCTTCAATATTCCTGCTATAGACTGTTAGATATCGATCTAAAGTTATACCTTATTTTTTTAATTTGATGCAAGATAATCATTTTTCATGTAAAAGTCGAGAAATCTTAAAAAGAAACAAGAAAATTCATGACCTTGACAATCGCTAGTTAGTACAATGTCGAAACAAAACTCTGAAACGTGATCATTTCCTTCATTCATTATGGACTATTGACTACTTGAGATAATATTAGCTTAGTATGATATGGTACATGTACTGATAGATAATTCAGAGTCGGGAGGATGCATCGAATTACAAAATGCGTCATGTTTTCTGCATTTTAGCGTAAGTACTCTATTATCGCCCACTATATTTCTTAGGAAATTTGATTTTTTTCTGATATATTTGTTAATACTTGGTCATTCCTTGATATTTCTTGATCTCTGTGAAGCCGGATGGGCGCTTATTAGGGTTGGTCCCTTATTACGGCGATTACGGTATGTAAAGCAAGGATGAAAATGTCGGTATTCTACTGTCTTATCTTATGGCATGATGTATGATATGATGGACAATTTACTTATATTGATGTGACATTTTGACATTTACATTTGGCAAAATCAAGATAAAGTAAAGCCTGACTATTTAGAGAGCATCTATCATAAATCGATGCGATCTTTCTCACACAAATCAGATTTATCCATCCAATTTCATGTAACGAGATACATATTACCAAACATCACTCATCTTAGTAGAATCACAACAGAATATGCATTTTCAAGAAAGGTGCTGAGTTAAAGTTGAAATGATGACTTTTGCGTAATTTGTGACATTCATGATTTTTTGACTTAAATCAGTTTCTTGTTATTTTGATTGTGTTTATCAACTCAGAATAAGTTAATATAATCAATTCAAAATTAACAAACACATCGCATTAACATGCAAAATGTCACCACCTGCCACTTGTTACAGATGCCAAGCACCGAACACCAACCATCGATCCCCAAACACTACCCACAAAAAGTTGGAGACTTTTGGTGGTGACATAAAAAAAAAGAATATTTTTATATTTCATATTCATTTCAGTAATTTTTATTACACTTCCCATTACCAGATATTTCATGTGGTGTAGCTTGTATTATTGGGAGCAAGTAAAAGGTGTAGCAATTGTTTCATGTTATAATAATAACTTCCCAAAATTTTGCCTCTTGTTCCTTTGGCCTGTTTTTAGAACTTCTTACAAATTCCCTAGCTGGGTATATAACTTCTACGAAAAGCCATAGTTGGGGCTCAGACCTGGGGTCCATTACAGGCATTAGCTTAAAGCTATATAGCTCATAATTGAATAAATACATTGTTCTTCCATCAGAGATGTTATAAATAATTGATTTTGACATGATTATTTAGTCAGTAGAGCATTGGACTCCATTATAATGCAAGATGTCAGTGATACACATTCTAATTTAGCAGAGTCCACCTTTCTCTAATGCTTGAGAGAGGCTGAGGATGCCACAATGGTGTCACACTGTATATGGTAACTTCCTTTTAGTCTAACAAAGTTACATTATCAGCCATCAGCGTTTTTCCCATTTCCACTTATAGGTAATCATTTTACATTTATGGCTAATACAGTATGGTATCATTGATGTAATCACTTTAATAGCAAATCAATCAGATACCATAGCTGAAGTGTCAATAATTTACTGGTGGTGATATACTAAAACCTATACTCCTATTTCTTTTGCCAATAATTCTATGCACAATTATTTTGCTAACTATGCAGACATTTCAATATCTCTAAACAATAGTCAGTGATATTCCCAGCCTTAGATCAACCAGGTGCTGCATCCTATTGAAAAATTTTAAATTACATGCTACCCTATCGAAAATCTGTTTGCATACATTCAGCGTGATGATGTAATATCGAGATACTTTCAGGGGAGGGGGAATAGGCAAAATAAGGACTTAGCACCTTGTAAAGAAAACAAACTAGGCAGATTACTGATGGTATTAAGGTTCGAAAAATACTTTGGTCAACTTGTTTTCAACATATTCCCATAACAACTCCATTCCCACCTCCATTAAATGTTATCAGAACCACTAGGGGCTGATGTTAGTAGTCTATGTGTCATCCAGACACCTTTCCCTTTCAGCATCACTGGCACAGTAATTGCAGTCTCATTTACTTTATTTTAAATGTGCCATAATTTCACAGAACTAATTACTTAGGGGGAGGGATAAAAAATCATAAAAAGTCAGGTTCCATTACAGAGAACATAGTGTACTGAGGGAATTTGATGTTTCATGAAAATAGTTATGAGAAGATATTAATATTTTGAAGCAGCATGTAATTTGGTTAATGAAAACATAAAATGAAATCCTGCGCTAAGGACTGACTTCATTCTGTAATTATATATAAATTCATATACAAATCAAATTTGAACCAAATCCAACAACCAGTATTTAATTTATAGCCCAAATGAACAAAAGAAGAAATGGACAAATGAACAGACAGCTTCTCTATATCCCTTTTTACTATATACTGATTGTTGGGATACTAAAAAAGCTGTTGAACTATACACTATAAGTACATTTAGTTTTTGTACATTGTGAAAATGGATCAATAAAAATGTGTTCCTCCACTGTATTCCTCAATTTCCATCTTCTTCTTCAAAATTGTTAATTAACAGTAACCCTAACACTCATCACAGCTAGCATTTAGGAAATCAAATTCTTGCAAATGGCAGGTTTACAGTGGAGGAACGTTTATCCCTTTTATGGAGTACTTTTGCTGATCCAAAGAAAACTTAAGTAGTCCTTACCTCAAAGATGTTGATGTCATTGTTATTGAATGGCTGATTGTTGATTTTGTTAATGACTTGAGCAACACCGATGACCTTGTGCTCACTGCTATATATGGGCAAACACAGCAAACTACGCGTCTTGAATTCTGGATAATCATTCATCTGGAAATGCATAGAAAGATTTATTATTTCACATATTAATTATAATATTATTAAAGACAGTGAGGTTAGCTTGAACGCAATATATTCTGAGGTTGTTTAATAACGGATCAAGTAAAAAATGATTAGGCTAAATATATCTGAGTTAGGGAGCCAGTAAAGAAATGAAAATATTTACTCCAAGAGAACAAACAAAACATTAACATTTCAAAATGTCACCCCCTGGTAAGTTATCACCAAACTCTGAATGTCATCCACAAATAAAAGATGGCTTCATATCAATGTACACACTTTTTAGTGGTATTACAAATATAAAACAGAAATGTTATGAGAACTATATTCAGGGTTGCAACTACATTTTGAAATAAGAATTCCCAGGCTTTTCACTAATTCAAGTAACATTCCATGTAATGATCAAATATGTAAAAACGTTCTTTAATTGCAAAAATAATCAAACAGACAATGTCACTGAAACATTTTTTCACTGGTTTTTCTTATTTCTTTTATATTCACGGGGTACCATCGAATAATTTTGGCAACGTACCGGAGAACGACATTTTACTAAGAAATGGCAATAATTTAGCACAATATATTTTTTAACTAGAGTTCTACTTTGATTTTGACAAAAGTAAGTATTCCATGCAATGGCTATTTCATTCATGAGTTTGTAGGAATTCTGTTGGAACCCAGTTCTGATCAAGTACGAAGTTATTGAAATCGGCGCAGTCGGACTTACTCCGAAAGATGGTTTTTCGATTATAACTTTTTACAACATTTAAGTATAGACTTTTGAAAAAAGTACAGAATAGTCCTTATACTATTGAATAATTCTGTTATTTCTGATTCACACGACTCTGATTTGTTTAATTTAAAAAAAGTTTTAAAAATATTACTTAGGAACGTAACCGGAGCAGATCAGTTGAATTATATAATTTAAAAAATAAAATATATGATTTAAAGCATATATATTAATAAATACGCATTCGAACAATCCCGTATGTTTTTAAATTAGTACTCGTATATGTGCTTTAAATCATATAATTTAATTTTTTTTGATTAAATATTGCAACTGATCTGCTCCGGTTACGTTCCCAGCTCCGGTTACGTTCCTAAGTAATATTTAAAAAACTTTTTTTCAATTAAACAAATCAGAGTCGTGTGAATCAGAAATAACAGAATTATTCAAAAGTATAAGGACTATTCTGTACTTTTTTCAAAAGTCTATACTTAAATGTTGTGAAAAGTTATAATCGAAAAACCATCTTTCGGAGTAAAGTCCGTCTGCGCCGATTTCAATAACTTCGTACTTGATCAGAACTGGGTTCCAACAGAATTCCTACAAACTCGATCATGAATGAAATAGTTATTGCATGGAATACTTACTTTTGTCAAAATCAAAATAGAACTCTAGTTAAAAAATATATTGTGCTAAATTATTGCCATTTCTTAGTAAAATGTCGTTCTCCGGTACGTTGCCAAAATTATTCGATGGTACCCCGTGATATTGGTGCATTCAAAGAGATATTGGCCAAATGGGGGTTAAAAAAATTCATGATTTGAAAAATGAAAACCTTAGACACAGCCTGAGTGCTTCATTACTTGGTTTTTGACCTTGACCTTCATGTGACCTTCTTAATCCAGGGGGGGGGGGAGATTTCCCAAAGATGACCTATCATATTAGCACATTCAAAAACAAATTTTATAAACAGGCCTCAATTTGCCGTTGAAATGGATCTCCAAATGTTCACTGTAGTTTTATGAGTATTCTCTTCAAGTATGAATCGAGTAACTTCAATAGTATTATCGTAGGTTTGAAATGATGATGTTGAACTGATGTTAACGCCATTCCCACGATTTCAAATTTAACTCTGCGCATGTGCAGCACTGAGAGAGCACGTGCTCATGATTGTTCACGTGATCAAATCCTGCAATTTGATTGGAGATGATGCAAGAGATGATGTAATGGGGAATCCCCGAATACGATAGAATATGAAAGAATTATGGGAGCTACTCACTCCTCCTGTTCTTAATCCATAAGTATTAAAATGCCCTGAGCAGTCCTCAAAGGGTAACATAGATGACTAAAAAAGTCACTGCAGAAACTCAAACTATTTTTGTGTCTAAAACCTCTCACACAACGATGAAGCATATTCCACTAAATTAATTCTAAAGGACATAAGGACATTACAATGTAGTGAATTATGAAAAATCTTGATAAAGTGCATTGAATCGTTGTATTAAGTCAATACAAACGGAACTATTAACAATTTCCAGTTTACCATGAACAAACATCATGCTTGGAAATACGGTATACATTTTCTAACAGCAGAGATAATTAAGTCATTATGTCTTAATATGCTACATGGAAAAAATTATATAGCACACATTCTCTATTCTTATAGCACATAGAAAAGATAGATGTATATTTACAAACTAGAATTTATTCATTAATAACAATAAAACAGTTTCTGTATCAATTGATGTGTTCCACAAGTCCGTGGTTTAATCAACATCTCGGCAAAAGGAAGTAATTCTTAGAAGTCCATTTTTTATGTAAGATTTATTGATGATTTCTTTCAGCAAAAATGCTACACTATTATAGACTTGTACAATACAGCACAATAAAATCACATCCATCAATTAAAGAAACATGTTTGGAAGGGATTATACTATTTTTGCATCTACAAGATTTATTGTTTCAAGAGGATGTTTACGAATACATCCCCTAAGGAAAAAGCCCATACAGTATGGTAGTACTGTATGATTTAGACCTTACTATAAACATGTTACAACCTTACTCTAAAACATGCTGGAGGGGGGGGGTGTTTGCAGCCATCGCATCCCCCCTGTCATAACCAATAAAAATAGGACAATTAGATAAAAGAATAGAGCTTTAAATTGCTTTTTATTTGAAAGGAAGTTACATCAATTCTTGTAAAATTCAAAACAAATCTTTAAAAAAGACTTTTGGCCTGCTTATGCCACGATTTCATGACATATTAGACGTCTTTAAGTGCAAAGGTCGGAAGTTTGAGCATTTTAAACAGTTTTCAAATTTCCCCTTCAAAATCATCATAATTCCAGTTTCTGTTGACAAATGACTGTCTAAGATGTCGAGATACCATCTTATCCTGCTTTCCCCTAATAAATTTGGATAATCACATCTATTACCCTTTCTTTTTCTAATACATATGTTCTTGTTACTAGACTCTACTGATAACACATGGGCCTATATAGATAAGAGTAACCATGATCGGTATTATTGTATCAGTATTATTGAGTGTGAGTGGTGATCCAATGGGCATTTGATGAGATAGTATGTATTTTTCCAGATATTTAGAAAAGGGAATGGCACACTGGCTTGAAAATTACTGATACTATTCTCTGATCATGCTTCAAACCTTTTTCAATGATATGAAGTGAAGCATAACTCAAGAATTCAAAAATATCAGAATACTCATGCTTGTCGCTTTCTATGCTTATTCCATATTATGTTTCCTTATTTGTTTTCAACAATTTTTGGGAAATCCAAGATGATACTGCACCATGAGGGTGACTGAATTTCTCATTAATGATCCTCATATCTAGGGAAATGTGGAGTTCTTACATGTACCTGATTATTGCATTACATATAATTTTATTGCTTTCCAACTTATTTACTAATTCAATTTCTGATAAATAATTCTAATTCATAAAGAGTATATCATTTTTCATTGTTGGTGAGCTATTTCTAATTGAATTAGAAAAGTATGAAATCTTTGATAAAGAAAGATTTATTGAACCATTACACTTACGCTTGTATCATTAATTCAGTTAATCTTAGCTGCGAATGCTTATAGATGCATTCTATTTTGGCATGGTTGCCATGGAATAATACAAAAAGCAGAAGACGGACAAAGAAATCTTCAAAAATGAAAAAGCAAAAATAATTTTTTATGTTAACCATACATAGTTGAAATTAAAATGGCACAATCGATCTTGTACATTTTGTAACATTTATGTGCCTGTTTTTCATACTTATTCTAAATAAAAAATTGACTGTTCACTGGTTTTATGATCATAAGTATACAATGAAGAAATTGTACAGAATGAGACTTAAAATCGCTAAAATCAAAAAAGAAAACGTGGTAACAAAGACTCCATATTAGCCATTTAAGGATGGTTAGTGGAATGTATCATGCTACTCCTGTGCCATTAGATATTGCAAAAAAGGTTTTAGAGAAAATTACCTTTACTCATCCAATGACCTGTACTCTACAATACCTTCAATTTGAGTATATCTAAGCCATATGAAGAGATCTCAAAATTAATACATCCTGCACACTAATTTAGAGGAACAGATCAAAAAGATGATGCAATAATTAAAATCTACTCTAAAATACACGTTCTCTAAGACTATCATCAAGTCAGAACACTGTTATGTATGAAATCGATCATGATAAGAATTAATCAACAGGTCAATAGAAATGGTTGGAAAAGACAAACTGTCAAAAATCCTGTAAAAATACAAAAGTAAGAACAGAACAAAGGGCACCTAGACTTGACTCATGCGGTCGTCAGTTCCAATCTCTCTGAAACAAGACAGTTGAACCATGGTTGAACTGATGGATGAAGACCTCTAGTGAATCCCTACTGAATTTCATTTGTTGGGATAATGAAAGCTTTCAGATCAAATAGAGAATTAAATCATTTGTAGCAATGAATAATGGCTAGAATGACTGTGATTAACAGCCGAAAGTGCTCGATTTGAATTCACCTAGCAAGCTCCTATTAAATTCAATGCATGTGTATTGGTAATATATTCCCAAGAGTTAATTGCTTTTCAAAATCAACTGCTTTTTAGTGACATCACAGCATAGAAAATCATGTTATCCGCTGACTTATGATGAAAATTAATTTCCTAAGCTGTCATGTTTTATATAAATATATTTACAAGACTGCTAAGATGCAAGACGTACATGCAATGAGAGATTTGTTATCCTGACCTCCAAATGGGATATCTC